GTCCGGTGCCGAAACGCGTAGGGTTTGATATTCACGTTCCGACACTTATCGTATATACGACCAATTATTTCTGGACTAAGGCACGCTATCCAGTTACCCTATACTCGCCGATGCATCTAGACGAATCAGGCTACGCTCGCCAGCTGTCGACTACCGCTCCGTACGAATCGAATCGAATCGAACTTTTTCCTAATTCGATTCGATTCGAATTAATCCTGAATATGGCTATTCGTACGAATTCGAACCCACAGTCGATTCGAATTCGATTCGAGGTTCGCGAACTTATTTGATCTAGTCCCAATTGGGAAGGCGGTAAGAGATACTCGGCAGTACTTTTGTTCAACACCATGTCCAGCAACGTACTCGATTTTATATATATAGCAATACCGCGTACAATTTAACAATTAACTCTTATCAAATAAGAGATATAGGGAGAGCTGAGCTAAAAATATCCTAGGATATAAAATTTTATATAGTTTTCCTTGAATCTAACAAGTTGTCGGGCAATATGAACAGAAATCATTTTTTACTCCAAAACGTCAATCTCAGGAATATATCATTTCTACTCCTGAACTCCTGGAACATCACGAAAGCCTTATTTTAAGTCTATATTGCTTCAAATTAAATTAACTGACAGATCACGCTTATTTACACGTAATAAATGAATATAGAGTGAAAATATCAACAATTGCATACATAGTATTGTCGAGGACTGAGGTGCAGTAAAAGAATAGTATTAATCAGGCTTAGCGGATAAACCACGCGGACACGTCTCCACAAATACGCGCTTTTATCCATAACAAGTTCAAACCGTCAGCTTGAGAGGTCATAAAAACCAGCACTTTTGAAGGAGATATAACTAAAGTAAGTGATTAATCAAGGCACAAGATGGATATACTAATATTGTATTCCAGATGACTTCTCCACTTGCTCCAATATTCGTGACTTAGTGCAGATGACTAGGATGCCTGAGTGGCCGCATGAGATTGCTGCCGCCAAAACCTTTGACTCACGGTAGAAGATGGCCAAGGGTCAGTTCCCTCAACTCACCACCAAAAATGGCAGTGAAGAAGAGGAACCAGAGGTAATAGTCTTCTCGATTGAGGATGGCAGAAAGGACGACGAAAAGGGTAAGCAACCATTGGTAGAGACACCAAAGCAGGCGTCTCAAGATTATGGTCAACAGCTAGAAAATTATGCTCAAAATGACAAGCCTAGTAGACCTTAAGACTACTTAAGCTTGCCTGGGCCTGCTTATACTTACTCATACCGCTCTAAACTTGAGGACGACTGGCGCAGGTAGATACCGCGCTATACTATAGCACCCCCGGCGCCCGAGATCTCAATGTCATCGGAGAAGTAGGACGATTGGACCATGCTACCACCTAGGAAAGTTAAATGTAAGTATATTGATTTGAAGTCAATGCTTACATTCGTCAAGATATGGGACAAAAAGCTTACTTACTCTGGAGATCAGTATGACATCTTGGACGACAAAGTACGCGTATTCTTGAGAGTGTGCAAGCTCTCTAGCATCCTAATTAGTTAATGTTGGGAAGTCTTTCCTAAGATGCTCTCTAGACGTGCAGGGGCGTACCACATGCACCATGTTAAGCTAGGTGCTTCCTTCGCTCAAGCATATAATGTGATAAAAGCATACTTTGACATGCCCAACAACTAGATAGATTACTACTAGGAGTGGACTACAGTCACCCTAGCCAGAGAGCGCCAAAGCAATCCTAGCAAATTGTGGGTTGAGGTCGTAGATCTCATGGTTGATAAACTTCATTTATGCTAGCGAGTGTTAAGACCAGCATATGCTGGTAATGAACACCTTATTGCTGCTATCACAAGAGTGTGCCAATCTACACCAGAAATAGGCAAGGCTCTCAGTGAACCAACAAGTAGCTTCCAGATAATTGTTTCTAAGCTGCATGCTAGGGCAGGTGTAGTGCAGTGGAAGGAATTGGCAGGCTAGTATATAGTAGATGAAGTCAATAATCCTCAAGTATTCTATATGGATAGGAAGTTTATAGGATGTATAAATTATAACAACTGTCCTATATTATGTTAAGAATACCAACGCAAGAACTATGACAATGCCAAACAACTCAGGAAGAGTGATAGAAGGTGTTTTATTTATCATTGAGAGAACTGCCTCTCATAGAAGCATTCTGAAGAAGAACACCGCGAAGCGCGAGATTAATATGACTGCTATTAACAGGTAGATAGAAGGAAGAAGCTATTAACCTGCGCTTACTAAACCTTCTTGCAGGAATATGAAGGCACCTCGTCGGACGAGGAAGACAAGGATTCCACTAAGGAGGAGGTTATACAGGACATGACCACCGTGTACTTTATAGTCAATTAACTGCAAGATCGTACCTTTATCCACTGGATAACAGGTTGCAATAATGGCATAGAGCTGCCTAGATTTCACCTTGATTTTAAAGTTAAATTATCTAACCAATCAGAAGGTGAAAATAACCACCCTACACCTGCCTCTCAGTTTCTTCTTAACCCCCATGAAAATGAGACTTTTTATAGGATTATGCCAGATATAGGAGCATTGACTGTCTCAACTGTTGGTAAAGGACAATTTTCTGCCTTCCTGAGACTCTATCCCCACACCAAGGTTGATAGATTGCGTGCAGGGGAGTACTCAGTCTACTTCGGCATAGGCAATCTAATAATCTCGACTGCAGTGATTACCGTGGAATCGCAGTTTGGTGATATAGAATTCAACACTATGGATTCACCAATGCCTTTCCTATTCTACCTTAAAGATATAGATTGCCTACACATTAAGTTTAATAACCTTACCAACGAGATGATCCAGGGAGTGTGTGTGTGTGTGTGTGTGTGTGTGTGTGTATATTTAACGGCCGTGGTTCGTGACTCGCACGCTTCCCACCGATCCCTACTGGGACATAGGCCGCCGAGGGGTAAGCCTCGGGTTTCGGGTCCTATCAGATTTATGTACAAATAAGAGACTCTTTGGCGCATTTCCATAGCTGCCGTGGTCTTACAGGGAGGTCCACTTTGAGTGGGTTTTAGGTATTTGCCAGCTGCAATGGTCCGCCTACACTCCATGACCTATCACTCCACCACTATTATAACTGAATAGTAAGTTTTGCAGAGAGGGAAAGAAAGAAGAGAAGAGAAAGAAAGAAGGAGAAGAGAAATATAAAGGAAGAGTAGGGCTGTCTTAACTAGGTGCTAAGGAGAGGTTGGCGAGGGCAGATATCCTCAAAGAAGTGGGTCTCTGCTAGCCATGAGGCTAGCTTTTGTGCTCCTTTAGCAGTGCCTAAGAGAAAAGAGATGACCTCAGAAGGGGGCCCAGGAGGCCGAGGGGCTCGTCTCTTAGCTATATGACAGAAGAAGAAGTGCAGAGGTGCTTTTCGTGCTCCACATCGGCAGAGAAGATAAGCGTCATCATGGTTGAAGCGTTCATGGTAGTCTGCAAAGTCTCCATGACCAGTACGGGCCGCAATAACATGGCCGAGATGATCCAGGGAGACCTTATTATACCGGTTATTCATAAGCGAGGCCACCCGTGGTTCTTCCTGGATGAGAAGTATGCACCAGAGACATTTCTAACTGAGGTCGAGATGAGGCGGTTATACCAACAGTTTGGTCACCCTGCAGTTGATAGGCTACACAAGGTCTTAAAGCGTGCAGGCTATCTTGATGTGGATTATAAGATGCTTATATAGATTGAAGAATTCTACCACCATTGCTAAATGAACTGGCAAGCATCTAAACAGTTCAAATTCACATTGCATAATGACTGCAAGTACAACTATGAGATTGTTGTTGATGTTATGTATCTTGATGGCAAGCCAGTACTGCACATCATTGACTGGGCAATCTTATTCTAAGCAGTGAAATTCTTGAAGTCTCTGTCGACTAAGAACACCTGGGAAGTACTCTGGGCAGCGTGGATTGATATATATCTTGGTCCCCCTGATATCATATTTAATGACGCAGGAATGAATTTTGCTGCAGTAGAATTTAGAACTAAGGCCAAGATGATGGGAATCCAATGCCACTAGGTGCTAGTTGAGGCTCATAACACTATTGGCAAGGTCGAATGGTACCACGCACCACTGCGCTACACTTATAATATTATATTGTTGGAACTTAGTGTAAGCGTCGACAAGGAGATCATGCTTCAGATGATAGTTAAGGCCATCAATAACACAGTAGGACCAGACAGATTAGTACCAACCATACTAGTCTTTGGTGTCTATCCTCGTATGACTTACGACTTGCTACTATCAGCATTGACAGTAAAGTGTGCCCAGGCCATAAGGAAGGCCATGATTGACTTAAGGAATGCTGTGGCCACATGTAAAGTTAATAACGCTCTTAACACTAGGAATAGCCCAGTCATCACAGGAACGCTTAACCTGGCACCAGGAACCAACGTGTAGGTCTAGTGAGAAGGTAAAGGATGGACTGGCCCGCACAAAGTTATCTCAGTCAACAATTACAATATGATTGTGGACCTACCCAGCGGTGTCACTGATTTCCGTGCAACTTCAGTACGACATTACTAGCGAGATGAGATCGAGTCGCCTCTGACTCGGCGCCTACTAGGCACTAATCTTCCTCCTTAAAAGGAGGAAAAAGGTAGAGAAATCGATGGCCTACTGGCGGGCCGGCAAAGTGGCCCAGTATTTGCTCGGGGATCCTCCTCATGCGATGCTGCTGCTGGCGCGCTACAAGAAGAAGTGGAATCAGGAGAGCCTACTGGCGCTATAAATCTGAATCGCTGCCTAAGGATGAGAGGGATTCATGTTCCTAACGCACTAGTGATGCCGCCAGCGCTATGCCGCCGAGGACAACCTCTAGGTTTGAAGAACAAGCTAAAGACCTATACCACTGAGGTCAAGGTGTTCCTATCTAGGAAGGAAAAAGACGACCTAGAACTAGCAGTCAAGCTACGCTGAGAAGGGAAGATAACTGCGGACGGCGCGCGATTTGAGCTCTCTGCAATGGCTGAGATCGATGGTCTCATTGCGAATGGCACTTTCAAGATAATGCACTGTGATAATCTGGATCTCAGAGATGTACGAATCTTCAACTCCCGGTTAGTCAATAAGATAAAAGGCAAGAACGAGAAACTATACAAGAAGTCACGCCTCATCATACAGGGTTATAACAACGCGGGCAAAACTAGCATATTGATACAAGCGCCGACAATTCAGTGCGCCAGCCAGCGCCTTATTATGTCACTTATCGCTACGCTGATTCTCATGGGCATGGTCATTAATCTGTGTGATATTACCCAGGCACACACACAGTCAAAAAGCAAGCTACAGCGCCTGATTGTTACTAACCTGCCGGCCAAGATAAGAGATAAATACCCGCCAGATTCGCTACTCCTTATGGAAGGTGCCTTGTACGGGATCCCTGAAGCCAGTGTACACTGGTTTGATACATATCAATCCCATCATAAGGACTGGCTAGGTATGAAGACATCCACATACGACCCATGCCTCCTCATGACAACTAAAGGAAAGAAGAACTTTAGCCTTGTTGATATACAGATGGACGATACCCTACTCATCTTAACAGAAAGTTTTGCTGGAGAGGAATAAGTGGCCTTACAAGAAGCTGGCTTCAAGGCAAAGCCTAAGACACGCCTATCCCAACAAGTGCCAATAGAATTTAATAGCACTAGAATCACTTTGCAAGATAGGAAGGTCTATCTCCGCCAAAAGGGCCAAGCTACAAAGATAAAGCCAGTAGGCAAGGAAGATCGCGCACAAAAGTACATAGAACAATGCGCGCGTGGTGCGTACTTAGCTTCAATCTGCCAACCCAAAGCGGCATACGACTTGGCAATGGCCGCTCAACTACAGGAGAAAGACTGATCTGAGGCAGATTATGACGCGTTAAATAAACGTCTCATATAGTAAGCCGAGAACCCAGATAGAGGTCTCTGCTTCGTTCCGATTAATTTGATCAAGGCCAAGATTATGATATTTACTGACAGTTCCTTCGCCAATAACTGGGACTTGACCTCCCAAATTGGCTTCCTCATTGCCATAGTAAATGAGGACTTTTCCAAATCAGGCTAATTCACGATAACCAGTAATATCTTGCACTAGGCTTCATCTAAGTGCAAGTGGATTACACATAGTATACTGGCCTCCGAGATTTATGGCCTCACTACTGGCTTCGACCAAGGTTTTACCCTGGCCAGTACAGTCAACATGATTACCAAGAGGCTCGGCCAGCCTGAGATGCCGGTAGTAGTCTGCACGGATTCATACTCGCTATATGAGTGCCTCACGAAGCTTGGAACAACCAAAGAAAAGCGCTTAATGATCAATCTCATGGCGCTTCGCCAGTCATATGAGCGACATGAGATTGACGAGATCCGATGGATCCACGGTGATGATAACCCTGCAGATACCTTTACAAAGTTAAACCCGAACAAGGCCCTGCGGGACTTCATTGGATCTAACAAGGTGACGATCTGGGTGGAAGGCTTCGTTGAGAGGACCAGGATTGATTAGGAGCCAACTAGGAGCCGAATAGGTGGCATATAGGAGGTAGTGCTGACTTACGATAGCGATTCGCTTGTTGATTGTTTTGTCATGTTTTACTATGGGTTTTCACAGGTTTCTGGATCTTAATTGCAAATCGATTTGTAAAAGAGATCCAGTGTTGGTTGCTTCATGCGATCGAGATGTGTTAGATAAGCTGGCTTTCCAATGAAGCGATCAATCCGAAACTGTCATGTGTAAGAGAATGGTCTCAAGTTTACCCCATGGGATAGCTTACAAATCAGCTCAGGAGAAGGTCTATATAGACGCGGCTTTGGAACATGATGTACTTAAAAAGATAGACACAGAACTGGATGAATACCCATTGAAATTGACTCCATTGCTTCGTACGTACGTACATGCAACTTAGTGCACCCACAATCGGTAATATATACAGGCGCACGGAATAGCCTTGCAAACTAAGCAGGTTGAACTTAGTGTTCCTACTTGGCGGATAGTATTTTGTCTCTCACTAAATCAGATACTATTGGTTACAGTCGGCCATTTGGAGTCAGGACGCGGCTATGCAATTTCTGCCTCGATGACAGACTCAGCTCCAAGACCGTGGCTATAGATCTGGATTATCTTGAACCCCGACTCCTCTAACAAAGAGGTCCACTGCGCCTCAGTTCCTGTATCATTGTTAGTCCGTGATAGAGAAGAGAAGAAGTTCGAGACAGTGACAGCCGAGATATAGGATGTTATTTACATACTTTCCATACCAGAGACCATCGCCATCATTGCAATGTCAGAAGATGTCCCAGTCTCTTTAGGTTCATTCGTATCAAGCACAACTTCATGGAGGAGCAGTTTGCTGTAGCCTTTTTTCATGCCTGCTTTCTGATTACTTAGAATCTTTTTGCAGTCTGCATCGGGCCAGTCGTGAAGGATGAAATGTCTGTATAAAAAGTTAGAAGTCTGTTCTCTGAAGCGAAAAATGTGTGAGATCGGCCAGAAAAAAGCATTATGCCTTACAAGTAATAGGCCGCAGCCCCTTCCACCGGCTGAGGCGTAAAAAAATCATACTCCAACTTTTTAATTGCTGGAATCAACTCGCCCGCATTTTCAAGCACGGGTGCCCGATCCTGAAGCACAAGGGTTTCCGGTTTGAAGTCGAAGATCTTTGAGAAAGAGAGCAAATCATGACCCAAACTCCCTCCAACATCAACAAGAACAACGCTACTTTCTCCCGAAGCACCGTTCAATAGTTTCTCAGTAGGGTATACTTGAGAAAGAGTTGGTCTATTTCCAGCATAAGTCTGCATAACAGTCCCAATGACTTTCTCAGCATCAGGATGCTCCTTCAGCCATTCCCAGAGAGGAGCTTTGGCCCACTTGGCAAATGAGCTATTGACTTGGTCAGTCGGATTTTGGAAGTTTATGCCCTCAACGTAACTTGGAAGTGTATGGAGGGCAGGGCCTTGGACCTCGAAATACAAGGGAACGGTGCTTGCAATCTGAGGGCCGTCTCCAAGTGCCACGGTGAACGGGGTGAGGCCAAAAACCCCAGGCTGGACAACTTTGAGTAGATTCGTACCAGCAAGCTGCCAGACGATTCGGGCTATGTCACATGGCAAGATAGATCAGTAACCCGATCAACATAACGAGCTTTTTGCCATTCGTAACGGCGACAAAGTGGTCTTCTTGAGAAAGACTCAATTCTCAAAACTTACAGAGGAGTTGATAGTCACAAGTGACAAGCTTGGAAATTTCCTCTAAAGTCTTTGGACCGCTACCATCGGCAACCCATTTATCCCACAGGCCGATCTTGTTTCCGATTTCTAGGCAAGCCATACGCGACGGCTCAATCCATGACTGACGGAAAGCTGTCTCCCACGGCGACTCAAGGCGGGTAATTAGGGCCCGCGCTTCCGCAACGGCCTGTTGACGATCAGATTCGGAGGTGAAGGACTCCTTTGAGATTGAGCGCAGATTTGACGCAATGTTTGCCATCTTGATAGGATCGATAGATTTGTGATAAAAACTAAGGCTTTCTTTGCGTCATAAATAGATGGGAAGAGTTCTGCTCTGCATCTATAAATGTAAACGCAACCCATGGATGGGTGGTTCCAGCGGTAATTGTTTTCACTCATATCTAAGCGATTATTCATCTGTTCAAACGGCTTCAAACAAAGACATCGGAAAATTTACCCCTCATTATATTTACCTAGCCCCTCGTCATATGCTGGATTAGGACAAGGATTAAATGCAACTAGAAGCGGCGCAGGCGCCAGGGTCCAACTTGGACTACTTAGGATAGGCTCAGATGCAGGATAAGTCCTAATTATAATGACTTTTGTCAGATTTACCGGCGTTTATTTACCCTTGATATTGTGAAATTGATAGAAACAAGATGATTTTTTTTAATTTCTCAACTGAAGGCTTGAATTTCTCTCTGCTTTTTTTTTGACCAATTTGTGCTGTTTCTAACAGGGAATTGTCCTCTATAATGAAGAATCAAAACCCCTCGCTTTAATACGTGTTTCTTCCTGATTGGTACGCCAGCTGGGCCTCGCTGCGCTGTGCACTTCACCAATAATATCTAACAACTTTCAGGGATACAGTTGTCACGTTGAATTTTGCAATTCTTTTAAGACATTGGTACATTGTCATCCTCTGAACCTGTGGCGCATGGCCGTGCATTTGTGTAACAACCGACATGTCGGATTGGTCGGTTAACTCCAGGCCAATCCTTAATAATTGTTTATGAGGATAGTAAAAGAAGAAGTGACTAGCAAGATTCTATGTGTTCCGTTCTCTGTCTATCTTTCAAGTTTCAAAGCCGGGTCCTTTATAGACATCTTTGGCGCGGTGATTTGTGAGCTATCAGGACGGGTAAATATTGGGCTGAAAGCTAGGTGCCCAGAGATATGCCTAAAGGTGCCTTTTAGGCCTGTAAGATTGAACAGTCGATCTCTCTGCCTCGTTTGAAAGCCAGATTATCTGACACGACATGCCTGTCAAACCTCCTAGGGGTTAGGGTTAGAATAGAGAGTGGCAAAAGGGTGGATACTTCAGCTGGTCATGGTCAAGGTTCAGCTGGCTATGGTCAATGTTCAGCTGGCCATGGGTAATAATGTATTGCCGTGAAACAACATGAATGTCTCTTTATATAGAATGCACACTGCGGAAGCAGAAGAGATAGGTTTTAGTACATTGACATTCCTAGACTTCCGCATAACCCAACTTGGGTCGAAGGTCTCGACCCAAAACTCAACCCGGACCCAATGCTGGGGCCCCAATAAAACCCATTAAGACCCAACGTGATCCAACTTTTGCATAAATTTGATCATAAAGCTGCTTAGTCATCAAAATAACATAACGTGTTTCACGGGTAAGCGGCGCACCCGGGTAAGTGGCACACCACATCAAAATTCCATCCGGATTTCTAGCAACAACTTTCCGCAGAACCAACAGCATTAAAAAATGGTTAAATCGCGTACGAAAAATGATCCTAGCTATGAAGGGAGGCTTTCTCTTGCTATTGATGCGCTAAATAACGAAAAAATCACGAAATTACGCGACGCCGCACGCACTTTTGACGTATCTTTAACAACACTGCGAAGGCGCCTGAAGGGCTCAGTTCCAGCGCATAATGCCGGTATTACACGCAGAAAGATGACCCCTACAGAAGAAGCTGTACTCCGGGGTTGGGTCTTCTCACTAGAGCGCCGTGGCGTTCCGCCTAGGCAGCATATGCTCCATGAAATGGCAAATATTTTGCTAGCTCAAAGAGATCCTACCAAAATACCTGAGAAGGTTGGTAAGAATTGGGTAACAACCTTTCTTAAGCGACAACCGGATCTCAAGGCTAAATTCGCACGCCGATTATCCTATTCTAGAGCTCTTTGTGAAGATCCAGTCGTTATTGGTGGCTTTTTTGAGGAGATTAAGCAGCTCAAAGAGGAATATGGGATTGCCGATGAAGATATATACAACTTTGACGAGACAGGGTTCGCCATGGGGATCTCTTCTACAGCAAAAGTTATATGCAGCTCAGATCGTTCAGGAAAACCTAGCCTCATTCAGCCAGGAAATCGTGAATGGGTTACTGTTGTTGAGTGCGTTGGAAGCACCGGCACTGTGGTGCCTCCCCTGATTATATTCAAATCCGGCACCAACAGAGCTGAGTGGTATACAAGCCCAAAGCTTCCCCCTGATTGGTCAATTACGCACTCTCCAAATGGCTGAACATCTGATGAAATCGGCTTACAGTGGCTAGAAAGGATATTTGAGCCAAAAACGAGGCCTCTCACAGTTGGTACCTATCGGCTTTTGATACTTGATGGCCATAGCAGCCATTTAACACCGGGATTTGATCAGGCATGTAAAAATAATAATATTATTGCATGTTGCATGCCTCCTCATTCATCTCATCTTCTTCAGCCTCTAGATGTAGGGGTGTTTTCAGTGTTGAAGCGCTTGTACGGGGCCGCCGTTGAGAGCCGGATTCGGATTGGGATTTACCATGTTGATAAGCTGGATTTCTTAGATATGCTTTACAGCGTACGGATCCAAACTTATACCACACAAAATATTAAGAGCGGCTTTTCACACACTGGGATTGTGCCATATAATCTACAAAAAGTCCTATCTCAGTTGCAAATTGCTGTCCGGGAGGCTACTCCAGCCTCAATTCGCCCTAGCACGTCAAGCAGCAGCACCTGGAGCCCAAAAACGCCTTACAATGCCCGTACGCTAGAAAAACAGGCCAAATCTGTCAAGAGATCTCTCAATATGGGAGATTTAGACAGCAATTCGCCATCGTGTCCGGCTTTTAACCAGTTGATCAAGGGATCCCTTGTAGTGATGCACCAAGCTGCCATTTTAGCTAGGGAGAACCATAACCTACGCGAAGCAAATGATATTTTACAGAAGCGCCGCACTCGCCGTACAAAAGCCCTACAAGCCGATGGTATTTTGACAGTCGCTGAAGGCCGAGAGCTTGCTCAGGAGCTTCCTGAAGAGGCTCAACCCCCTCCTCCACCCAACGGGAGCGCGCCTTTGCAGCCAGCTCAACGGGCCCTACCAAGGTGTAGTAATTGCTGGGAAATAGGGCATAAGCGCAATCGCTGTCCAAATATATCTACATAGGTAAATATTAATTTATTCACTGTTTGCATATAAATTGTACGAGTTCTTTGAACCAAGTGGGATGCGGCTGTGCCACTTACCCGGGTGCGCCGTTTACCCGTGAAACACGTTACTGTTTTTTACATCTGTTCACCAACTATCACTATATGTTTGTGGTATAAGTCTCTTAAAAATGTTAAGATTAAGTAGGTTGGGGAACCTGAACATGGAAGCTTGATATTCTGGCTAGTGATTGTAGAAATATATATTTACTAGATGCAATAGCAGTAATATTGATTGATTGATTCATACACGCATCTAAGCCTAGTGGCCGGCGGCGCCTTCTAATTGGGCAGCGTGCGTACTGCCGTACAAAAGCATAAATCAACGTCAACGTGCCAAGACTTCCGGCTTGGCGCTGGCTCAATCAACACCACGCGAAAATCCCAACACATATCCGTATCCAGATCCGAAGAACACCAACAGATAACGAGCGAACAGAACGCCGAAATAACAAAGGAAATGTGTATATATACAAAAGGAGTGAAGGATCTCGGTGCGGAGTGACGTGATATATGTGCTTTGGTGCCCGGTTCTATTTCTAAACGTGTCGAGTGGCTGATCCGTGCGAGCCAAATCAACGTGGTTACTCTTCATCAAGATAGCGTCGCACTCACTGTGAGCGCGTGATTATTAGGGGGATTGCGTGACGGAACTGTGTCAATAGACCAGTCCACATCATGAAATCGATACTCTGCTGAACCCACTGAGGTTCGCTGAGGAGCTTCCGATAGTCTGTTTCGCGTGCTTCTTTCCAGAGGGTCTTCAAACGTAGGTTTATATGGATAGGGCACCGTACGAGGACGTGGGCCGTATCCTGATCTCCAAGGCCACATTGGCATTGAGGTGAGTCTTCAATCCGTACACTCGCTAGGAAGCTGCGTAGCGCTGATTTACCTGTTTGTAGTTGGATCAACACCGAACTCCAGGCCCGTTGTAATCCTTCGTGCAGCTGCAACACTGTCTTCGTTGGCTCTTTAATTATCCGATAGAGATGCCGTCCATGCTTAGCATACTCCCACTGATCCTTCCACCACTTTGCAAAGCCTACATGTAGTCTCTGGTGACACACTGCAACAAAGATAGTTGACTGATTTGGAATATATGACATTCGTGCGGCGTGTGGTGTATTCTGGTTGGGTGCATTGATCCTGGCTATACGGGCGTTCTCCTATGTACGCCGTGTCGCCTCAACTGCAGCCAACTTTGCAAGTTGGTCTGCTTTCTTGTTGCCTGGGACCCCTTCGTGGCCTGGCACCCACTGTAGTCGTACACGCCATCGGGATCGGTTGTCGCGTAGGAGGCCCAGGTGTCGTACGATCCTTCGGATGATATACTGCCCAGAGGACCGCCCTGGCTGGCACGTGGCGCGTATCGCGGCTTGATTATCTGTGTAGATCGTGGCTTCGTGTGGGTTGTCGCCACGTGGCTGGCTTTGGAGTAGGATTTCCAATGCCGCGTCGATTCCCTCCAGCTCCCCTGCGTAAACAGTATGTGTATCAGATGAGCCTACTGGCTTATAGGCCTGTCCTATTGATGAGTAGACTGCTGCCCCAATCCCATTGTCAAGCCACTTCCGTCGGTAAAGAACTGTATTAATATATCTATTCCTGAGGTTGCTTCAATAGCCTTAATAGCCTCCTCACAGGTGTCGTCAATCCTTGCTTCTGGTGGCTCCCACCATGGTGGTACTACAAAGGGGTAGATCGTCTTGATACGTTGACTAGTATCACGTCTAAGTTTGCGGTTGATGGCTGTTTCCAATCGGTGAAGTGGCGACGTATATGGGTCGTTACGGTGGGCTTAGCCACGTATGTAGTAAAGCGTAGATCGAAGTGGCGAGGTCATGATCCGCAGGCAGGCCTCCTCAGCCAGCTTTGCGAGCGTGAGCTCTGCAGGTGGTACGTGGAGGCAGACCTCTAGGGCCTGTTGTGACGTACGTTTGAAGGCGTCAGATATCCGGTGAAGAGCCTGATCCTGGATCGATTGGATAGCTTGCTCCGCAACCCGTTGCGCACCAGTGAAGCCTTTTCTACCTTGTATATACCATGTGGAGCACGTGTACATGATTTGTGGCTGGAGAACAGCCATATATATTTTCCTTAGATGAACTAGGGGCGTTCCCCATGTCAATCCTGTGATTGAGCTTAATCCTGCTACCAGTTTTGCCACCTTCTCTCTCATCTCCTGTACGTGCACTTCCCCGCTGAGGTAGGTATCCAGATAGAACCCGAGATATTTGATCGAGTCCACAGGCTTGATTTCCACTCCCTTGATTATGAGAGGCATATCCAGCCTACCCCTTGGTTTAGGCACCGTTTGGTGCTTCCGCCAGAAGTGGGTAAGTTAATATTTGGCAGGTGCGAATTTAGAGGCATGAGTCCTCTCCTAGCGCTCTGCGACTTGGTGCGCTTTAGTGAGTGTGCGGCAGTTGGCTGCGGCGGAGGTCCCAAACGCCATGATGAAGATATCATTAATATATCTAAGTACGACCACATCCGGGCACTCAGCGAGTATCTGTTCAATAAGGTCTGCATTAAAGAATAGGAATAAGATTGGTGATAGTGGGGAGCCCTGTGGGATGCCTGTATTGACTGGAAATTCCCCCATATTGCCCTTTAGGTGCATGATTGACGTGTGGCAATTGCTTAGAAAGCTCTCAATCCAGCTAATCAGGTCTTCTGGCACCCAGGCCTTTCGTAGGTCGTGTATCAGCCTTATATGATTGACGTTATCAAAAGCCCCCGCCGCGTTAAGTGTAAGCCCTGAGGCTACTCGTGAGTCCTCTCTCCACGCACTATGGGTCTCTTCTAGTAGGAGATAGATTGCCAGCTCGCATGAGCGGCCGCGACGTCCTCCAATATGTTGCTTTAGTAGAAGATTGTATTGCTCTACTAGATAGCTGAGCCTCCTAGCTAACACTGATTCTAGTGCTTTACCAATCATGCTTAGTAACACTATTGGGCGGTATGCCTTTGGGTCAGAGTAATCAGGCTTTCCAGGCTTGCGAAGGATGACTGTTGTCGACCTTCGGAAGTGGCCAGGGCAGTATCATTGACGTAGACACGCATTAAAGAGATTAACGAGATAGGCCTCAATAGTAGGAAGCAGCCTTTGAAGGACCAGATTAGAGATCCTATCTGGCCCTGGTGCTTTATCAGGCTCCACATTATTTATTGCGGTGCGGACTTCGTCTAATGTAATTAGTGGCATCACATATGGTTTGGGATATCTGAATTGTGGCTCAATGTCCAATAAATCTGCCTCTGGGGGCTCCGGATGGAGGACCTCTCGGAATAGAGCTGCTTTCTCCTTTGGGGCTGTATAATTCGTGTTATTATAGTGTAGTGTTGGAGTAAATGTGGCACGTGGCTTACCCTAGTTGCGGACCCAATGGGCAATCCTCCAGAAACCATCTATTGACTCTGTTGCCTACTCGATTCATTGGCGGTGTAGATCTCATGCGAGCTCGTTAGTGCGCCGTTTCATCTCTTTCCTAGCCTCTGCGTAGTCCTCTCATGCCTAATCTGTGTTTATACGACGTGCGTGTTGTCGACACCTGGACACATAGTGTTTGAGCTTCACCATCTCTGGGGTGTAGCCCGCGCGTGAGTAGGTGGTAATCTACTTTGTAGGGGTCGCCTGCTCAGCTATTTGATTGATTGCCTTGACCAGATCGCAGATCGCCTCATTGATCGCCTCATTGTTATTGAGCTCCCTTGGGTGCCAGTAGTACGTATCCATCAGTTTAAGGAAGAGGTCCCAATCTGTTGCATTCCACTGCTTGCGGACCATTGGAGGAACATGTACAGCCATAAGGTTAAATTGAGTAAGGATTAGGACGTGATCTGCACCATACCACCACTCTCTCTTAGTGTCGCAGCTCACTACCCGGTTGGCTAGATCGTGCGATGCCTACACTAGATCAATTGTAGATTTGGCGTTTGCCCTCTCGTATGTGATCGTGCCTGGTGATAGAAGCTGCTCAAGCCCATGCTCATCCATAAGGTCAATCAGTTTGGTAGCCTCCTCGTCAACATGTCGATATCATGTGCCCGCCCATAGCGGGTGATGTCTATTGAAGTCTCCCAATACGATATGCTGCGCCCTAGGTGCCATAGCAGTTTGTAGGGCGCTGATTACAGATTCCTCGTTACTATTAACTCCTGGATTGTATACATTGTGAATATGGATAGTTCTATGGGCGGCTGTATGAAGTGTCAACGTGCTCAGATCTCTATTATAGTATTGAACCTCCCATATGACTGGATCCAGCCCTCTATTGATGTAGAAACAGACACATGGACGTTTCTTGTATTCCTCTCAGGGTGTCGGCTATAGTAGAATATGGAAGTTGCCCTTGAGCGCTAGTGAGTAGGTTGTTAGTGGGTTGGTATGTTTATTGATGTAGGGTTCCTGGATAGCCAGGATATCGTAATTTTGCATCTCCCTCTCACCAAAGAGATGCATCTGGACCTCGTCCCACGATTTCCAGCAGTTAGCCTGCAGGATTTGTAGTCGATTGGTGTTACGATACATTACTGATTGTTAGCCCAGGTGCTATCTTCAAGGTTCGTGGTCATTAGTGTATCAGCCTCCTGAGCTGGCTCAATTGGCTCCTGAGGGGCTTCGTGGATCGACGGCTGGGTGAGTTCATCCTCAGATGAATTATCATCTAGGATTGTACACACGCTCTTTGGTGGACAGTCCTAACAGCTTGTATATATAGGATTTCCAGTGGAGCAATATCTAATTGCAGAACTGGGGTTCCTGGTGGAGGCTTCGTATTCTGACGTGCACGTGTGTTATATGTATATTTAATCTGGGTCTCAGGTCCTGTCTTAGGTTCAGGATTAGGATCTGCATCTATAACTAGATCTTTATCCCACTGCGCTCTCATAGGCTTTTTCGAGGATCTATTGGTGGGATCACCTGATGTAGGGCTTATCGGCTCGGGCTCGGATTGTTCTGCCACTCGTTTTCGTGCGGCTACTACGCTCTTACTTCTCGAGTTGGCAGATCAACGTGTGGTAATTGTACGAGCCGGCGCGCGAGGGCTTCGCTCTGTATTAGTTGCTTCAGCTGGTGTAGAGTCATTTGGTGAGATGGCTCCGGGCCGGATATTGCCAGGTCGTATTACAGGAGTGTAATATTGTGGGCCATATGTACGTCGTTGATGCGCCTCTACGAGGCACGTAGCTCGTATTGGGCACTCCCTCGCGTACGCAAAGTGTTTCGTATCGAGTCTCTTAGCGGGATCTTTGATATGGACATTTTCTGCAGTGCAATTAGCACATTTAGCATATTCTTTCTCTTTTGGTGTAGGGCAATCCCCTGTATCATGAGATCCGGCGCAGTACGCGCAGCAGATCTGGCGCTGACAGTGCCTGGCGATATGTTTATACATCTGACACTTGAAGCACTGCTGGAGATTGGCTGTTTTGTCGTATATTGAGACATTGTGCTGTCTTCCCTTAATATTTTTTTGCCACTGTGTGGATTGTGGAGACGGACTGATTAATATCATAAGTATGAGTCAATGTCCTAACATGAAATACTAGTTAGTTAGTGCCTTCTACTTTGTCTACTACGTAGTAAGTAAATAGGATCGCCGTTCTGACTAAGGATATTTTATAGGTTATTTTTTGCAATTAGGACATAGCTTGAGTCACTGTCTAGACAGTCGACACCATTCAAAGAGCCGGAGAAGAACATAGATATGGCAACTGTAGCCCACAAGGACCAATTCATAGCAGAGGATGATCAGCCAGATTTGAGAGGTTATATTTTCTAAGGACTTCAGCAATTATGGTGGAACCACACTTTCCCGAATTGATGCTGTTCTACGAAGAAGATACAAGCCCCTCCGTCATTAAATTGGATGGCTGTCAAGGACGGATGTTGTGTCCATAATAGAGGAGCACCAAACCATTGCGCGTGATCTGCCCTATATCTCTGAATGTGTGCGATACCACTGCTCCTCTGTGTCTGTATATGCTAAGCTGAGAATCTTCAACTGGTCATCATCTGCTTGTTCATAACCATACTCCCTAGCAATATCGTCCTCGATACGGACCCAGTGCACGGTAAGAGATGCAACCAATCGGTCTAGATTGCTGAAATCCTTTTCTAGCCCCCCTTTCAGCTCCTGGATTTAATCGTTCAAAGCGGTATGCTGATCAGAAACGCTGTCCAGCCCCTTTTGGACCTTTGCTCGTATGGCCTTCACCTTTTTGGATACAGCCCGCTGACGACGTTTGCCCTCGTAGATTGGGTCAATCAGGCCGCTCGGTTCCCAGTGTCTCATGGGCCGTGCAGGATCTAGTTCGAGATCAGTGTAGCTCTAGAGAGAATACAGGAGTTGGCTCACCTCCAGCTTGGCCACTAGCTTGACGCACATACACGCCGTAATACGGTATTTGAGGCGGATGTTGCACCATCAGTGCGCGCAGGCGGTGTTCCTCAGCAATATTTTCATCTCCAAGACAGTGAGAAGACGGTGAAGTGATAGACATCTCATGGTCAGTGTACTGTTGTGAGTTGAGTGTTGTCACTGGATTGTCTGAGTTCAGGAGCACTAAATCACGGTTGGTCAGAAACAGGATTACGCCATAATCGATTAACTCACCGCTGGGAATGTAGTGGGATATCGAAAAATGAGAGAGGTAGAGAGAAGGAAAAGGTTATCCCTGGCCTGGTGTATGAGGTCCGTGACGCGCTAGCCGAGAATCGGGCCCCTCGGGTAACTCAAATATGCCAGCGAATCCAGCCAAAAATACCGTGCGAGTTACGCTAGAGCCCTCAGTTGCAAGGATTATTTTGTATGCAGTTATCGCCCAGTTACCCGTTTCAAAGTGATGTATGAGGTCCCCGGAACGCGTCCGCCCTCAGTAATTACGCGTAGGTATGGGAATCAAGCTCCTATTTTTATCCACCACCAACTCTGCCTGTATACTGTTGCATCGATTCTGGCTGACCAAATGCAGTGTGGAGTCATGGAAATAGACGCGCTATCGCGCATTGCCGCTGGCCTGATTGTCAGGGTTGATTACGCGATGGACTGGCTCTTGAGCCTCCTTCTAAGGATGGCTCCTCTACAGATACATACAGGTCCCTGACATCGCGACCACCGAGCTCGAGCCTCCCCAACCGGAAGATATCGCTATACAAAAGGCTCTTGATGAGGTCCTTGAGTATCATAGAGTTCACCGGCCTAAGAATACAATGAAAAACTATGAGCCAAAGCAGAAGGAGTGGAAGGTAGTTATTAGGTTTCTCCTCGCTTTTCACATACTTCAAGTGCTAACTCTGAGGTCCTAGGCCTGGTGCAAAAAGATGGGCTTCAAGGAAGGCGGCAGATATCTTCCAGGAGACTATGTTGACGAAGGGAAGCTCCTCCTCTTTATTAAAGAGGAAGTTGCTAGCCGCCCTCCACGCCGCGGACAGAGGCTCAAGGCAGAGAGGAAGCGCAAGAGAACAGCAGCAGAAGTACTGTCAGAAGGGCCTCCCTCTAAGCGGAAGAGAGAGAAGATCAGTGTTCCCTCTATGGCGTTTGAAGAGCTACCTGTTGAGAGCGATGATGACGAGGCTTGCTCTGAACTTGTCCTGATATACAATACTGTACGAAGCTATTGCTCTGCTATTAATGAGCTCTAGGCACATCAGACCTCATTAGGCCTCCACAATGCAGCGCGACCACAGAGGGTGGCTATGACTGCTCTGAAGACATCGATTGCCCGAGGCCAGCACCAACGCCAATATGATGAGTTTACGGACTGTGGGCTAGCTACTATACGAGATGGATATGTTGCTTCTCAGATTCCTAATCTTACAAGAAAGGTCTGGGCCCAGTGCCTAGGGCAGAATCAGATTGAGCAACAGTTCCATACACAGCTATGCTTTCTTTTTGGCAACTCTATGCTGCTAAGATTAAGCAATCGGCTGCCTATGGAACTGCCAGGTCTATTCTCAATGCCCCTGCCTAATGAAGGGCTAAAAGGCAAAGACTAGTGTCTTGTTACTGTGATGAACCAGGGTAAAACAAACCAACATGGCCGGCTTGAGTATGAGGCGGCTCTGCGGCATCGAGATTACCAGTCCTATCTTATAGGTGCTCTAGCAATCTATTTCTTCTGGAGATGGCACTATTCTAGAGAGTCGTTCCCTTGTTTCTGGACCAGTCAAGACTGGTATAATATTAAGGTGCTTAAGCGAGATAATAATCATCTTACTGAACCTCTAAGCGATAGCACAGCGGCATCCTGGACCCGACGCCTATATAGTGAGGCAGGGATCAAGAGCTCCAAGGTAACACATGCAGGATGGGTCTCTGGGGCTAGACTTGCTGAGTTGAATGGAGTCTCTGAAGATCAGGTAAGTAAGCTCTATCATCTCTATCTATTTAAGTTAACCTCCAGCCTCTAGATTCGCCGGGGCGGTCGCTGGAATGCAGACCAGATGACTGGTTGTTACTTGACTACTCTGCCTCAATCCTTTATGCATGGTATCGCAGACTTTGACCCTGACTAGTCATCAAACTATTACTTGCCTCGGGAGACTGTCTGCCCTCCACCAGCATTATTAAAGCGTGTGTGGCCAGACCTGGATAGGTGGCAAGCAGCACATTTAGAAAGGACAGATGCAACTAAGAGAGTAGAGCCAAATATTGCTGCTGGTGGATTTCTAGAACTCTTATAGAGGCTTAGAACTGTATTCTTATAGGACTCTGTACTCTAGCAGATGGAGTTTCCTAGCCACCCGATATTCCGAGACCCTCTCTTTCAGATGGCAGAATATAAGGCCTTTGAGTTAGATATTCATATGGCTGTTACAACAGTCATGAAAGAAGATCCTCATTCTATTGCTATTCAAAAGGCCATCCCCGCTGTAAACGACTGGCTTCGTACAATGACTGCAGCTATTCAGACTGGCCAGGTTACTCATTCACAAGCCCTTCGCTCATTAGAGGACTTAATGGTAAGCTGAATAGATCAACTAACAGCCACTATCAATGACTTTGTTGGTGGTACCTTCACCTATCAATTCATGCCTAGAGGCCAGATTGTTCCACCCCCTATCACAGGAGTAGCCTTTGGCCCTACAGCGCCTATTCAACTTCCTGTGACGGCACTTGAGAAAGCTTCATAGGCACCGCAATATCGTATGTTAAGGAACACTACAACAATCCTAGAACTGTGGAAAGAGTGGACTGTCGGGCTCAATGGCCAGCTTTCAATTGAGAGGCTCGATGAGCTCTATGGCTCTGGCTGGAGCTCAGGGCCTGAGAGCTCTGCTGAACGCCAGTTCTATTCTCGAAGGAAGACTCTCATTAATGAGATTAGAAGACTGGCTACTGTTGAAGATGCCTCTTTAGGGGATCCCTGTCAAACAGTTGTAGCAAAGTTAGAGGAAGAGCGGATACGGGCTGGTGCTTCACTAAGCAAGGTAATATATGCTTTAAAAAGGTCATAGTGTTTGTTAGCCAACTAGTAAAAAACAATTCATTAGACTACTTATCTAATTGTTCACCTCTTTTCTTTTTCAGTCTAGATATCTAACCCTAAGATTTGAACAATACCATACCTTACCTAGCATTCTTGACTTGATTGGTTGTCAGCGGAAGGAGACTCCACTATCTTGTCAAACTCTCATAACTTCTTCATTTGTAGGTATTTTTTCTTCTAATTGAGCTACAAGATAAAGCTGCAAGCCTATACTTTGGAGTTCAATTTTCTAGCTCATTGATTAAACGGATGTTGGTATATTGCGATCTGAATATCTTGGTATTGATGTTCCAGGGCAGTTACCGAAAACGCGCTGTAACTCAGTTATTCCCCACTAAAAAGCCCCTCAGATATCCTTCTGATATCTTGTGCGTGTAGTGCCAAATAACGCTAAACTATTTTGGGAAAGGTACACTGGAAGGTGGTGGTGATTTCTATCATTAGGTCTCAATCAAGGCGGTGTCTACGAAGCGTACACAATTTTACCGTATGTCCTCAACTAATTAAAAAATTAGCAATCGACATGACACAGATCGAGATGAAATTGGGACGGTATCTCACTTATCAAATTTGGGGTAGCGCCGCCATTCTACCACAACTCCTGCAACCGAGACGTTCAACATTGGGAATGTACTCTACTCTGACGTTCCATTTGGCCAACTCTCTATATTGATTGTCGACCATAAGGCGTCTCTGTGGGAACTAATTGTATGTTTCCTATACCACATTAGTGATAACTGATTAATGATACGATCAAAATCACCTTGGTGGATGACTAATGCGGTATTTACTTGAAAGGCGAGACAAGGCCTTCACAGAATGGCGTCTGATCAGCCACGATGGTATCCAAGGAGTGCCAAATTGTACCTTTACACCTTACAAGTAATTGACTCAGCTCCAGGGAAAATGGTTTGAGGCATGTTCAATCGGCACATGTTTCAAAGATAGAGACGCCTTGTAATGATAGTAATATCACTGCTTTTCTTGAGTATATTCCTTTTCAGTATAGTCGACACCAGAGGCCTGGCTGTGTGCGACACTCGCCGATTTCCTCCAGCGTTATCATACACCAGCAGACCGGCTGGTCGACGAAAACCACGAGAGCTGTCGCAGCCCACTCATGACGCCGCCTCCTGCCTGATTAGGATGCGTCAAACCGCAAGTCATTGTGAATATCAATTTCTGGGAGAGAGTACCCTCTATGCTGTATGATACCGAGCCACATTTCCTGGGTGGTAGAAATCTGATAGGCCATATTCTACGCCTCACGTTGTAGTTTCTCTCATCTCCACTTTCAGCGTTGTATCTAATGCCCCTGAGATAATAAGAGACGGGTTGCTCAGCCCCATTGTTGGTTGCTTCGTGCAATCGAGATGCCTGGCACTGGTATGCAGCTTAGAGAGGTCACGTATGGCTTACACGTGACCTCGTCAAGCAAGGACTATATAGACCGCGTCGGGGCCTCATTAAGACAGATAGACACAACAGAACACAAAACCGAAGAATCACCTATTGAGATTGACTCAAGTGCTTCGTACGTACGTATATGCACCTTAGTGCACCCACACCCATTGAAATAACGAATCATTGGATATCTGCTAGCTGAGGAAAGGTATAAATTGGGGTAACTTCCCACCGCAGCAGGAAAAATCCTTCTCAATTTTTTTATTGATGCTGACACGTCCAAAAAAATGGAGGGACAGCATCAATCAACTTATTTCCTGGTCAACAACTTGCGTATCCCAAGGTTCACACACGGAGTAGAAGGTGAACCCCTGGCTCCTGACACTGCTGCACAAACGTCACTTGGTTCTCCTCCCTTAATTATTCCCTTCGATGAGGAATTACCTCCATTGCAGCTATCTAGTTAGCGACTTTCGCACAATGAAGAGTCCAGTGGAGCACAGAATCTCCTTATTCCAGTCATTGAAATTAGTAAGGACGAGGGTGATAGTAGCATACTTCTTTCACAACCATCACGACCACGACGTCGAAATACTCGTCATCCCAATTATGCTTACCGAGACTACCAAGCCACAATGGACCATGCGATCTCGGCATCGTTTCTTAGTAAACAAGGAATAGAAGACTCGGATACGTCGAGCTTTCCGCCTAAAATCGTAAGGATCTCATTTTTAGATTTCTTGATCATGGCTGACAATCAATAGAGGCAATTGGTGACTGAAATAAAAGGACAGTATGAAGCCTTAGAAAAGCAAAACGAACAAACAGCCCAAAAAGACATCGATGGAAGAAGAAAAAGGATGAATGGAAGAAGAAAGAGAGAGAGCTCCATCGTCATATTCAATTTCTGCAGCGACAAGTCAACGAACAAAAGCAGCGCAATATTTTAAAGTGTGTTGTATGCCATAGAACATTCAATGAGAAGTGGAACGTTTTCAGCTGTGGCCATACTCTATGCAAAGACTGCGTGGATGATATTCATTCTAAGGGTTCGTTGTTTGAGTACTCTTGTGTTCAGTGCGAAAGACCGATTCAAGCTTGTTTCGACTTTTATCCAAACGTGGTGGAAGCGTAGACCTGGGTTGAGACCATACTAGCCTTATTCTTCCTGAACTTGAGTCGAAATCAATATCTCTGTTTTTCTGTACCGAGTCAGGATGATTGACAGATATCTCTCTGGTACATACTGAACGTGATAGGGAAATTGTATATGTGCCGAACTCCTTCGTAGTAGAAATATCCTGCTAAACTTTCGGAGAATCTTATGTGAAAGCCTTTTGTACTTGAGAATATATTAAGTCCTCGTGTTCGTATTTTCGTTATCCAGGATGGTGAATTTGTTTTTATTCTGGTGAAAGCTTCCCCTGTTTAAAGATTCTACGTTATTCAATGGTTATATGCCACTCATTAAATATTGGCTCCATTGTGTTCACTATATACTACAGAAGGAAGAACTGGGAGGGGGACTGTGAATAGAACCTGCCAGTGCCTAATCCCCTTGGAAATGGAGCTTCCAGAACCACTCACTACTTGTCTCCACTAGATCCAGAAACTAAAATCGACTACACCTTGCTGACTGCGAAAGCATACCATACAATTATCATTTTTGAGTTCTGCTGGATCTACTTGTCCCACTTGGCAGCGTAACAAGTGAACCACGATTCTAGTGAATTGCGGGTCAGTCTATATCGGTAACTTAAAAGTATTCGGAAAATCCGAGCAAAGAAAATCGCCACTTCCGGTCGAGACACCTTCTGTCATGTCAACTCGAGATGGCATTCTGGCAAATGACATGACAGGATGTCAATATACTGGTGGATTGGAGACGCATAGTGGGCATTACGGGATTGTTATTGCGCTTGGAATTTCCTGCTGTGCTCACATACATTTGGATAGCCGAATACGATGCGACTGACGATATTGCTTTGAATTTTGGCCAATGAAGGGTAGATATGCTACGGAATCATCTGCATAAGCGTCAGTTTCTTCCAATCATCAACTCCCTCTTACCGCCCGCAATCGCAAAGTCAGCCTTGTCAACACTCACCTTTATGAACCTCACATCGCAATGCGTATATTAAGAAAGTATATCTCGGATAGCTTATAACGAGCTGAAGTTATAAGGCTTCTAAGTACGAAAGGCTTCTTGAAAGCAAAGTCTTAACAAAAGGATGAATATCCGGTTCGATAGAAGAACGTATACTCAAGTTATCTCAGTTAGGGGGTGCCTAACACGGTTAATTCAAGACGGTAAACTAAAACTAGATACATGGTAAATGAGTGTCCTTATATATGCATCCGTCAATATATCCATAATACAACATATCTTGTCGGTGATCTCTCTGGTTGTATCATTGCTTTTATATATTGTATCAGCGATACAATATATCTAATCACTGATTAGTTCCCAGTTCTATCGGAACTTGCTGTGTACTAGCACAAACTCAGTTAAGCTCAATACTCAAAGATATCTTTATAGTTGTGGGTGCACTAAGGTGCATATACGTACGTACGAAGCACTTGAGTCAATCTCAATAGGTGATTCTTTCAGTTCTGTGTGTTCACTTCTTCTAAGTACATCATGTTCCAAAGCCGCGTCTATATAGACCTTCTCCTGAGCTGATTTGTAAGCTATCCCATGGGCCATGGGGTAAACCTGAGACCATTCTCTTACACATAACAGTTTCGGATTGATCGCTTCATTTGATGGCTTCATTGGAAAGCCAGCTTATCTGACACATCTCGATTGCATGAAGCAACCAACACTGGATCTCTTTTATAAATCGATTTGCAATCGAGATCCAGAAACCTGTGAAAAACCCATAGTAAAACATGACAAAACGATCAACAAGCGAACCGCTATCGTAAGTCAGCACTACCTCCCATATGCCACCTATTCGGCTCCTAGTCGACTCCTAATCAATCCTGGTCCTCTTAATGAAGCCTTCCACCTGGATCGTCACCTTGTTGGATCCAACGAAGTCCCGCAGGGCCTTGTTCGGGTTTGACTTTGTAAAGGCATCTGCAGGGTTGTCATCACCGTGGATCCATCGGATCTCGTCAATCTCATGTCGCTCATATGACTGGCGAAGCGCCATGAGATCGATCATTAAGCGCTTTTCTTTGGTCGTTCCAAGCTTCGTGAGGCACTCATATAGCGAGTAGGAATCTGTGCAGACTACTACCGGCATCTCAGGCTGGCCGAGCCTCTTGGTAATCATGTTGACTGTACTGTCAGGGTAAACTTGGTCGAGCCAGTAGTGAGGCCATAAATTCTCGAGGCCAGTACACTACGTGTAATCCGCTTGCACTTAGACGAAGCCAGTGCAGATATTGCCGGTATCGTGAATTGGCTGATTCGGAAAAATCCTCATTTACCATGGCAATGAGGAAGCCAATTTGGGAGGTCAAGTCCCGGTTGTTGGCGAAGGAACCGTCGGTAAATATCATAATCTTGGCCTTGGTCAAATCAATCGGAACGAAGCAGAGACCTCTATCTGGGTTCTCGGCTTGCCATATGAGACGTTTATTCAACGCGTCATAATCTGCCTCAGATCGGTCTTTCTCCTGCAGCTGAGCGGCCACTGCCAAGTCGTACGCCGCTTCAGGTTGGCAGATTGAAGCTAAGTACGCACCGCGCGCGCGTTGTTCCACGTACTTTTGTGCGCGGTCTTCCTTGCCCACTGGCTTTATCTTTGCGGCTTGGCCCTTTTGGCGGAAATAGACCTTTTCATCTTGCAAAGTGATTCTAGCGCCATTGAATTCTATTGGCACTTGTTGGGATAGGCGTGTCTTAGGCTTCGCCTTGAAGCCAGCTTCTTGTAAAGCCACTTGTTCCTCTCCGGCAAAACTTTCTGTTGAGACAAGCAGGGTATCGTCCGTCTGTATACCGACAAGGCCAAAGTTCTCCTTCCCTTTAGTCGTCATGAGGAGGCACGGGTCGTACGTGGATGTCTCCATACCCAGCCGGTCCTTGTAATGGGATTGATATGTGTCAAACCAGTGTACACCAGCTTCAGGGATCCCGTACAAGGCACCTTCCACAAGGAGTAGCGAATCCAGTGGGTATTTATCTCTCATCTCGGCTGGCAGGTTGGCAACAATCAGGCGTTGTAGCTTACTTTTTGACTGTGTGTACGCCTAGGTAATATCACGTAGATTGACGACCATGCCCATGAGAATTAGCGTAGCAATAAGTAACACGACAAGGCGCTGACTAGCGCGCTGAATCGTCGGCGCTTGTGTCAGTATGCCAGTTTTGCCCGCGTCGTTATAACCCTATATGACGAGGCGTGACTTCTTGTACGGTTTCTCGTTCTTGCCTTTTATCTCATTGACCAACCAGGAGTTGAAGATTCGTACGCCTCTGAGATCCAAATCATCATGGTGCATTATCTTGAAAGTGCCACTCGCAATGAGACCATCGATCTTAGCCATTGCAGAGAGCTCAAATGGCGCACTATCCGCAGTTATCTTCTCTTCTCAGCACAGCTTGACTGCTAGTTCTAGGTCGTCTTTTTCCTTCCTAGATAGGAACACCTCGACCTCATTAGTATAGGTCTTTGGTTTGTTCTTCGAACCTGGAGGTCGTCCTCGGCGGCGTGGCGCTGGCGGCATTACTGGTACGTCAAGAACATGAATCTCTCTCGTCCTCAGGCGGTGATTTGGATTTACCGCGCCGGTAGGCTCTCCTAATTCCACTTCTTGCAGCGCGCTGGCAGCAGCGTCGCATGAGGAGGATCCCTGAGCAAATGCTAGGCCACTTTTCTGGCCCGTCAGTAGGCTGTCGATTTTTCTACCTTCTTCCTCCTTTTGAGGAGGAAGATCAGTGCCTAGTAGGCGCCGAGTCGGAGACGACTCGATCTCGTCTCGCTGGTAACGTCGTACTGAAGTTGCACGGAAATCAGTGACACCGCTGGGTAGGTCCATAATCACATTGTAATCGTTAACTGAGATAACTTTGTGCGGGCCAGTCCATCCTTTACCTTCTCGCCAGACCTGCACGTCGGTTCCTGGTGCTAGGTTGAGCGTTTCCATGACAATTGGGCTGTTCCTGGCCTTAAGAGCGTCATTAACTTTATGCGTGGCCATGGCGTTCCTTAAGTCGATCATGGCCTTCCTTATGGCCTGGGCGCGCTTTGCTGTCAATGCTGATGGTGGCAAGTCGTAAGTTATGCGAGGATAGGCATCAAAGACTAGTACAGTTGGTACTAATCTATCTAGTCCTACTGTGTTATTGATAGCCTTAACCGCCATCTGAAGTATGATCTCCTTATCGACGCTTGCACTGAGTTCTGACAATATGATATTATAAGCGTGGCGCAGTAGTGTGTGGTACCGTTCGACCTTACTAATAGCATTGTGAGCCTTGACTGGCACCTGGTGGCATTAGATTCCCATCATCTTGGCCTCAGTTCTAAATTCTGCTGCAGCAAAATTTGTTCCTGCGTCATGGGATATGATATCAGGGGGACCAAGATATGTATCAATCTACGCTGCCCGGAGTGCTTCCTAGGTGTCCTTAGTTGACAGAGACTTCAAGAATTTTGCTGCTTAGAATGAGGTTGCCCAGTCAACAATGTGCAGTACTGGCTTGCCATCAAGATACATAACATCAACAACAATCTCATAGTTGTACTCGCAGTCGTCATGCAATGTGAATTTAAACCGTTTGAGTGCTTGCCGGTTCATTTGGCAATGGTGGCAGAATTCTTCAATCTGCGCAAGCATCTTATAATCCACGTTAAGATAGCCTGCACGCTTTAAGACCTTGTGCAGCCTATCAACTGCAGGGTGACCAAACCATCGATATAACCATCTCATCTCGACCTCAGTTAGAAACGCCTCTGGTGCATACTTCTCATCCAGGAAGAACCACGGGTGGCCTCGCTTGCGAATAACCGGTACGATAAGGTCTCCCTGGATCATCTCGTTGGTGAGGTTGTTAAACTTAACGCGTAGGCGATTCATATCTTTGAGGCAGAACAGGAAAGGCGTTGGTGAATCCATGGTGTTAAATTCTATATTACTAAACTGCAATTCCACAGTAATCATCGCAGTCGAGATTATCAGGTTGCCCATGCCGAAGCGGACTGAGTACTCCCCTGCACGTGATCTATCAACCTTATTGGAATCTTTTGGGTACTAGTCCGAACGGGGTTAGGCTCTGATAGGAGTTGTACAATTTGGGTGAGGAATAATTGACTCTGATTTGCACGTCTTCTAAAACATAGCTAACTACACATCTTGATCCTCTTTATATACACATCATAGTGGCAAAGTATCACGGATTTACGGGATAAATGACCATCCTGACTCCAAACTGTAGGCTTGAGTTTGGCTCTCATGTTCTCACGGATATGTCGTTATTCCGAGGAATCATGATTAGTAATGACATCCTGATTGGGATTAGCGTATCAAATATCCAACACACCCCTCCAGGAATGGAAGCTTAGAGCTTTTTATTCCTGTGTCAAATGGCCTATATTCACTAGTCCTTGGTGTTTTCTCCAATCTAGGAACGGCTGACCGCGTAGGATCTTGGTAAGTCCATCTGCAGCCATTCGCTTGGTGTCCACCCATTCAATCCGGAGGCGCTTCTTGGAGATCTCTTGCCTTAGCCAGTGATGATATATATCAACATGTTTGAGATTCGTTCGAAACTGCGGTTCTTCACTAGTCAATAGTGCAACAGTCTGCTTGTTATCGCATTGGATAGAGAGCTCTCTATCAGGCTTGAAGCCAATTGACCTGAAAACACGTTTCCAAACTTGAAGCCTCTTGGCGGCCTCGGTGGCAGCTCGGAGTTCGGCTTCGGTGGTTGATGTCGTGACTAGGCGTTGTTTTGTGGCTCTCCAGTCGACTGGGCCCCCATATATTTGGACCAAATAACCCTCGGAACTTGTACGGTCGGGGTTGTCTCCAAATGAGGCATCTGAGGCACATATAAACGCGTCTTTCTCAGGATTTTGCGGTGGTGAGAATTCAATAGCTAGGAAGCGAGTGTTATAAAGATATTGGATAACCCTCCTTATCTGCTGGAAATGGGCGATTGAAGGATTTTTCGTGTGTTTGGCTAGTTCGTTGACAGCCTTTGCAACGTCGATCCGTGTCATGATAGAGGCATACAGGGCGGATCCAACAAGCTCTTGATAGGCGTGAATCTCTTGATTAGTTGCTTCTCCTTTTGAGGCCTCAATATTGCCAGATATTGGTGTGTCGACGTTGTTCGTGGTGTTGATATTGAACTGACTGGCTATCTTCGCGATATAGGAATCCTGACAGAGCCAAATCTTTCTCTGGGCTCGGTCACGAAGGATCCTAATGTTCAGAAACCATTCGAATTTATCCATTTTTCGGAGCTCGTATTTGCTCGTAAGGCCTTTCTCAGTTTCTTCGAAAATAGCTTGTTTTTTGTCCTTGTCGTAGAACACAAGGATGTCATCAACAAAAAATAGTATAAGAACGCCATTTTTGATAAATAGACATTCTTCATCAGGTATTGGAACAAATCCCAGGCTTAATAAGGTCGTTGTTAGTTCTTTCTGCCATAACCGAGGACTTCTCCGTAATCCGTATAGAGCTCGCCGTAATTTTATGACCTTGCTACTTTGTTTGAAGCCATCTGGACACAATGTATAAACCTCCTTATCCAATAGACTGTTTATGAAGGCATTCACGGCATCGTATTGCACAATCTCCAAGTCGAATATAGCGGCTAGAGCCATCATCAGCCTAAAATTTCGGGCTGCCAGTGTGGCTGCTCGCTTCTCGAGCTCATTGGGCTGTTGTAGATCACCGCGCACACAATCCTTGCTTTGATCTTGAAAGTTTGCCATACTTGTCAAATTGCAATTTTTGAACCCATGTCAGTGGTAGAATATGCTTATTTTGAGGTCTAGGAACAAACTCAAACGTGCCTTTCTTGTTTAAAGCTTCAAACTCGGTTTTCGCAGCTTGTATGAACTGATTTTTGAATTTGTGTCGTAAAACGCCTGTCCAATTCTTAGGTTCTGGTGGAAGCTGTTCTGTAAGTGGTTTTTCAAGCTTTTCTAGTGCAGCTAAAAGGATTTTGTCCGTTGTCGAATCTTGTAGCAACTTTTGCCTGGCTAAAAATGCGCGGCTGAGTTTTTTGTGCTTCTTCCTTGATAAAGAGCTTGATTCTGGACTTAGGGCTCTTTTTGACGGTACTCGAATCCTGGGTCCTGTCACTATATTGCTTTCTGAGAGGTCCGCGTTAATCTCCTGTGCTCGAGAGGTACTAAGGGGTTCCTGAGTTCCTGTTGACTCATTCTTTTCGCTTGAATGCTGAGAGGCTCCTTGAGGCGGGGTAGGTAAGTCGTTGTTGACGTTATTTGCTTTTTCTGCATCATGATTGGCTGAAAGCCTTTCCATGGTCACGGGACTTGAAGATTGAGGAAGCTGTTTGTCGCTGGGGATATTCTTATCCTCGTCAACTTCTTCCTTGATATTATCCTCATGCTCCACCCCTCCAGCTGAGTCGATTTTCAACTTCTTCACCACGGATTTCTCACGATTGTCAATTTGTGTCGCTTCTTGGGCTTCATTTTCTGGATTTTCGTGGTCAATATCCATAGTATCCTGATCCGGCTGGGTTGGTTCGTCAATCTCCATGTTTTGTGGCACATCTTGTTGTATATCCAGTGCTTGACCTGGCCTGCTAATATCCATGGAATCATGAGGTAATGTGCCTCCAGTATTTTCAATATTTGACACAACTGGGCTGACCATGCTTTGTAGATTCATATCTTCGTCAACTGAGTCGATTATATCGTTTTGCTCGATGTCTTCAAGATTTGGTATGTCAACGTTGTCAACGTATCTCTGCACACCTTCTCTGACAATCTCTTTAACAAATGGATGTTCTGGGTCATATTTCTTCGTCTCGTCGAAGATGACGTCTCTGGCGCGTATGACTTTCGATCCATTAGGTCCAGTAGTCCATACCTTCCAGATATTGTGAGCTTCATATCCCACCAAGAATCCTATCTGGGCGCGCAGAGCCATCTTCTCGCTTTTCTTAGTGTCCACTCTGACATATGCCTTAGATCCGAATAGAAACAGATTCCCAACGTATGGTTTCGTCCCATGAGCCATCTCATATGCTGTCTTATAGCCCAAGGCTTTTATCGGAGTTCTGTTTAGGATCCAAACGGCAGCTTTCATAGCCTCTGGCCATAATCCTTGAGGTAAGTTGGCTTCCTGGATTAGGCTGCGAGATTTCATGCTGATAATTCCTCCAGCTCGCTCGCTTGGGCCGTTTTGCTCTGGTGTATCTGGCACGGTGACAATCAGTCTGATTTTTCTCTTTTGAGAATAGTCCCTGAAGCTGATTCCATTAAGCGATGACTCTCCGTCTAGTTGGATCTCCTCAATCCTTGTCTTGAAGGTATGTTCGATCTCTTCAATCATGTTTTCAAGGTTGAAGTTGACTGACTTTGTACGAGTTGTCGTTAGGATGTGAAACTTCGTGTATGGGTCAACAGCATGCAATGCATATGAATCCTTGTTCATTGCAAGATTCATGACAATAATATCCACAAATAACTTTTGGAATGGCCTTGTCGGTGGCGTCATTGGAACTCTGCTGATTTTCTTGCGTATCTTGGTGATTGCACAGACTTCGCATTTTTCCTCGAATCCTTCCTCGTTCCTTTTTTGGAACGGTGCGGTAATGTTTGCTCCCTCAGTGGCCTTCTCTATGTTTTCAATCGATTTATTGGATACGTGGGCGAATCTCTTATGCCATACCTGTGCGGGATCCTTCAGTATTCTTTTGTCAAACGAACTTAAGGCTAACTCCTTTGATAGGGATGTCTTAGAATTCTTATTCGAGTTCCATTCAAGCAGATATAGCTTGCCAGTGCATTTGACATGGCAAAGGTCCTCGTTTGTTCGCTCGCTCCACAATCTGTCGGTTTTTCCATCGTATTTGATACCGTGGCTCCGAAGCTGGCTCATTGAGATAATTGTTGTAGGAAACCCTTCCACATACCACATTTCCAAGATCCGTATTCCTTTGCATATAACTTTATCGCTAATAGGATCTGTTGGGTGAAGGATGTACTGTCCTGGTCCATACATTTGGATCTCTGTTTTTCCGGCCATGATTGTTCGAACATTCGACTGCATATTAATAAGCTTATCCCGTTTATTGGTGATATGAACTGTCGCTCCACTGTCGAGTAAGGTCATCTCCTTAATATCAAGATTTCTGCTTGAGGCTGACAGTGCTGTACTGATCGGTGGATTTAGAGATGGTTGCTTGGCGTTGAGAAGTATGCCAATATACTCATCCGAATCATACAATAAATTTGCTGATTCTTTATTCCCATTGTCATTCTTAGCATCAGTTAAAAATGAGACTTTCGTCCCACTACTGCCTTCTTTTTCCAGTTTCTTCTTGATTCTTTGGAGCATTTTTGCTCTGGGATGTCCATGACGTCGCTCTAGTTGCTCGAACTTTTTCTGTATGGCTTCATCTGGTTTCCAATTGACGGTACGTTTCTTCGAATTCACATATGGGCAATCTTCAAATAGATGTTCCTGACCGCATATGCAGGTTCTCGTCTTTTGTTTGGGTGTTGTGTCTTGTTTTTCCTTCTCTGTCTGGTCGGATTTATCGCCAAATGTCGCCATAGCAATATCCCGTCTGGAAGGTGGATTAGATTTGGTATACACCTCTTCCCATTGTTCGAATTGACTAATAATCTCATCAACTGTTGGTATTTCTATTAGATTGGTAGCTCCAGAATCAAGATCGAATTCGATCATACGGGTGGTCCATGTCTCATAGAACTTGGGTAAAACATTCTCAGTTGTTTTGATGAAGTCCCTGGTTAATCGGTCGTCCGGAATCTCAGTGAATTTGGCGAATTTCATGTCAATTATTAAATCTCGCCATTTCTGAATCAACTCTTTTGGTTTCAAGGAATTTTTCGTCATTATGAGCTCTCGATGCTGCTCAATTAACAAGGCTCTTTCTCGGTTTGGTTTTGGAGCAAGCTCTTTCTTAAGCTTTCGTATTATTTCAGAAACTTCGCTGATTTCTCGAATCATAGGCTTATGTCCAATGTACACAGTGTCGAGAATATAAGAACGCATATGCTTCATACGTTTCTGGTGTTTCTCGTACCGACTGAGTTGTCGTTCGTATGTGTTGGATTCAATCTGATATTTCTGTAATAACAGCTGCGCTTCACTTGTTTTGCTGAAGTCTATCTCAGGCGCAACTGGCTCCATAGGCTTGGCTGGTGCGGGCTCAAGTACCATCCGGTTTGGGTCAGGGTTAATGTATTCCCATACATTCTCCTTCATTGCCTCCGTGCTAAGCTGTTCGATCCATTTTCTCCAGTCGTCTGTCGTTTTTAGGATTACAATGTTCTTCCTGGTATCCATTGCTAATATCTTGTATTGCTCTTGGATCGTTTTGAACTGTATCACAATCGAGGACGCTCACTGGTTTGGTATCGTGGCTGGCTGTACAAGATTTCCGAATTGAGGATTGATCTGTGAATAGCTTCAAGTGTAGCTCACAGTGATCCCGGGCTCATAACTATTGGAATCTTTTGGGTACTAGTCCGAACGGGGTTAGGCTCTGATAGGAGTTGTACAATTTGGGTGAGGAATAATTGACTCTGATTTGCACGTCTTCTAAAACATAGCTAACTACACATCTTGATCCTCTTTATATACACATCATAGTGGCAAAGTATCACGGATTTACGGGATAAATGACCATCCTGACTCCAAACTGTAGGCTTGAGTTTGGCTCTCATGTTCTCACGGATATGTCGTTATTCCGAGGAATCATGATTAGTAATGACATCCTGATTGGGATTAGCGTATCAAATATCCAACAAACCTTGGTGTGGGGATAGAGTCTTAGGAAGATGGCAAGTTGTCCTTTACCAATGGTTGAGACAGTTGATGCTCCTATATCTGGTATAATCCCATAAAAAGTCTCATTTTCATGGGGGTCGAGAAGAAACTGAGAGGTAGGTGCAGGGTGGTTATTTTCACCTTCTAATTGGTCAGGTGATTTAACTTTAAAATCAAGGTGAAATCTAGGCGGCTCTATGCTATTATTGCAGCCTGTTATCCAGTGGATAAAGGCATAATCTTGCAGTTGGTTGACTATAAAGTATACGGTGGTCACGTCCTGCTTAACCTCCTCCTCAGTGGAATTGTCGTCTTCCTCTTCCAATGAGATGCCTTTATATTCCTGCAAGAAGGTCTGGTAAGCGCGGGTTGACAGCTTCTTTCTTCCATCTACCTGTCGATAGCGGTCATATTGATTTTGCGCTTCGCGGCGTTCTTCTTCAGAATGCTTCCATGAGTGGTAGTTCTCTTAATAATAAATAAAACACCTTCCATTGCTTTTCCTGAGTTGTTTGGCATCGTCATGGTTCTTACGTCAATATTCTTGACGTGATATAGGACTGTTGTTATGATTTATACATCCCATAAACTTCCTATCTGTATAGAACACTTGAGGATTATTGACTTCATCTACCACGTACTGGCTTGCCAACTCCTTCCGCTGCACTACACCTGCCCTGGCACGCAGCTTAGAAATAATTGTCTGGAAGCTGCTTGTTGATTCACTGAGAGCCTCGCCCATTTCTGGTATAGATTGGCACGCTCTTGTGATGGCGGCAATAAGGTGTTCATCACCAGCATATGCTGATCCTAATACTTGCTGGTATAAATAAAGTTTATCAACCATAAGATCTACAACCTCAACCCATAATTTGCTAGGATTGCTTTGGCGCTCTTCAGCAAGAGTGACTATGGTCCACTTCTGGTAGTAATCTGTCTGGTTGTTGGGCGTGTCAAAGTATGCTTTTATCGCGTTGTATGCTTGAGCGAAGGAAGCACCTGGCTTGATGTAGTGCATGTGGTACACCCCTGCACGTCCAGATAGCATCTCAGGGAAGACTTCCCAACATTGACTAATTGAGATGCTAGAGAGCTTGCACGCTCTTAAGAATGCGCGTACTTTGTCGTCCAAGATGTCGTACCGATCTCCAGAGTAAGTAAGCTTTTTATCCCATATCTTGACAAACGTGAGCATTGACTTTGAATCAATATGCTCACATCCAACTTCCCTAGGTGGTAGCATAGTCTAATCGTCCCACTTCTCCAATGACATTGAGATCTTGGGCGCCGGGGGTGCTATGGTATAGCGCGGTGTCTGCCTGCGCCAGTCGTCCTCAAGTTTAGAGCGGTATAGGTAAGTATAAGCAGGTCCAGGCAAGCTTAAGTGGTCATAAGGTCTACTAGGCTTGTCATTTTGAGCATGATTTTTTGGCTGTTGATCATGATCTTGAGATGCCTGCTTTGGTGTCTCTACCAACGGTTGCTTACCCTTTTCGTAGTCCTCTCTGCCATCCTCAATTAAGGAGGCTATTACCTCTGGTTCCTCTTCTTCACTGCCATTTTTGGTGGCGAGTTGAGGGAACTGACCCTTGGCCATCTTCGACCGTGAGTCAAAGGCTTTGGCGGCAGCAATCTCATGCGGCCACTCAGGCATCCTAGTCATCTGCACTAAGTCATCTAGTGCCTTTGCAATCGTCTTTTTCCTGCCAATATAATCAACAAAGATGCCTCGGTCCATTAGCATGTCCTTGATCTTTTTCTGGATGTGTACGCTAAGCCGTTTGAAGTCATCATGGGTCCAGTTACCGAAGTAATCAAGAAGCCACATGAAGATCTCATAATCAACATATTGATTACACGCGGCATAGTACAAGGCACTTATTGCACGAGTAGATAATGCTATCTTGTTGTCACCAGGTTCAACTTCCTTATCCCATAGCGCCATGTTAATCAACTTGCGTCTAGTCTCGTTGTTGAATCCAATCTCAGTTATCCATCTATCGTTAGGGAAGTTACTTTCTAATACTATTTAGTAAATGCTTGGAGAGACTCTTCCATCTCCTGAAGGTGAATCTTGGTATTGATGTTTACCAGTGTTATCCTGGTCATTATCCGATGGGGTGGTGTTTTTGTTAACCATGACTAATCTTGTTGATATTGTGAAACTTTCAACAAGGTGTCACATTTTTCTCGATGATTGTTTTTGTTGTTGGCTTATGTACGTGCCAACGACGTGTCTCACGATAGGGCGGTAGCTCTAGAATGTTGTTATAATAACAACCTATCCCAGGCCACAGGTTCTCTAGATCTCGCTCAGAGATGAGGAAGCCTTTTAGCAAAGACTCGATTCGTCAACAGGTTGACGGCGTCAAATCTCCCTCTTCCACTGGACTTGGTTTCTTACACTAAGAAGCTCAAATCCTGGAATCCGGTTCTATTCTGTAGCCACAGGTGACTATCGATATAGAATTCAGAGACCTTGCCAATCTGTCTTAGTTTTGCAACCAAGACTGATCAGTGTGGGTGCACTAAGGTGCATATACGTACGTACGAAGCACTTGAGTCAATCTCAATAGGTGATTCTTTCAGTTCTGTGTGTTCACTTCTTCTAAGTACATCATGTTCCAAAGCCGCGTCTATATAGACCTTCTCCTGAGCTGATTTGTAAGCTATCCCATGGGCCATGGGGTAAACCTGAGACCATTCTCTTACACATAACAGTTTCGGATTGATCGCTTCATTTGATGGCTTCATTGGAAAGCCAGCTTATCTGACACATCTCGATTGCATGAAGCAACCAACAATAGTGGAAATATTGATATTGACCTAATTCTGCGCACGCTCTTCTATCTACATCTTGATGGGATTTTTGGACACTATTTATGCTTGAGAATCCCATATATGAGATATCCAGACAATCTCAATAGAAGATTCTCGATAGAGAGCTGTAAAACTGATTCGTAGGCTCAATCTTGTGTCTTCAATTCTCGAATTTTCCTTGTGCCAATCTTGTAGGCTTTCCTTGATTAGGTTTAGCTTACCTAATCCTCGACAAAGCGTTTCGGGGGAATTAGTAGGGACACCACAAGTTTTTAGTAGCCACACCACAATTGATTATGTAATATTTGTCGTTATGTAATCTCACCCTATGCCTTACGATATATCAAAGAAACATGGCTAATTTATAAAGAAAAGGTGATCCGCTGTTGGACCAACCAATACCTCCATCTTGGCAATTTGTCAACCTCACGAGTAGAGGGTTCACATGCCTTTCTCAAGAAGTATATACAGGCCTGAACCGGCGATATACTGACTGTCTGGGGCCGAGTGAGGCATGCGGTACATAAGCAGATCGATGCTCTAGTATATGAGGTTAGACATGACCAACTAAACAGCCTTATATTCTGCCAATCTTTTCTATACTCGCAGATTAACCAGAGAGCTTCACACTACGCAATCAATCGTGTCCACGATCAAGTTAATATAGCTGAGAGAGCTACATCCCTTGCCCCTTTACCAGAGTGCTCTAATAGCTTCACTAGGACAATGGGCTTTCCATGTGCCCACCGAATCGTACGGTTGCTAGAGAAAAAGCATCCTATTCCATTAACAGATATTCATCCTTTTTGGAGGCAAAATATAGCACCAGACGATCGATCTGAGTACCTGCCACTGCTTGAACCTCGATTGCCTATACCGAAGGCAAAAAGATCAGATAAAAAGGGTGGAAATCCAAATGTAGATGTCGAAAAGGGGACTCCAACTGCAACTGCAACGGGCAAGAGAAAAGCGCCTTCTAAGTGCTCGAACTGCGGGGTAATTGGGCATACAATCAGATCATGTAAAGCAAAATAATTCCAATCAATCTGCATGCCAGGTTGAGGCATCTTAATCATATAAGAATTGACCAAACTATCAATGCCATAGTAATTAGTTGGAAGGGTGTGGAGAGATGACATAACGACAAATATTACATAATCAGTTGTGGTGTGGTTAACGTAATCGGTAAGCGAGTTGGCCATGTAAGCGAGCTGGCCACCCGTGTTTTCCATACAAACGATCATTGTTCATGACCTCTATATCTCAACAAAGTCATATAAATTCACTAATTTAAGTATTTACAGAGCTGAATATTCATGATAAGTAATTGATCAGTAGGTTTTAAAAATATATAAACAAGTAGAGACCGAGTAACTCCAAAGAAAATATATTTTACTGTGGGTGCATCTGCACTAGTATGGAATATGGGTTCAATTGGGTAGTCTTAAGTTGTCTATCTTCCCTATCTTTGACCCCGACGCGTAAGGGATTCCTGGTGTAAACGTCCCTTAATCCTCCCGGGGGAAAAATACTGGTCATGTGATTTTGCACATGTGATTAAGTAAGCATGCGCATAATTTTGCTGGTGTGCTCCACGCCGAGATTCGCCCTAAATAATATCAAATTTGTCTCTTATACATTGTATCTATCTCAGCCCTAAATCCAATGCAAAAATCAAGATAGATCCGAAGCTCAGACTTGTAGTTATTAACGATAATACATTGTTGCAGGATGCTTATTCCGACTCCATGTCAGCGGCATTATACGCTGATTTTTGACCCTGTGAATCTCCTCAACAAGAATTTGATTCAATGAATTTGTAGCCATAAAGTTCTCAATGAACCGAATGTTGCCGATTGCCTTTTGCTCATGAAAGATATCCATCGCTGACTGCATCATAGAGATAAATCCTGCAGTGTCGAGCTGTGGTGTAACCTCTTCCTCCATAGTTATTAACTTATCTTCCTCCAGAGATTCGGGATCGATGTCTGACTCTGAGTCTGAGTTAGAATCAATATTTAAATGTAAATTATCCTGCAGCCCCTTGTATTGTTGATGCAAGATAAGCTGCTTGTCAATCCAAAATGGCCTGGACCTCTGCCTCTGAATCTCAGAGAAGAACTTGACAGCATCGCTAATAGGACCATAACAGTGTATGATATGTTTACATATCAGAAATTAACTCAAGAGAAATGCATCACAAGAGCATGTCCATATTGCTGGATTTGTGTGATACTTTTCAATGCTTTTAGGGTCAACTTCACGGTCCTTGAGCTGTTTCCATTGCCTTTTAAAGGCTTTTCTCCAGCTCGCAGTAGCTTTGCGAAAGTTGCCATTTAGGATTGCTTCCATTCGTTTCATCACATCAGGAATAACTCGAGAGATAAGCACCCAAATGACTAGGTCGATTCGAGGTCGATTAAAACGATGTAGGTAATCATGCTTGATCTTTCGCCAATAAGACTCAACTACCATTGTTGTCTTCAGAATTGGTATTTCCTGCGTATTGACTGACCTGGCCCACAGTTCCCATTGTCCTGGTCTATACCAATTGGCGTACAAATATGCCCACAATCGGTAGTAGTTTCGAGCTCGGCACCATGCATACATTTCTAAGGCAGCTTCACGATGAATAGTCGCTGGAGATCAGTAAGTACCATTCCAATCCGGAATTAATGGATAGGCATTATAGTGACAGCAGAAGATCTCAAGTACTATATCTCGCTCATGAGGATTAGAGGTCTCAATGCAGCCCTTTTCTTCAATTCTTGTCAATTTTGATTCGCATGCACACTCTCCATACCTATGAATTCCATCTGGTCGACGCACTGGCAGTGAACCCCAGCAGATTTCCAAATTGGCAACAAGATTTTGAGCATTAGTAGGAAAATAATGAGTCTGGGTACTGGCCTTCTTCAAATCTTTCAACTTTGCTTGAATCGCACACTTTGCGTACCAATAACATAGCTGGATTGCTGTCTCTGGCCATACCTGCTGTATAGCCGCAATTTCAGAAGAGTCTTTGTCACATCCAAAGAAGGTTAGAGTGAATCCAGAAGTCTTTAGTGATCTAAGAAATTGATCAAGGATGTGCGTGACCGCCCCAGGGATTGCATGCCTAGTCCCATCCTCTGATGCAAGTGTTTCAATGAAACAGTAGGCTAATGGGACACCTGTCCCATCAACCTCGGCAAGGACAGCAAATAAATCCATTCCAGTATTATTAGTTCCAAATGTTACATCCATTGCTAATTCCCTTGTTTCTGATGCTAATCTCATTATGGAATCACGTATAAAGACTGCTAATCCACGCATATTGCCAGAGGTATACGTGGTATAGTGGTATTTCTCTTCAAAGTCTTCAAGAAGATGAATTGCTGAGATAAGTTAATCAGAATCCCGTCGCCATAAACTAGAGTTTGCTTGTTGCCATTAGTAATATACCTGATGCTATGTGGCATGCTCACTACTAGGAATATCAGATACTAAAAGGTCGCGATATATCTCAGAAGGCATAGAGACTGAAACACGCTTGTTGATAAATTCCAATGAGGCAGATGACAGTTGAATATCAACATATGGTGTATGGTGCAAGTGATGTAGAGTTATAGTCAATGTTCGATCCTCTAGAGATGGTCGCAATCTCAGCTGGCTCTTGCATTGGAATCTCTGCATCCGCCAGATGTCGTGCTTCCCCGTTCCAACAGATCTAGCCTCCTTAGAACTGTCCTGACAACAATAGTATTCATATACAAGGCCTGAATCCTGCGTGGTCCTTCTATGCCAGAATCGATAGCCCCCAGCCTTCCAGATAATATCTAAAAGTTCTCTGAGAGCCTGATTTAGTGGTTCACGACCCAGCACGTCTGTAGCACTTTGAGCAAGTTTGGAGCCGAAACTGACAGGCAATTGGTCAAGATTAAGAACATATTTAATATCAAGGGGCTTATTCTAATTCTATGCAAATTAGTGATAGCTTATGGGGAATATGATTCACTTCGACATACTGGCTGATTCCAGGTGCGAATCTCCTCTATAAATTCATCCCAATGGTCAAATCTATCCTGACCGCGTTTCTTTTCATAGCGATAGCAGGTTTTCTTCTGTCTGCCATACTTGTTAATCTGAAAGTCATCAACAGATTGGCTATAGTTGCAAGTTGAGCAGAATATCCTTCTTTCAGCATTCATCAGAAAAGCGATGACGCGTAGGAAGCACACGCGTGGTGAAAACAAAAACAGAGACCACGGAAAAATATCGTTCCGCGATTTCAGTCACATGACCAGTATTTTTCCCCCGGGAGGATTACGGCACGATGTTGGAAGTGTTAATGTGCTGGTTGTTGTTATTGGTAATCTAAGCTAACTACAGCTGTGCTGACCCCTTTACGGAGGTCACATGACTCTCGGAACATAGTTGATCCGCGCCAGAGGGAGATTCACGGGTGTAGCACGCTGACACTCCCACTCATCCGGGATCTCACCAAAGGCGTCAGATCGGCTAGGTTCCTCCCACTAGATCACGGGTGATTTTAATGGGGAAAAGAGAGAGTGAGAAAAGAAGAGAAAGAAAAAGAGAGTATATACAGGCAGTCCTGGGGGAAAACCTCCATGCAAAACCCTGTGGGATGAAAAATCATGGAGGAAACCAGGCCAGTTCAGGTACATATCATATCAATTCCATTCCCATCCCTTTTACATGATATTCATGCAATTCCTTCGGTAGTGCTTTCGTCAATATATCAGCCGTTATTTCTGTTGTACGAATATACTCCAGACGAATAAGGCCATTTGCAATAGCCTCGCGTATAACGTGGAAACGGATATCGATATGTTTTGACCTAGTAGAGGGCGAGTGACTAGGTTGATTCGCAATTGCAATGGCGCCTTGGTTATCACAATGAATTGTATTAGAAGGCATTGTATGTTCTGCATACTGAGGCAGGATAGCGAGAATGAGTTTCCGAAGCCAGATAACCTCATATGATGCAGTTGCCAGTCTAACATACTCAGCATCATGAGTTGAGCTGGTAACTAAGGATTGCTGTTTTGATTTCCATGATATTAGGCCGCCATTCAAAAGGAATATGAAACCGGAAGTTGAACGTCGGTTATTCAAATCAGCGGCAAAGTCAGAGTCGCTGTAGCCATATAAGACTGAGTCATTGGAGTATGATTTGCAGTAGGCGATGCCCAGGTTCTAGGTGCCAGCCAGATACCTGAGTACACGCTTAAGCGCTGCGGCATGCTTTATACCTGGTTTCTGCATAAATTTAGAGAGGCGAGAAAGTGCAAATGCAAGATCAGGTCTCGTACAAATCATGAGATAGATTAGCTCTCCCACTGCAGCACGGTATTCCAAAGCATCTGTTTCGTTTAGACTTTCTGCATTAGTTGCCTCAATAAGTGGGTGCTTGGGATCAAGTGGAGTTGCAACAGGATTCGTGGGTGCGTTGAAGCGCTCGAGAATTCGCTGTATATATGCCTTCTGATGCAATATCACTTTGCCATTCTAATGTTCAATATGGATGCCTAAGAAGCGCCTAGGTGTTCCTATATCTCGAGTTTTAAATTCATTGCAGCATTCTTTGACGAATTCCTCAATTGCGTCCTAGTCACCAGTTAGCAGGATGTCATCGACAAATAGGAGGAGTATGAGGAATTTGTTATCCAGGCTGCAAATGAATATAGCTGGCTCAGCATCGCACTGATAGAAGCCTGCTTTCAATAGGAATGAGGTCATCCTATCCCACCAGATGCGCGGAGCTTGTTTAAGTCCATACAGAGACCGGCGCAGTTTCAAAACATATTTCTTTGGATCTAAATCCATACCTTCTGGTATCCCCATATAGACTTCAGAGTCTATATCGCCATTTAGAAAAGCGGTGATAATATCAAGATTGCGTAAGGACTAGCCATTGTGCACAGCTATTGCTACCAGGAGTTGGAATGCAGCTAATGAGGCAGTTGGGGTATAAGTTTCCATGAAGTCTACTCCAAAGCATTGGAGGAATCCCTTAATCACCAATCGTGCCTTATAGCGAATGCCTTTATCAGGACTCAGTTTACGCTTGAATACCCACTTGCCGGGGATCGGCTTACACCCTTTTGGCATCTAACTAATCTCTTGAACTATCCAAGTTCCATTCTCTTTATGAGATTTCAGTTCTTCTTGCACTGCTGGTGGCCACCTAATCGGATCCTGGAGCAAGGCATCCAAATAGGAGAGAGGATCTCCATTGTGGTCTGTTTGGATCCTCTCTGCTGTTTGCCAGGGTGGGCAGGAGAGCGACTCCATGCCTTACACGATCAAAGCGGCTTCCACAAGCTCCCTTGTAGTATCGTGCTCATGGATTTTGACGCAGGTGCCAAATACAACGCTTCCTCGTGGGTTGTAGATGGGCTGGCTGTCCATTCGGAGTGCCAGGAACTGGGGGGAGTCCAATGCCCTTTGGGCTACATCTGCTAGTTCCATAGGATCTACTGGCTTTGCAGGATCTTCCAGGTTCACAGGATCTGCAGGTGGTTAGAATTGCTGCAGCCAGAAGGGGTTCATCAAGGAAAATGGTACACTTGATACATTGGGAAGCGCTCCCGGTACTGACTGACCAAGTACAGTATCGACCGCTGAACCAGGCGGATTTCTTTTATGTGCAATAGACAGTTTAAAACTGGCAGGGCGTTTGAGCCATGGACCAGGGAAAAGGTCTTCATCAAACTTGATTTCAGAATGATTGCTTGTTTGCAGAGTATGAAGATCAAGACATTTATAAATAGACTTTGAGTCTTGTATATAGCCTACCATCATGGCTGGCCTGCAGCGAGGATCAGAGCTCGAGCTGCGGTGCTCCTTTCAAAGGTGTATCCAGACGAGGCATCCCCAGGGCTTCAAGGTAGTAAGAGGTGGTTGCTTCTTATATAAAAGAAGGTGTGGGGATATATTGCCTAGAGTAGTGGATGGCAGGATGTTAGTTAGAAATACCGAGGTGGCCAGGGACTCAGCTTGTAGTTGGTAGTCATCTAGGACACCAGCACCAGCTCTCATAGAGCGTTCCATATTCTTGATCGTCTGAACTCGTCGTTCCAGTACACCATTCTGTTGCTTGACACCAGATGTAGAGACTTGGTGAAGTATTCCGTATTGGCGATTTATTTCTTTGACTATGCTATTTATGAATTCACCGGTACCGCCATCAGTTCGCCATGACTTGATTACAGCATTGAATTGAGTTAGGACCAAGTTTATGAATCCTTGTAGGAGAGGCGTAATTGCAGGAACATTCTTGCTTGAGGCAAAGTAACACCATGCATAGCGAGTGTAATCATCGACCAGTAGTAACATATACTTAGATCCACCAAGGGAGATACCGTCCAAGGGGATAAGGTCGGCATGCACGCGGTTAAATGACTTGCTGCAACGTTCAAGCATAGGAGGGTGCGAATCTGCCTTCATTTTACCTTGTAGGCATGCTGTGCATGTAGGTAGTTGACGCGGCACAGATAAGTTCATGAGATCTCCCACTGATCGAAAATTTTGGTGGCCTAGGCGATTATGCCATAGCCTGAGTATACTGAATTCTCTTGTACAGAGAGCTTGTGGGGCATTCACTAGAGATACAGGACTTATATGCATTCGATAAAGATCTCCATGCTTCGAATTAGCTAGTTGAAACCATGCAGAATTTGAGTCGCCTTGCTGCCGTATGTAGACAATGCCATTTTCAATAAGAGTAGAGTAGCCAGCTCGATCAAGGAGCTGCAAGGACAGCAGGTTCTCTGCCAATTTTGGTACGAACCAGACGTTGAGGACTAGAATATAAGGCCCAACTTGAAGATGTTGAGTACTAGATCCCTCTGCATAGATTGTAGTATTATCTCCAAGGTAGATCTCTCTGGGTTCAAGGAAATGTTTATAGTCCTTAAGGTCCAATTTGCTATTGCAGAAATGCTGTGTAGCTCCAGAGTCCAGTATCCAGCTGAGATAGTCTTGTTATCGGATCTCACTATTGATGTAGGATGCTCTTGTAAGAAGAAGATAAGATGGATAACTGTAAGCGTTTGACTCAGAGCTTTGAGACTGGGAGGAGGAGAAATTTGCCTGCGGAGGTGGAGGAGCCAGTAGAGGTAGCGGCTGAGGCGGAGGTTGCAAACTGCTTGGCTGTTGAACTAAGTAGGCACGACCTCTGTCAAGCTTTGCAGCGCCAGAGTCTAGTTGCTGTTGTCGAATATGACAGTCACGCTCGTAATGGCCCTCTCGTTTGCACCAGTTACAGATAAGTCGCTTATTCCGAGAATTTCGATTTGATCGTTCACGACGGTTTGAATTTGAGTTATTGCCTCCATTACGGAGGTTCCGAGAGCTTGTTCTGCGGTTCGGACGACGGCCTCGAGTTACTAGGGCTTGGCCAGACGTGTTGTCTCCTTCAGAAGAGGAATCTTTGATATTGGCAAGCAGGTAGGTCACTGTTTCAATGAAGGGAAGGTTCAATTGTTTTGCTGTTTGACCTTTGGTCTTGTAACAGTCAGGGAGTCGATCCACGAGGATGTGAACGGCTATATCTCAATGGATTTTGTAAGAGGTGTTTTCCAAGGAAAGAAAGATATTGCGGAAACGACTTGTGTAGGTAGAAATGGTATCCTTTGGCTCCCACTTGTTGTTGTGGAATAATTCGTATTGAGCAATTAATGGGAGAGTTGTCCCGCGGTCGCAGCCAGCCTTGAGTGAGGACCAGAGGTCTCTTGGGTTTGTATGGCCAACTAGGAGCTTGCGACATTCAGGGGACACATGTTGACGGATTTTGGTAAGGTTTTCGGTTAACGTTTTAGCAATATCTTGATTGACATTAGTCGTAGGGGGTGGCACCGTCACTGTAGATGTTGGATCGACGTACTGCCATAGGTCGTAGAGGATAAGATGATCTTGCCAGTATTCACTCCAATCAACCCAATTGGAGTAGTCGAGGATTGGGAGCTTTTCACCAGAGGTAAAGGTGTTAGAGGCAGACATTTTTTTGGAAGAGTAGAGGAGGTTGTAATCGAAAATCAGAGTCGAGTCTGGGTACTCCTAGGAGCTGTATTTAAGCCTAGAAGTCCTTCAGACAGTCGGTGAGACAGTGAGACGGTGAGGCCTGACATGTCGAAGAAACAGTCGATCGTGAAGTTCTTGATTTCCAACGTAGGTCTTGGTGGCTTCTTGACCAACATTTTGACGTTTGTTGTAGGTGGCTCTCTAAGTTGATTTGTCGCGATCCTTGACTGGTGCGGTTGTATATGGCCATCTTGTGACTGGATTCGAATTAGGAAGTAAGTCAGGTCCAGGTAATCACGATAAAGCATCTATAAAGCTCAGATTGAAGATGCGAGGAGCTCATAACCTGTTAATGTGCTGGTTGTTGTTATTGGTAATCTAAGCTAACTACAGCTGTGCTGACCCCTTTACGGAGGTCACATGACTCTCGGAACATAGTTGATCCGCGCCGGAGGGAGATTCACGGGTGTAGCACGCTGACATTTTCCCCCGGGAGGATTAAGGGACGTTATAGCTTCATGTTCGGGGTTGTCGGGGATCGGTGAAAGGCGCTATTGCCAATATCCGCAAGAAGCTATTGTCAATATCCGTGAGGGCTTCGCCCGAGCATGCTCATGAGGTCAGCTCATAACAGTATAGCATTATATACCTTATAAATAAACTAGAAAGCTGGTTATCAAGTCCTATTATTATTTTATACTCTGTAATATAATTTATTTGTACCAACTGCAAAGCTTCAAGTGAAATGAATTGGATATAGGGTTTGCCGCCGACCGTGTAACTCGGTGTCATGTGTAAGTTAACTCGGTGTCCGATTACGTTATTGTTATTGTCGACTCTAACGTAATTCACCACCGAAGCGGCACCACTACCGAGCCGGCATTTTTTCCCGAGCGCGTACACGATATTGATTTTATATTATTCAACACGTCAATATGCCACCAATTCGCAATAAAAACCGGAAAAATTTAGATGAGCAAGAGGGACGAATCTTATTAGCAATTTCCGATTTACAGAATGGCCGAATTCAACGTGTAGCTCAAGCTGCAAGGATTTACGAGATCCCCCGGACAACTTTACAAGATAGACTCAATGGTATTCAACAAAGATCTCTCGTACGCGCCAACAGCCATAAATTGACTCAATATGAAGAGGAATCGCTTGTCAAATGGGTGCTTGATTTAGATCGACGTGGATTACCCCCCCGGCATTCTCTTGTACGAGAAATGGCTAATTATATACTTTCACAACATGGCAAACCACAAGTTGGAAAAAATTGGATAACTAAACTGATTAAACGCCGTCCAGAGATCGATTCCAAATTCGCAAGGAAATACAACTACGAACGTGCTAAATGCGAAGATCCAAAGATAATACAAGAACATTTTGATCGCGTACAAGCTGCTATATCTGAGTACGGCATCTTACCGGAAGATATATTCAACTTTGATGAGACTGGCTTTGCTATGGGACTCTGTGCAACTGCAAAGGTTATTACTGGAAGCGATCGATATGCTCAGCCGAAGCTTTTACAGCCTGGAAATCGAGAATGGGTGACTGCAATTGAGGCAACAAATTCAACTGGATGGGCTGTGCCTTCGTACGTGATTTTCAAAGCAAAGAAAAACGTACGAGAAGGCTGGTTTGATGATCTTCCAGATGATTGGCGAATCAATATTAGCGATAATGGCTGGACTACAGATCAGATAGGATTAGAATGGCTTAAAACCCATTTTATTCCCTATATTAATGGTCGTACGGTTGGAAAATATCGAATGTTGATTCTTGATGGCCATGGAAGCCATTTGACACCAGAATTTGACCATATATGTACTGAGAATAATATTATTCCAGTCTGTATGCCACCTCATTCTTCGCATCTCTTACAGCCTCTTGATGTTGGCTGTTTTGCTGTTTTAAAGCGACATTATGGGCAGCTTGTTGAGCAACGAATGAGGCTTGGTTTCAATCATATTGATAAAATGGACTTCTTAACAGCATTTCCACAGGCTCGTACAGTGGCATATAAAGCTCAAACTATTCGGAATAGCTTCGCAGCCACTGGATTAGTGCCTTTCAATCCAGATCGAGTTATACAACAGCTTAATATTCGATTGAAGACACCAACCCCCCCTCCAAGTCGATCAAGCAATACGGCATCATCCTGCTTACAAACACCTCAAAATATACGCCAATTTATACGCCAGTCGACTACAATCAATAAACGTATAAATGAGCGTACAGAAAGCAACCAAAATCAAGAAATCAATCAGGCAGTTGTACGGTTGTCAAAAGCCTACGAAATGATAGCGAATGATGTTTTACTCGTACGGAAAGAGAACTACGATTTACGAGCTGCACATGAGAAAGAGAAGCAAAAGCGCCAAAAATCTAAAAAGCAAATATCTATTGAGCAAGCGGTTACTAAAGAAGAAGTGCAAGCGCTTGTACAAGGTCAGGTTGAGGCATCCCATGCTGTTACTACTACTCCGGCTGAGCCGGAGCTCCCAGCTTCTCAAGCAGTCGTACGCCGCCAATATCGCTGCAGTGGTTGTAACGTTATGGGGCATAGAATTAACCAATGCCCTAGTCGTATTAGTAGTTAGATTTTTGTATATAATTTGTATGTGGCTTTGAAAATTGGGATTTGAAATCAATATCGCGTACGCGCTCGGGAAAAAAATGCCGGCTCGGTAGTGGTGCCGCTTCGGTGGTGAATTACGTTAATTCTCGAAGATTCCTCGTATCAATGTTGTAAAGGCCTTCCATATTGGGAATAGCTCACCTAAGCTCCGACAGAGTCGGCGCATGCAACAACGGCAGATAACTTACTATTTACTCCTCAAAGGCAAAGATTGTTACCGCTTTAATAGAGTCCTGATTATATATAAGAATTATGGCTAGGTGAGCGACTGTCAGCTCGCACAAGCCACTTTGAGTATTGGTGATTATTTTGACGATATCATCAACTATTTGACGATATCGTATCGGCACACCTGGGATTAGACGATGCCGATTGACGATACGATATCGGCAGATTCTTTTTAGACGATGACGATAGACGATATGGAAAAATGATGGCGATATCGAATCGTCAACAGCTCTACTAAGTTAGCTCTATACCGACCCTAGGTCGTGACAACAACGAAGCACCCCAGTCCAGTCTCTCTGATCAGCGTTGACGCCAGACATGTACGATCTATCCAGAGACCGACGCCTCAAATACCACTTTGGCCGCTACCAAATATCGATGCTGTCGTGACTGAAATTATAGCTGCCAGTATAGGAAAGTTCAATCCACAAGGCAAATTTACTCCAGGAAATGTGAGATCGCAAACTATGGATGCGCTGTGCTTCACGAAGTACTCGCAATCGGTCTGGCGGATCATATTACTTATAGAAAGGGACATTTGAGATTGGTCCATGATTATCTAGGTACAGTGGGAGGTACTAATGAAATTACCTAGATCCATTGACCTAGACAGCGATGCAACTGTTTCTGTCCTTCCAAAATTGTTAAATTGTTTAGGTACAACGCCCAAAGGAGTGATGCCACAAAAAATAACCCTAGCAAGTATATATCACTGGCTAACAATCTTTTTGAGCTCCTCCTCGAGTGTTTCCTCAGGCAAAGATAGAAGTTTGTTATCTGTTGGATGGTACAGCGCATAGTTGCCACCATTTCCATCCACCGAATTGATGTATCGAATCAACAACATCGCACCGCTGAAGTCGCCCTGGGAGATTTTCTCCGTTCCAATTGCCCTCTGTGCTTCACCATCAACATACTCAACGTCGAATTTCGATCCAGTAACCTTTTCGAGGGCTTTCAGAACTTCATTTTGCTTCACTGTGAATGAGGCAACATAGATGTATCTGTTAGCGGTCTTCTCGAATTCGATCAAAGAATTCTTCAATGCAATGCCGATTGAAGGCAAGGTTGTGGTGGACCAAGAGCCCTCTCCATCGTTGTAGATGGTTGCTTTGCGGTTGGGGATATCAAATCCCATAAAGCCAGCCATAGCCCTTGGCTAAGTTAGTCATCAGTTCATGACAAAAATAAATACTTAGTTTGATTTAAGGTGGTAATATCCTCGACTTACAGCTCGAAGAATGGCCCCGTCACAAACGAAGACCAAGTTAGACCCTCCTTTTCCTTCGAAATCAAGTAGTCGACCGTCGCCTGTTTGCCACCAAAGTACTGAGGTAAAATATCCATTGCACTTGGTACGCGAGTATCGCTACCGAATTCAGACGGAACAAATCTCTTGACTCCAGCTTTGATAGCGAGGTCAATGAAACGAGTCTGCTGTCCTGCACTTGCCGTAGCAATAGTGGAGATGACTGCATCTTGATCCTTGAATGCTGAAAGGACCCCCTCATCAGGGTAATCGTCACCGACCCGGTGGACCTTGGTGTCTTTGGGGAACTTTGAGCTGGAAGATTGGCGGCTCAGCACGGAGACATTGAATCGTGAGTCGTTACGAAAGGCAGCCAATATCGAGGGGCCGAGGTGACCACCTGCACCAATGATAAGAACGTTTCTCAATGCCATAGTTTGTAGATCGATGAGCCGAGGTTTCCAGTAGACTGAAAACGATGGTGTGTAAAGAATTCGTATGGTTTGATCTCGATGTGCTTCCTTTTACACGAACGAGCTTAGAGCTTTTTGATATTTAACCAGAACGAAAGCTCGGTCTCGGTCTTAGAAAGAAACCCATTGATTTGAAATCAGGCAATTTATTCCTGTCATCCAAGGAGCGAAAACGCGAGTGACCCTTCCAATCACGATGTAGCTCTGGAAACAAAGGATGCGGTTTTGAGTCAGAGGTTTGCTTCCGCCGAGCTCACCTCGGTCGAAGATATTGGTCTCGTACCTGGTATTCATACCGTATTGAGGATTACAATGGGCAAATATATGTATTAAAACCAGCTCGTACTGTTTCTTATGGCTATGTTTGGTGTCAAGATATCAACGCAATTTCTTCTTTAGGGTTAAAAGGGTATAAGTTCAGCTGGACGAGCCGGGTATTCAGTTCACTGTCTCGGCTTGCCACCTTGATCTTGAGTGCCGAAACTACGCAGCGTTTAGCTAGTATGACAATGGATCTACCCTAGATTCTCTGAGATGGTTTTTCTGGGAGCCCCACCTCGACCGCGAGCAACTTGGGAATGAGAGGGCGTAAAACTAACCTTATCTCGTGTGATACCGGTGCTGCCCGAATTGTAGCAAAATGTTCTAAGAGTTCTAAGAGTTCTAGCATTACAAAATTCAAGAGTGATTCAGTGCGGATGCGAGACTTGCGAAGTGTGTACAGGTAGTATCCGGTGTTGACACCTCGTATCCCAAAACGCGTGAAAGCAAAGTAGAGAGACTCAATCCATCTCAAGAGTGGTCTCAGGCGTCTCAAGCTTGTTGAGATAGTAACCTACAACCTTATAGGTTAGCATCATAATCTTGTATCTCTTTATCACGAAAGAAAAACGGAAAGACGTTACAGGCAAGTTTCCATTTTGTACTGCAAAGTTCTAAAGTCTTTTTGAGAGCATCGAGGTTCGCTCGAAACCCGTTGATCTGTAATTCTGCAATGGCTGCAATTCCAGTGCAGATCAGTGCTGGCAGAGGAACCAATTCCGCCTCTGTGATCGTGCCCACGGCATTAAACTTGGTGCAGATCTCGGCGATCATATTGACGGTGGACGACAGGGCTACCGTGCCCTTTTCTATGTATCGCTGTTGGCTAAAAGGGTCCAGGATTGGCGCTTCCGCTATACGAAGTTGTTGTAGTTTGATCATGGCCCTTGAGCAACGGTATCAGTGCCTGGACGCTACATGATTAAGGAGACAACCCAGGAGCCAGGTGTTTGGTCAAACAGAACCTGTATCATAAATAGTACTCTCCTCTCGAGATCATCCAACGCCTGCACCTGCCCAAGCAATATACTAGCCTGGACTTCGCGGGCAAGGTATGAGACACGTGTCTCCACTGAAATCGCGATAGTATATACAATGCACGATGTGTCCCACAAAAAATCTCATCACTTTAGCACGGCTAGTAATCATTAAAAATAGCTGTAACATGAAGTCGCACTGCTAAAGTGGAAGCTAAATCAACACAGCTAAATCATAGACAAAACCCGTAAATGTAACCTATAGAATAAATTGTTGTGATTATATACATATATCATTCTAGAAATCCTAGGAAAAATGATTCTGGAAAACTTATGAGTTGAAAAACACAAATACATCTTTGCACAAGTGTATGCTCAGTGAACTCAATTACAGTTCTATTTTTCTCCTGCTGGCAACCATGTGTGCTCACAACGTATTTTGGTTTGCTTTGACCACACCTTTTTGTTCATGGGCCACTGCTTAGATAGCTACCCCTACAAAGACTTCCACCACAGCTATATCAACCAATACATATGACCTTCACTGGCCATTGATGCCAAAAAACATTACACGTTTCGAGCATCACAAAGTAAACGAACATGGCATATCCACTGTCACTACAGATGTTACATTTCCAGAGCCTGTGTCTGGGGTTACCGCTGAAGTCGCTAAATGATCTGCTGCGGATGTGGCTACAGTAATTACAAGTCTTGCTTCGAGTGCATGGGTCGCTGCCGCAGGAGTATGTGTTGTCACTGGTGTTGCAACAGCTGGCTCAGCCTGTTTTGTGGCTGTTATTCTAGCAGGTCTTACTACAATCTGGGGATTATTTTTGGTTTCTAAGGATCTCGGTGCTTTCTTAGAGAATAGAGCGGAGCGGCATATCATCTAGGATCTTCACCCCGATTTCCATTCATGGGACAATTGTAGTATTCGCTGCCAGCTTGAAACAAAGAGCGATCAAGCAACCTGGACTCACTTTGCTAATGTGACCATTGATGGCCAGAAACATCAGATGCATTACTGGCAAAAGGATTCTTTACGTGGTCTTCGAGTCCAGCAACTACAGAATAGTCTCACAAAGAGAGCGCCCCAGCCCCAAGAAACTATCTATGTTGAAACTGGATATGCACAAGAAGGACAGTTGATTTCTACTCTCTATTGGGTATCAGACTCTGAGAAAGCGTGAGCCTCCCATCTTACTCTTACATATATGAATCATAACTAACCAGTACTGGATCGCCCTATTATAGAAAAGATGAATTAGCGTCAGATGATTTACAGATAGTTGCAAATGACTTTGCAGGCTATGCAATAGATAATAGCATGTCAATGGGATGTTCAGATGTTGGTGATTCTGACGGGACTGTTTTTCAAAGTGTAGTGATGCTCGATGATTCCGATGAAGTATGGGAGCTGGCCCACGATGATATCCTTCCCACGCTGAATACCTGTTATATCCAAGATCCATACTCAACAGCACCGCAGTGAGATTTTCTCAAAACCAGGTCCATTCTATACAAGAGCTTGCTTGGGCTCTTATTATTCAGAAAACACCCCTGACAGATTTTATCTCTGCATTGACAAATTGATAAGAGTGTTGAAACCTAGAGGTAGTTATTGTCATTTATGTATTTTCTTCTCGTCAGAGATCATTTCACCTTCACACTAACAAAGCTAACTATAAGATCAAGATTAATTAGCGCTAGATATATCCAGCCCTGGTATATGTCTATTTTGTGAAGTACTGTTGAAATTGATTTTGTGAAAGTCGAGAGCAAGTAAGCTAGAGGTGAAATAACCCAGGGTATGTAGAGTATTACTAAATAGAGGCACCGCAAATTAGAGGTCATTCGATACATTAAACAAACGGATGATAGCTTGTTCTCATATTCATGTACTGCGCTGCAGCGATGAGTGGTATTCTTGTCTCAGCAACTTGGTTGTGATCCTGTAATGGTACTAGCTGGGCCTGGTTACTCTTACATTAGTATACGAGTTAGTCGGCGCATCATGTCAAAGTTGCCCCTCCAAAGCGTGTCTGGACTCTTAGTATAATCCCTGAAGGCACGGGAAGCATAAGAAATAACCTGGTTTCGTTGGTACTCACCAAATCTTGGGACTAATCAGGATTCCTAGTCTGATTTCTTCGACAAGCACACGCAATCTCTTCCCCCTGGAGAACTGGTTGATAATGACCTTTCTACTCAGTAGGCTATGTTCATCGGTGATACGGTTCATCACATGCATTGCTGCCCCCTTCTCACCCACAGCTTTATTGTCCTTGGTGCATACTGTACGCCGTGCCAGTTCAATCTGGCCGTCGTACCATTTTGAAGCACCCATATACTCCAGCATGTTGAGTACGGTACACCGACGATTTGTGGCAGATCCTCTCTCCAGCACTTTCATCCACATCTTCCCGTCTGACCAATGACTGACTGTTGAGTCGATGATCGGCCCCTGATTGGTGCGAAGACTTTGCAAGATACTTTGATGGACAGTACGCGGCAGATCGCTCGGATGCTTTTTGAGCAGGTGAACAATGTCGACCATCTGGTAGACTGTATCCAGGAAGGATAGACCCTTGGTAAGATCCTCTTCGGGCACAGGTGGCGACTCTACCTGCTCCCCATCGGGACATATCGGCATTGTGCTATAATCGATGTTCTCGCTTTTAAGGAGATCCTCACCGTGCATGACAAGCGTCGTCGAGTGAACGTCTGGCTTGCTCTCATGCTCATAGGCGGATCTGAGTTCAGCCGCGTCGACACAGATCATAGATTCCAGTGCATCCTCGGTTTCTGGAATTTCGCATTCAAGGATTGGACTCTTAGGGGTTATAGGCTCATTGACTGCGTTGATACCGTCGGTATATTGCCTCTTTGAGATGGGCTGCACCAGGTGACTCGGCCGATAAAATCTATTAGGATTTACAGTTCTCGAATGGCTACCCTATTAACCTACCACGAATATAGACCTGGCGCTGAGGAGCTATAAGCTTCCTACCAGGCTTCCATTAATCAATTCCTTCCCCAGCCCTGTCAATACTGCGTGCTCTGCGGACTGTCGTACTGACAGAGGATGACTATGACGATGACGGTACACTAATCACATATCGTGCTGAGGAATCCCAGGAGCGTGCTACTATATAGATCGGTGGACTCCAGACATACGAGTGACACGACCGAATGTTAAAGGGCAGATATCCAGCCTCGGGTAGCAATTCTCTGAATCGTTCAACAGACAGTTTTCAAATAAGTTCATGAGGGATAAGCTGCATGAATGAGCTGGCAAACCGCTCTTTGGCCACTGACTGATATGCATTTCGCGCCACTCATGTGTCAGACCTATGTCCAAAATTCCAAATGGTGTGTAGAGAATTTGACGTGTCTACAACACCACAGCTAGAATCACTTCCAGAATGTTAGCTTTTAGAGCAGAATTACAGGACCGGACAAAGAAGTTCTCTAGCTTTATGACCTTATAAATCATAGCTCAGTAGTTTATTATCACTATAGTTGCATTTATCAAACTGTGTTGGTCGAACACTCAAGGTCCAGTCTAGCTATGCTTCCACCACGTTTGGATAAAAGTCTAAACAAGATTGTATCGGCTTCCTACACTGAGCATAAGGACAAGGATACTCGAACAAGGAACCCTTGGACTTGATATCCTTCGCACAATCATTACATAGAGTATGTCCACATCCCAGAACTTTCCAGCTCTCATTGAACGTTCGATGGCATAGGACACACTTCAAGATATTGCGCCGCTTCTGTCCATCGAGTTGTCGCTGTAAATATCGAATCTGGAGCCACAACTGTTTCTTGTCATTCTTCCATTGATGTCTCTCTTGAGTCAATCGCTTGTTCTCCTTTTCCAAGGCTTCATACGGTCCTTGGATTTCCTTTACAAATCGCTTCTGTTGATTGTTAGCCAAGATTGAGATACCTAAAGAAGAAGTTCTTACGATTTTAGACTGAAAATCTGCCGCATCCGAATCTTCACTTTTCCGTTTGCGCAAAGGCGGTGCCAAAATCACATGTTCCACTGTATCTTGGTAATCTTGATAAGTATAATCAGGGCGACCCGGATGCCGACGTCGAGGTTGTGGTCGTGTATGATTATCCTCCTCCTCATCACTTATTTCGATGACCGGTGAAGGGGAACCCACTGCTTCTTCAATCTCTTCATTGGGTAACATTCATTTACTAGACGGCTGCCGCGGAGGTGAACCCTCATCGAAGGGAAAGGTCGAGGGAGGAGAATCAAGTTTTATCTGTGCTGGACCGTCACTCGCAAGCTCTTCTTCTGCTTCGAAGCCTGGAATATTCCAGTCATCAATCTGGACAAGAGCAGGTTGTTGCTGTGTCTCCATTTCGATGGATGTCTCAGGGTTGGTTGAAAGAATTTCAGGAAGATAGAGTCACTATGCAATGGGGACTCCCTGCTATTTATGCCAGTCTGATCATCGTCAAGGGGCTGAGCGATCCAACTTTTGTGATTTCAGGGAATCAGGTGCATGAAAGTGGAGCGGAGATGAGCGAGCCCATTATGTGAAAACTAGCTTCGCAGCCTCCAATCGAATAGGAAAACCGGCCACATCATGTAGCATCACGGCGTGGTATGGTCCTAAAATAGAGCATTCGTCATCAACAAGTCGAGCCCCTACCCGTCCTAGTCAGGTATCAGGGTATATCATGCGTGGCAATGCCAACAGCACGTATTACGGCTCTTCAGTCAGCGCCAGCTATCCTAAAGCGGAAAATACTTACAGTGAGCGACGGTATTCCCATCATTTCAAGGCGCTCTTGAGTGTGAGATGTGTAGTGATCGATCATGCCTTGAAGTGTTTAGTCATCGGACGAGAGGCTATTTTATGTCCAATGCTCAACCATCTACGATCGTGTCTTGGAAGGGCCAATTGAAGACTCGGAGGTTGAGGCCTTGCAGAGGACACTGGTGGCAACTTGGTTAATGCATATTTCGTAGTCGTGCACAGGAGCAATCCGGCACCCTCTTTCATACCATTGTGGCTGGCTCCTGCATCAATGATTGGGCATGTACAGTCGAGTATGCGTACTGGATAGACAGAATCTCAAAGTGGTCCTTGGATTCTCGACCAACCAGCAGTCCATGTTCAAGCGCACTTCCGCTTGATCCATGATTGGTTGTAGCATCACAGACACGATGTGGGTTTCGGCATCCTAGGATGCCAAAATGCGTGGTGGTTCGACCATATAAAGGCCTCTGTCCACACTTTTCTTCTGTTTACTTTCACTTCTCCCCTATCATTGAAAGAAATCCGCAACATCAAACCAGAGGTATAGTGCCTAGTATCGCCATGCGAGAAGCGTGCTAATCGTACTAGTTTGTCTGCTATCCATCAACTCTATCAAGAAGCCCCGGAAGTTGTTCAAGCCATTCCTGTGGTAATTCGGGAAACATGGAAAGCCATGAATCGCCAACTGAATGGTCTATCTCAGAGTCGTCTTGACACTCATCCTTAAAACGCAAACGGGAACAGAATCCCAGTCATTCAAACCACCAAAGATGCGATGCTTAAATCCAGATGAACCAGGCCCCTCGATAGAAATAGAAAGTTATTTGGAACGAGATATTACTTTCAAGGAGGATGATCAAGGTTTTGAACTGCGCTCAACTCCATTATTCATCGATGAAAGCGTATTCGTTGGTTTGTGGTTCATTGATAGGAGTGGAAATGGGAAACAACCGGCATATTGCTTAATTGAAAGAGATTTCGAATTCGCATACCTTAAAGGAAAACATTTATTCCCGTGCGATACGACGATTTTGATCCTCTGGATGAATTCGGTGACTGGCTGGGCGATGATACAGAAGATGAGGATGCCATGAGCCAAAAAGAGGTGAAAGTGTGGGTGCAAATGATGTGAGAGAGCAGAGATTATGCCGGCGAGGACTTGATAATTGAAGTTTGACTATTTTCGATAATCAAAGCATGTATATAGTGACTAACAAGAATCGATCTTTTCTGTCGTAAAGTAAGGCAATGGTGAGGCTACATCGACAAACTTAGCAGACATTAACAGGAGACAATATTTAATAATGGAGAATACCTCAATGAATCGGTCTGCAGCTCAATTTCGATGCTGAGAATTTGATTCATTGGAAGTCTCCCTTGTCATTTTTGCCACTTGTGTGAACTGGATTATGAAGCGGCTGGTTGCACAAGGCTATGGCTCATGGTTTTACTTGAGACACTAATTAATGCGCTGCTGTCGTGGACCCCCTAGATACCATTGGTTTAATTTATTTAATCACCTGGAGAACATGTCTTGTTTTGATATCGAAATCGCAATTCGAACACTAACGAAAGAAGGGTAATTAAGATACGTATGAATAGTATAATAGAGATAGCAGTCGCACTGACATTCCTGCTTAACCTACATTATGAATGGTCAGAAATCATGCGCTGAAATCATGGACGGCTTCTTGCCGCTTACAACCTCAAAGTCAGCCTTATTATCGTTCAGCCTCGTCGGCGCTCATCTTTTTAAAACCCCGCATCGTAATGACTCGATAAAAAGAATGAATTGCTCACGCTCCTTGCTCAACCTGACACATGCTTGCGATCTGACAAGAGTCAACAATGGAAACTCCATCCAAAAACGAGTTCCAGATCGGCTGGATATGTGCCCTGCCCATCGAAGCGACTGCTGCAATTTTGATGTTGGACTAAAATTTTGGTATCCTTCATGAGCAAGAAAAATCCAACACCAACACGTACACCTTAGGTCGGATCGGTCAGCACCATGTCGTGATCGCGTGTCTGCCAGATAGACAATACGGGACTACTTCAGCCACCACAGTTGCCAACAATATGATGCGAACGTTTAGTGTCTCGCTCCGCATTGGGTTGATGGTGGGCATCAGTGGAGGAGCTCCTTCCGCGGAGCATGACATTCGCCTGGGTGATATTATAGTCAGTCGCCCCAAAGGCTCTCATGGCGGAGTTATTCAACACGACATAGGTAAGATCGGTAAAGGCGGCAAAATTCAACGCGTTGGGTCCTTGAATAGCCCGCCCACGTCCTTGCTGAATGCACTAGCTCAGATGAGGGTAGCAGAACTATATGAGAATCCTCAGTATCCAGTTTACCTTCAAGAAGCTATTAGAAGAAATACACGGACACAAAAGACCTTCAGCCGCCCTGACGTCAAGTCGGACCGGCTATTCAAAATAGAGTATGAGCATCCTGAGAATGCAGCGTCCTATGATCAGTGTTTGGTAGAGTGGGAGGAAGATCGTATCACCCGTGAAGACGGCGACCCACAAACACATTATAGAACAATTGCATCTGGGAATACTTTGATTAAAGACGGAAAGACGAGGGAGGCCATCCGCAAGGATACCGGTGCGTTGTGTTTTGAGATGGAGGCGGCAGGCTTAATGGCGGACTTTCCTTGCCTGGTAGTACGTGGTATTTGCGACTATGCTGACTCGCATAAGAATAAACAATGGCAAGGTTATACTGCACTAGCGGCTGCATCCTTTACAAAAGAGCTGCTGGGCTATGTGCCAAAAGGTGTATCTCAAGAGAGCTTAGTTACAGATATCTGTCGTAAGTAATTATTAGCATTGTATGATTTTTTTTCTAGCAGTATAACATGAAGCTTACTCTTTGATCACTAGCTCTGCTTGAAGATATTAAGGAGGACTAGAGAAAGGCTTTTGATCAACGAGAAAGCCATCACCGTGAAAAAATGGAGAGAGTCTTGACGGAAGATCAACGTCGCTGTCATCAAGCATTCAAGATGTCGACTTATGAAAAGTTCAAGAATATCAATCTAAACTGAGTGGAAGGAACGTGTGAGTGGGTACTAAACAGCCCTGAGTACCTGCGTTGGTGGAACGCTACAAGCAATGATCTCTTGTGGATCTCGGCTGACCCAGGATGTGGTAAATCTGTGCTCGCCAAATCCCTGATCGATGGCGTGTTTGTGGCCTCTGACTCAAATATCTCTATTATGTACTTTTTTTTTAAAGACAATGATGAACAGAATAATCTTGCTACAGCACTATGTGCCGTGCTTCATCAGCTGTTTAGCTTGCAACCTCAACTCTTGCGACACGCATTGCTACTTTGGGAAAGAAACAAAGACAAAATTCAGCATGAAGTGGATGAAATGTGGCATATTTTTATGGCCACCATGTCCGATGGGACACTTGGGAATACAATCTGTGTATTTGACGGTCTAGATGAGTGCTGTGACCAAGACCAGAGGCATCTGATTGAGAAACTTTGTGGATTTCATAACCGATGTCTGGCTAGTCAAAGAAATTGGTTGAAGTTTCTCGTGACAAGTCGACTGTATGATGATATTCAAGATTGCTTTTGGCCACTGACTGAATGTTTTCCGCAGATCCATCTCCGCGGTGAAGAAGAGAATGATCAAATTCATAAAGAGATAAATCTGGTAGTACATGTCAAAGTAACTGAGCTAGGGAAGGACCTAGATTTGTCTGCTAACATGCAAGAGCGGCTCCAAAAAGAGCTGTGCGAAATGAAGCATTGCATATATCTTTGGTTGCATTTAGTGGTTGATGACATCAAAAGAACACTAAAAGATAGTTTTTAACCAGATCAAGAACCAATTCCACTGCTACCCAAAGATATCCCTCAAGCATACGAATGGATACTCAGCCGAGTTACTCTTGATCAAAAGCCTAGAGTGGAGATGGTCCTGCGAATTATTGTTGGTGCGCGACGTCCACTGACTGTTGGGGAGATGGCCATGGCCTTGGGGTTAGCAACATCCCGGAATGCAAAAATAGCATCAGAAGCATGCCTGAAAGTGAACAGATTGGATGAGAAAATACGGCGATTATGTGGCCTCTTTGTCTTCATCAAAGATTCTAAAATCTATCTCATTCATCAGACGGCGAGAGAGTTTCTCACAGGCAAGGTTGATAGATCACCGAACTTCAAGTGGTATCTTCAGCCAAACATAACAGAGGCACTAATGGCCGAAATCTGCGTCAGATATCTCCTTACGGATGATCTGGTCAGTAACGATGGAGAGATCGTGAGAAGCTTACTTGATTATTCTGCATAGAATTGGGCAGATCATTTCCGGGATATACTAATACCAGACGCTAAACTGATGGAATGGGTTTGGGAGCTATATAGAATTACCACCGATCGGTTTCGTTTATGGTTTGCCAACTTTTGGGAAATAGCAATGCCTTATCATGAGGACACCAAGATGGACGTATTGCACTTAGCTGCATTCAATGGACATCAAAATATTCTGTGTGAGATGGCTATGAATGAGAGGGGTTCAATTGATGCGACTGATAGATCAGGAACAAACGCATTACAATGGGCCTGTATGCAGGGACATTCTGAAGTTGTCCCACAACTACTGGAAAGGGGGGCCGATGTCAATGCTGAGGGAGGAAAATATGGCAATGCTCTACAAGCTGCTAGTGGACAAGGACATCGTAAGATCGTTCAACTACTCCTCGAGAATGGAGCCGATGTCAATGCTCAGGGAGGACAATATGGCAATGTTCTCCAGGCTGCTGCTCAAGGAGGTCATTTCGATGTCGTTCAACTACTGCTCGAAAATGGAGCCGATGTCAATGCTCAGGGAGGATACTATCGCAATGCTCTCTACGCTGCTGTTAATCGAAGAAATCTTGAAATTATTCAACTACTGCTTGAAAATGGAGCCGATGTCAATGCTCAGGGAGGACAATATGGCAATGCTGTCCAGGCTGCTGCTCAAGGAGGACATTTTGACGTCGTTCAACTACTGCTCGAAAATGGAGCTGATGTCAATGCTCAGGGAGGATACTACGGCAATGCTCTCCAGGCTGCTGCTCAAGGAGGACATCTTGAGATTGTCCAGCTACTACACGACAAAGGAGCAGATGTCAATGCGCAGGGTGGATAATATGGGCAATGCTCAACATGTTGCTACTCTGAATAGATCTTGGGAGGCAGGCGCAGATGGAAGCAGCACAACGAAAACTGCTGCTGGACCACTTTTAGCTACAAGACTGTTGTTGTGAAGTAATTAAGCTATTTAAATCTATTTTCTCAAGTGTTTAAGTTTAGTACAATAGTGCACCTGCAATGACGATTTACTCCGGTATGGAAATCGTTGCGTGAATTGATCCTCAATCATGTCCCAGCTGAAATTCTTGTTTTTCAATTCAACGATCAACACATCTTCATCCGGTGAGAACTTTCGCGATCTAACCGTAGAATGGCCTTTTTGTAGAGATAGTCGAGCAACTTCCGTTTGTCCACCTGCAAATAATGACGAAAAATAGGATTGGGATAACTCTAGACAATAGACGATCTCAGATCCAACATATCGTAGTTTAAGAAAGCCTTGGACTGGGATTGACTCGCTTTCCGGATTCGTCTCTTGCTGTGGCGACTCGGGCTGTCTGGTGGATGGAGACTCTGGGGGTAACTGTTGAACTGTTTCTTGAGAAGTCGATGAGATTGTATCCGGTATATGACTCCTCTTCAACTGTTTTGCTGGTCGCAAGTATTCCCTTGATTCATCTCTATCAATGTTGTCAACATCTTCTGCATCATTCTCGTGATAAGACACAGACACATCAGGAACTTCGGCGACCTGACTCGCGCAGTGAGACTGATTATGGGACTCTGACCAGTCAGGTAATTCCTGCAACGGGTCGAAGCAACAAGACAGGGAAGGGATCACAACTGGTTAAGGCGGGGGGGGATGGAAAGGCATGCTGCTTCATTCTGCACCGAATTCAAAAATTCTCCCGATAGATATGAGCTAGCAAGCATGAAATCTTCTAGGATATCCTGTGACTCAATGCTTTCAATTGGCGAACTGCTTCCGCGAGACTCCAACTGCCGAGGGATACCAGTTGGCAAAATTTCCTGTGTTTGACCTAGACTAACTATAGGCGGTCTCGATGCAGAAGATAGCGTCGCTATATCATTCAGAGTGGAGTCCTCGGCGACTAGTGCTGATGTTGCTGTTTCAGGCATGCAGCGTGGTGATAGACCTTGATCTAGTATAGACATGACATCACTAGCTTGCGGTAGCTCTGTCTAACCTTGATTGAGTGGCTGCGAGAGATCCGCATTTTCTGCCGACATCAAGGGCGCTTTTGCGCTGAAGGCGGACGATGCACGTTCAGCTGCGATTCCTTAATCTGATGACATTGCGTGTACACTATTGCTATCGTCATCTTTGTCTCCTAATTTTTATATGTAAGCCAGAAATGGATAGGTTGCATGAATAAGGAGCGTACCTTTTACAGGTAAATGAATCAGAGACTCTTTTTCGCATTTTTTATTCTCTGTGACTGAAAAGTCATCAAACGCTCGGTCAGAATCATCTAAACAGGGGTGATTGGTATGGACTGTATCAGATGTGCTTGAGGTAGTCGGTGAAATTGTACGGTCTGAACTGTGAATAGAGGAGATAATGGCGGGCGGACGAGGGGGGAGCGTATGATGCAAAGCTGGTTGTGGGAAGGATGTGATGGAACTTAAGTGAATGGAAGGGTTTGGATTGACCTTTTTTGAGGGGTGGAGGAATGGAGTTGAACAGTTATTAAGAGATATGCTCGTTATAGGACGTGCAGGAAGTGAATGGGGACGGTAAAATTTGATGTTTTCTAAGGTAACAAGCTATGATCGTGGAATGGATATAGAGAGGTCAGGGGAAACGAGACTGATGTCTGATGGATGCACTCCATCCTGCCGAGGACTGAGAGGTCTTTATATCCGTCTCAGGATACAAAAGGTGCAAAAAGATGATTGTCAGTCTCCTCGCATGTCGCTATTGCTGCCACTGACATATTCCCCGTCACCGTCGTCTCCACCTGCAATAAAGAATGGCGGCATTGACGATGTAGTCGTTGTAATCAATGGACAGGTCGATTTCCAATTAAATGACCTAAATCCAAGCTCAAAAATAAGATATGATCTAGAAGCACGCCCGATGCTACTCATCCTTATATGCATCTCTGTTCCCGTCCCACAATTGAGGTATTGCTGACCACATCTGTAACCAATGTCGTCTAGATTACCACCTCGTTGCTGCCAGGCATGAATCAAGGAGTCCTATAAGTGGATTTGACGCTTATACGACCAACCCTGGATTAGCATCCTTGCAAACCTACCTTAATGAATGTGTCAACCCCTTTCAGCTCTGCAGCCGTAAATGCTAGCTCAGATGATGCGGGATTTTTGCTATTGGCTATACTTGCCTTCAGACCCTAGCAGCACTTCCTCAATAAATGTATTGGCTCGAATAAACGAGTATTGCGCAGCATTTCTACTGGTGGAATTAGCATCTGTGCACAGATGGGCTTATTTCTGGCGTGTCCGAGATCAGGATGTTCACCGTCCGAATAGCACATGATTGAGTCACTTGACTATGAGCCCCACTCAATAGATTGCACTGCTGAAGTTCCTAGCGGCTACATTTGTGCTAGTGAAGCCAGGACTGAGAGGAATCCGGTCTCATTACAGCCGATACAGCGAGCGAACATTGAAGGCAAAATCTTCGGTACAAGTCATCTTCCCATCATCTAAATTGTAGATGATGGCTCACTGCTGTAGTAGAACCCAAGGACTGTAATTTCTGTCAACTACTCAACTACTCAAAAGTAGTCACGGTGTAGAAGGGGAGACGGCGCAGGAATAAGGGGGGTCCGCGCAGGGGGAGGGAAGATGTTGGGATCAGCGATTCGTGTGGTTTCCCGCTAGACAAAGACAGCCGAGAAAAGGTGAGCAGCTAGAGCGGTAGAAAAGAAGAAAAAAGAGACGTGGAATTGACGGTCGTCGTTCGGGGACGCACTTGCAGTTTATATATGCCTCACCTGGTGGGGCAGCTCCCGTTAAAGCAGCGAGAGAACCGCTATCCCCCATATGGTATACACAAGTACAGTGCCTTTCCAGTAGTGTTGGCACCCTTGGTGTAAGTTTTGCAGGCAATAAACGTGGGCGGTAAGAAGGGGGGTGTCAACACTACTGCACCCCCACTGTACTTCCACGGCCTCGCGCTAAACGGTTTCGGGGAATTCCTTTTCCGTTCCGTTCTTTGGTTGGTCGGAGGCCGAAAAGCGCGCCCCGCTAACCGGCACAATTAATACTCCAAATACGCCAATTATGCCTATAATAAACTATTTAGACTTCCAGCGTGCAGCGTCTTTCAGCCTTAATAAAGTCCCAAGAGTCCTACTATTCATAGAGAACTGTCGGATTCCTAATATATCTCTCCCGCTATTAAACAACCTCTCTACATCTACCTCTGCTGCTGGTATAGCAAGGTGATCTTGTGCTACCTTGGCCATACAAGGAAATTCAAGCTTGTTGGCCTTCCACCAGTTTCTTATAAACTCAGTCTGACTCTGGTTTGGATCAAAACCAGTACTGATCGTAGGAGTATCAAAATATTGGTCGATATCTGACTCAGAGATGTTATACTAGGTAGGCTGGAATGCCTCTAGAAAGCGATATTCCAAGCTCTTATAATTTGCACTGAGAGCAGTCGATATTGTGACGGCTGCAAGAATCGCTGTCGTGTGAGCTCGGTCCTTTGTAGTGCCGCTCCGTGATCTCGTTGAGCCCTAAGCCCTAGCTGGCCGTACAACGGGATATCCCTTTGTTGTTACGACTTCCTATTTAGGCACCGACGAGACGATACGCGCTTACAAAGGGCTGTAGCGAGCTCACACACAGATTCTTCCTTTCTCCTTCTTTTCTGTATGCTTAGTTTCTTGAAGATGAGCTACCCTAGAGTTTAGGCTGAGCAAATGTCACAGATATAGGCTTTTTTTGTGCAGGATATGCTTTCTTCAGAAAAGCCCTAATTTGGATGATAATCTTCTCTCCATCTGGTAACATTTTGAGCTACTTAGTCTTGATTCGAGGGTCTAGAATGCTTGCAATATAGTATATATCATTACATTTAATATAGTCGTAATACCTTTCCAGGAGTGAGATTCCATTAGAAATAAGAATAGTTGCTTCAGCTGAGAGATTCTTCTAATCGCCCTGTCTTTCCCTGATAGCTAACAGCATAGAATGGAGCTCTTCATATAGACACGCAGCTATATAAATTGAAGGGCTATCTCGAGAGATATACTCAGTATATTTGTTAAAGGGAGCCAGAATTTTCTTAATATTAGAGAGCTGCCTCCAATCATCAGATGTAAGACGTAAGGCTTCAATTTCTAGCTCATCATTGACTGTATCTTTGAGCTGCTAACGGCACTCTTCAGCTCTCTCAATCATAATAAAAGTAGAGTTCCATCTAGTATCAACGTTGTAGTTGATAGCTTTAGTGCAGCCAGGCCGATTATCCCACTTCTGTATTCATTGGGGAGATTGTGCAATCCAAAGGATAAGTATTCAAAGCTTTACAATAGGTAAAGAAGGCACCTTAATCTTCTTCCAACTCTGCTTAGCAACATCATTAAGAAGATTGCAGGCTTCTTTATACGAACTAGCACATAGAGACTTTAATATAGCCTTCATAACCAAGTTCAAAATGTGAGCAAAGCAGCGGATTTGGGAATTTTAAGTAAATTTCATCGTTTCTTCTTGAATGATAGTCTCTGTTAGATAATCATCATAGCTCTGAAATAACTTCTGGTGAAGATATCAATGTAAAGTGTTATTATTAGATGCATTATCAGCTATAATTGTTATAATTTTATCAGATATATAAAATCTCTAAAGAGCTGTAGCTACAATATTAGCTAAATTTTCTTCTGAGTGGTTTCCTTCAATTTCAACAAATTCAATACAAGCTTGATATTACTAAAAATCAGAGGACATCCAGTGAGCATTAATTGCTAGCATTGGCAGTGAATTCTAACTTGTCCAATCATCAAGAGATAGCGCTATTGAGGAGGCTGAAGATATTAAGCCTCATAATTCACTATCAATAGCGTCAAGCCGAAGACTTAATCAACATGAGATAGTATCTGCACTTGATATAGAGTCCTGCGAACCAGCAGATCTCAACATAGTCTTAAATGAAGGCTGTTCGACGCATGTAAATGGCTAGGAGGTTAATATAATCCAATCTAAGAGAGCTTCCTCAAACGGAAGCTTTTTTTCCTTCGAAATCCATGAACTTAATAGTCCTTGGCACTCTGAAAGACCATCTTTTAAGAGCTTATAAGTCTGCTGAAGATGCTATTTTAATGCTGTAGTTGAAGATTGTAGTTTAGATGTAAATCGAAAGAATTAATATGTAGATGGTGATACAACACATAGATGTTTGAGCTCAGACCATTCATTATTCCCTAGTTTCCAGGTACTAGGTTCAGGTGTTGTTAAGAAGTATTTCCAGATCTAGCTCCACTCTCTTAGCCTAGCCTTATCTCTCTGCTTGATTTCGATACTCCCAGCCTCGCATTCCACCTGAGATATTGACTGCAAAGAATGTATTTCTGTATTGAGGTTTGATAGGCTGAGAAACATTACTGTCAGCCGCTGGAGATCCTGAAATCCTAGTGCTAGGCGATTTTGTAGTATAGACTACTTTCTTTTTCTAGGTGCTGGAAGTGATATATCCCCTTCAAAGAGACCATGTTCGTTAAGGGCCACATAATCGCGTTTTTTCTTCCTCGTATGGGGAAGTTCAAATATTGGAGCAAGTGGAGAAGTTGTCGGATTAGTTGGTTGATTCCAGGCCAATCCTGAAGATAGTTTTACTGGGATGAAAAGAAAGAAGTGACTAGCAAGATTGTATGTATTGAGTTCTGTATCTCTCTATCCATCAGGTTTCAAAGCCGGGTCCTTTATAGACACTTTTCGGCGGGGTGATTTGTGAGTCATCAAGAGGGGTAAATTTTGGGGGCTATAAGATAGGGCTTCTGATTGTTCACTTCCTTTTACTGCCTCCGGATGTCCGAATTATCTAACAGAAGTCATCTGGAATATGATATTAGTATATCCATCTTGTGCCTTGATTAATCACTTACTTTAGTTATATCTCCTTCAAAAGTGCTGGTTTTTATGACCTTTCAAGCTGACGGTTTGAACTTGTTATGGATAAAAGCGCGTATTCGTGGAGACGTGTCCGCGTGGTTTATTCGCTAAGCCTGATTAATACTATTCTTTTACTGCACCTCAGTCCTCGACAATACTATGTATGCAATTGTTGATATTTTCACTCTATATTAATTTATTACGTATAAATAAGCGTGATCTGTCAGTTAATTTAATTTGAAGCAATATAGACCTAAAATAAGGCTTTCGTGATGTTGAGGGAGTTCAGGAGTAGAAATGATATATTCCTGAGATTGACGTTTTGGAGGAAAAAATAATTTCTGTTTATATTGCCCGACAACCTGTTAGATTCAAGGCAAACTATGTAAAGTTTTATATCTCAGAATATTTCTAGCTCAGCTCTCCCTATATCTCTTATTTGATAGGAGTTAATTGTTAAATTGTACGCGGTGTTGCTATATATGTAAAATCGAGTACGTTGCTGGACATGGTGTTGAACAAAAGTACTGCCGAGTATCTCTTACCGCCTTCCCAATTGGGACTAAATCAAATAAGTTCGCGAACCTCGAATCGAATTCGAATCGACTGTGAGTTCGAATTCGTACGAATAGTCATATTCAGGATTAATTCGAATCGAATCGAATCGAACTTTTTCCTAATTCGATTCGATTCGTGCGGAGTGGTATCATACTGACAGCCTGATGCCTGGCAGGCCTTACATTTTTTTGTGGCGCAGCCTAGAACATGTCTAGTTGATGAGTTCTGAAGTATTTAAGTACCTCATAGCCCCTCTTTCACGGCTATCGACCAAGATAGCAGAGTCGGATCTCTTTTTACTGCTCAGCCATAGGTACTTCTCAATCGAGCTTTGATGGCTGTTTCATTCTCCGTACGATTAATCATTATTGTGAGCGCGAGTTGGAATTGAACGGCGACCATGACGGACCAAGAGCAGAATTCGCATTTGTCCGAGATCCCTCCTGAACTCGTGGTTATCATTTTAAAGAACCTACCAGACTTTGACAACCTCTTTGCTACTATCCGGACTTGCCGGCGTCTGTAAACTTGTTTCGAAGGCAATGCTTCATGCATTTATCACTTCAATCTCCTCCAACATCCATCAACGCGCTATTCAACTTGACTACCAAGACTGCCAAGCGAAGTCTTTTCTAAATCGAGGTTCATGTTTGATATTTCAGCAGCTGAGCTTTGCCATCAAGAACAACTATATACAAAAAGATTTTGTCGGACAAATGTTTAAGAACGCTTGGGCTTCCTTATATGACAAAGGACTTGAAGAGATACTTATTCCGCTCAGAAGAAAACTGGCATCTTCTTTGTTAAGCAATAATCGCCAGCAAGACGCTATTGACCTTTTACTGCAAATATTACGCAGAAAACCGCCATTTAAGCTATCTACCACAAACCTTCCCGGACAAACTGCCGACGATTATGTGAGAAGTGCACCAATATTTGCACCTATTGATTATCTAATATTCAAAATTGGTCCGGTGGATTCGACTCTTCCTCCAGAAATCGTCTCTAAGGAGATTGAGAGACGCATTTACCTGAAGTATGAACGGCTCACTGTATTTCCAGTCGTTCTCATCACAGATGATGGAATGCTGTTTTTCAAATCCTGCATTTTTCTATCACAGGGGATCTACAGTGAGAGTGGCATCACACTCGTAAGAATGGCCAACCCTCCCCGGAAAGTTCGTGACCATCGGGAGGTTACACAGCCGCGACACAGATACCGTCGCCTACTGCAACTTGAGGATATGTCAGATCTAGATTCCGCTCGCTTTTAAAGATTCACCAAAAAGCCGCAACAGAAACAAAGTAGAGACCTGTATGCAATCCAGTCATTACAGTCAATGCAAGTATTTCAAATTTGTGCTCCAGTAGACCCGAAGTGCCCAGCATCCTCCGTAGAGGACCAGGACTGTTAACGGCAATGGTATAGGCAACTGCTTTGCTACACATCCCAGATCTTGATTGTTTTATCGTTCGAACCCGATACCACGCGAGTGCCGTCTGGTGAGAAGGCAACAGACATAATCATGCTCTCATGGCCATTGAACGTCTTGAGGCAGTTGCCGCTGTCGACATCCCAGATCTTGACCATTTTATCGTCTGAACCGGACGCCACACGGGTAGCGTCTGGCGAAAATGCAATTGATTGGACCATGTCACTGTGCCCTTTAAACGTCGTGAGACAGTTGCCACTAGTAATATCCCAGATCTTGATTGTTTTGTCATCTGAGGCCGATGCGATACTGCTGCCATTGGGCGAAAAGACAATTGAGCTGACCCTGCCGTGTTCAAATATATGAAGACAGACACCACTATCAACATCCCAAACACGAAATGTTCTATCATCTGAGACTGATGCTATGCGAGTGCCACCTGGAGAAAAGATAATTGATTTAATCCAATCAAAATGACCATTCAGCGCCTTAAGACAGGCATTATCCCAGATGTTGACTGCACCGAATAATGAACCGGACAGCACGCGGGTGCCGTCTGATGAGAAGGCGACTGATATAACATCGCTATTATAAACTTCAAATGTCTTAAGGCAGTTGCTATCACTGTTACTGCTCATATCCCAGATCTTGACCGTTTGATCCTCTGAACCTGATGCCAAATGGGTGCCGTTGGGTGAGAAGGCAACTGATCCGACACGCCTATTATGACCTTTAAACGTTTTAAGGCACTGGCCATTATCAAAATCCCAGATCTTCACTGTTTTATCGCTCGAACCCGATGCCATATGTTTATCGTCGGGGGAGAAGGCGACGGAGGAGACAGCGCCCCCATGGGTGAGTGTCCTGAGACACTTGCCACTGTAAATCTTCCAGATCTTGACCATTTGATCGTCTGAACCTGATGCTAGATAGATGTCGTTAGGGGAGAAGGCGACGGAGGAGACAGAGCCCCCATGGGTGAATGTCTTGAGACACTCGTCACTGTTAATCTTCCAGATCTTGACCGTTTGATCGGCTGAACCTGATGCTAGATAGGTGCCGTTAGATGAGAAGACAACTGATCTGACCGTACTACCATGGCCTGTAAATGTCTTGAGGCACTCGTCATTGTTAAGATCCCAGATCTTGACCGTTTGATCGGCTGAACCTGATGCCAGATGGGTGCCGCTGGGTGAGAAGGTAACTGAATAGACACCCTTGCTATGGCCTCTCAATGTCTTCAGGTAGCTGTTGCAGTTCAGGTCCCAGATCTTGATCGTTGAATCGACTGTCTGAAAGCCTAAAACAGAAGCCACATGGTTGCCATCGGGCGAGAAGGCGAACGAGTTGGTAAAGGATCCATTGAATGTCCTGAGACATTTGCCACCGTTAACATAACTTATCTTGATGACTTTATCGTCAGAACCTGATACCACATGTGTGCCATCAGGCGAGTAGTTAACTGATCTTATTCCTGCATTATGACCTTCAAACGTGATAAAGCACTTGCCACTATCGATATGCCATATCTTAATTGTTCTATCATCTGAACTCGATGCCAAGAATGTGCCGTCAGGTGAGTAGGCGACGGATCGGATCCCGTTGGTATGGCCTTCGAATGTCTTCAGAGAGATGTTGCTATTAATATTCCAGAGCTTCACTTTTTTGTCGTCTGAACCCGATACCACATGAGTGCCGTCGGGGGAGAAGGCAACTGAATGGATATGGTCATTATGCTCATTAAATGTATCTATATAGTTTTCGCTATTCAGATCCCAGATCTTGACCGTGTTATCCTTTGAACCCGATGCCACATGGGTGCCATTAGGGGAGAAGGCGACCGAGTAGACATAGTCCTTATGGCCTGTGAGTGTCTTGAGACACTTGTCACTATCAACGTCCCAGATCTTGACCGTTTGATCGTCTGAACCTGATGCCAGATAGGTGCCGTTAGGTGCGAAGGCAACTGATCTGACCCAGCCACCATGACCTGTGAATGTCTTGAGGCACTCGTCATTGCTAAGATCCCAGATCTTGACCGTTTGATCGACTGAACCTGATGCCACACGTTTGCCGTCGGGGGAGAAGGCGACGGATCTGACTGCTTCATCATGGCCGTTGAATGTCTTGAGGCAGCCGTCGGCATTCCAGATTTTGATTGTATTATCATCTGAGCCCGATGCAACACGTGTGCCGTTGGGTGAGAAAGCAACTGAGTTAATTGAGTGGCTGTGGCCTTCGAGCGTCTTTACCGAGCTACGGTTGTGCACATTCCATATTTTAATTGTTTTATCGTCCGAACCCGATGCCACACGTTTGCCGTCGGAGGAGAAAGCAACTGATTCGACTCCTTGATTATGGCCATTGAATGTCTTGAAGCAGTGGTCACGATCGATATTCCAGATTTTCATCATTGTATCTTCCGAACCCGATGCTATACTTGTCCCATCTGGAGAGAAGACAGCCGATCTGACGGGTTTAGTATGCCCTTCAAATGTCTTAAAGCATCGGCCGCTGTTGATATGCCAAATTTTAATTGTTTTGTCGTCAGACGCTGATGCCAGACGGGCCCCGTCAAATGAGAAGGCGACCGAATTGACATGGTCACTGTGACCTTTAAGCGTTTTGGGGCTGCTGTTACGGTTCAGATCCCAGATCTTGATCGTTTTATCCTTTGAACCCGATGCCACACGTTTGCCATCGGGGGAGAAGGCGACCGAGTAGACATAGTCTTCATGGTCTGTGAATGTATTGAGGCACTTGTCACTGTCGAGGTCCCAGACCTTGATCGTTTTATCCTTTGAACCCGATGCCACACGCTTGCCATCGGGGGAGAAGGCGACCGAGTAGACATAGTCTTCATGGTCTGTGAATGTATTGAGGCACTTGTCACTGTCGAGGTCCCAGACCTTGATCGTTTTATCCTTTGAACCCGATGCCACACGCTTGCCATCGGGGGAGAAGGCAATCGAGTAGACATAGTCTCCATGGCCTGTGAATATATTGAGGCGCTTGTCATTGTCAAGGTCCCAGATCGTGACATTTTTACCCTCTGAATACGCCGCTAGTCTGTTGTCGGGTGAGAAAGCGACCGAGTAAATTTTACCGCTGTGTGCGTGTAGAGTTTGTGTACAGTCATCATTTGACGCCATAATATTGACAATTCAGATTGTTGCTGACTTTTGTGGAGTAAAGTGCCTAACACGTCAGATTGATTACTCTGACTTTTTTCCCAGGAGTAGCGTCGCCAATAATATATCAACCTCCTTGACTGAGGCAATGCTATAACACTATAACAGAAGAGAAGGGGCAACTAGGTACCTACCAAATGCCCAGGCCGCGCGGTTTAGCTGAATTCACTCGTTCAGGTGGCCATGACCTGCTGCATCAGCACCAGCCCTATTTGGTAGAATCCATTACCAGTTGTATGCAGTTGCATATGTGACGCACGTGAAGGTCCACACTCCACAGCAACTTCCTCATATTCCTCCGAAGTCGCCAATATCTAAGTGCTACTCAATATTATCAACCTATATTAATATGGCATCAGGTAGCAACGCCTTCCTTGGGTAGAATTAATCGGAGTCTACAACGAATATGTCTGTACATATCTGTCAGCCTGCATATCGCTAAGGCAGTTGGTCATAACCAGCACGCACTAGACTGTGTACGGATTACTATATTTGGTCTAATGGCTTATGCATCCATCGATTCTCAGAAGTAGCTAACTGAATAGGGTTAGTTATAGGTGTAGTAGCCTCAATATTGCTCACGGAGAGATCAGGGAAAATAAAATTACTATTGTCATTATATGTTTTCCTTCCCATTGCGATTATGTACTGCTCACGATACCCTCTATTCTCTCAACTTAGCCATCTACCTCTTTGTTGTATTTCTTCACTCGCCTTTCAGGCCACAGGGCGACGCGGCCTACGGGATTACAGATTTTAGCACACCGTCAGTCAGCTGAAAAGCGCTCTGACCTATGCGCGTTATGACACCAAATCTTGAACGTGTACAGAAATCAGATGACAGTGCCGTCAACGTCCAGAATGTTGGCAGTGGCAGCTGCCTTAAAACATTTACAGGCCATGATGACTGGGTCAACTCAGTCGCCTACTCATCTGACGGTACATGTGTGGCATCAGGCTCGGTAGATGAAACAGTGAAAATCTGGGACGTTGACAGCGGCAACCTCCTTAAGACGTTAAAAGGCCATGGTGGCACCGTCACGTCGGTAGCCTTCTCACCTGATGGTACACGTGTGGTGTCAGCTTTGATGGAATCAGCGGGTTGTTGGAATTCAACAGTCGAAGTCTGGGACGTTGACGGTGGCAGCTGCCTTAAGACTCTAGAAGGCCATGATGGCTACATCACGTCGGTTGCGTTCTCACCTGATGGTACACGGGTGGCGTTAGGCTTGTTTTCTTGGGCAGTCAAGATCTGGGATATCGGCAGCGGCAGCTGCAAGGAATTCCTAGGCGCTAGTGGCACAGTCTCGTCAGTTACCTTTTCACCTGACGGCTCACGTGTAGCATCGGCCTCGTGGGATTCAACAGTCAAAGTCTGGGACGTTGACGGTGACAGCTGCCTTAAGACATTAGAAAGACATGGTGACTACGTCACGTCGGTTGCCTTCTCACCTGATGGCAAATGTGTGGTTTCAGGTTCGAGAGATTCAACAGTCAAGATCTGGGACGTTGACAGCGGCCGCTGCCTTAAGACACTTATAGACCATAGTAACCCGGTCCTCTCAGTCAGTTTTTCACCTGCCGGCTCACGTGTAGCATCGAGCTCGGAAGATAAAACTGTGAAAATCTGGGACGTTGACAGTGGCAGCTGCCTTAAGACATTAGAAGGCCATGGGGGCGCCGTCACGTCGGTTGCCTTCTCACCTGATGGCAAATGTGTGGTTTCAGGTTCGAGAGATTCAGCAGTCAAGATCTGGGACGTTACCTGCCTCAAGACGCTTGAAGGTCATCGTGATTGGATAAGATCAGTTATGTTCTCACCTAGTGGTACACATATAGTATCACTTTCCGATGATAGATCAATTAAAATCTGGGATGTTGACAGCGGTGCCTGTCTCCAGACAATTGAACATGGTAGGGTCAGCTCGGTTGCCTTTTCTCCTGACGGCACGCGTATGGCATCAGGTTCGGACGAGAAAACATTCAAGGTCTGGGACGTTGAGAGCGGTACCTGTTCAAACACATATGATCACAGCAGAGTCAGGTCGGTTGCCTTTTCACCTGATGGCACCCGGATAGCATCAGGTTCAGATGACGAAACTGCCAAAGTCTGGGATGTCAACAGCGGAAACTGCCTCATGACGTTCAAAGGGCATAGTAGCGTGGTCAGAACCGTCGCTTTCTCACCTAACGGCGAATGTGTGGCCTCCGGTTCACACGATAAAAAAGTCAAGATTTGGGATGCAGTTACTAGATAGATATATCAGAATCTATCCTCACTAATAATATTCTTACCAGTAGCAGCACTAGACTACGCACCCCACTTCTTATCTTAGTATAGGTCATATTATTGGCTTAACAGGTAGACGCCCTATACCGTCCCTCACCGCCTGCAACACAGAACCACCTGAAACACAATTTTGACGAGTTACTATACAAGAGATTTTGAAGCTTTACAACACCGATAAAATATAGCACATCCATGGTGTAACACTAAATGAATATAAGAAATCGAATAGACACAAAAATTTAGTCCCGAATACCTAGGGCGGAAAAGTATCCTTCATAGATCAATATCCGCGTGGCTGAATTCCATTACCGCTCCGCACGAATCGAATCGAATCGAACTTTTTCCTAATTCGATTCGATTCGAATAAATCCTGAATATGACTATTCGTACGAATTCGAACTCACAGTCGATTCGAATTCGATTCGAGGTTCGCGAACTTATTTGATTTAGTCCCAATTGGGAAGGCGGTAAGAGATACTCGGCAGTACTTTTGTTCAACACCATGTCCAGCAACGTACTTGATTTTACATATATAGCAATACCGCGTACAATTTAACAATTAACTCCTATCAAATAAGAGATATAGGGAGAGCTGAGCTAGAAATATTCTAGGATATAAAATTTTACATAGTTTGTGTTGGTTTAGCTACGTCCCGTATCACGAAGCGTAGGATATCGTAAGCTAGGGCGATCCAACTGCCCTACGTGGTGAGCCTTGCTATATAGCACGAAATGTAATATTAAAAAAGACTGACCCCCGAAACTAGAAGGGGGGCGGGGTGCCTAGATACATTATATGGTGTTGGTCGCTCTAGCGCACGGAGAATAGTAATCCCGACCAGTTCGCGTACGAATTGACGGCGTGCTACAGCGCCGTATAGTGATTTGTAAGATCGCTATTCAAACACTGGCAGTCTTCTAAGGAGCGGAAATACAGTAAGGAATGACAATAGTTGATGTAGCAAAGGAAATATCAGAAGAATGAAGCAAGAGTAACAGGTGCAAACCGGGGTAAGGAATGACAGTCTATGAAGCCAGTGTAGCGACAGGTGTCGCAAATCATACATTCTTTGACTCAGAGGTGCGCTTTGTTGACGGCCTTTCAACCCAACCGTCAACGTCAATGCGTAGCTTGTTCATATCGATAAGCTCTTGTAAAGCGCGACAGGGCTTACTCTTAGTCATCGCGTTGGCAGGGTTGCTGTTGCCGTTGATCCATCTCACCTCCGTGATCTCTTGTCGTTCGTACGATTGACGGAGGCACATGAGATCGATCATAAGGCGTTTTTCGCGGGTCGTACCCAACTTGACGAGGCATTCGTAAAGGCTCTTCGAGTCGGTGCAAAGGACTAGCGGGAGCGGCTCCAAAAGATGCAGCAGCTGGGTGAGGGTTGATTTGATTGCTGCGGCCGCATCGAATCCATTGGCCATACCGTACATTTCTGAAGCGAGCACGCTTCGGGTAATCCTCTTACACTTGGTGGAGGACCAATGGAGGATATTCGCATTATTTCATGCGTCTGCGAGTACGATAACGTGGCCAATTTGGGAAGAAGAGTCCTTGTTATTAGCAAACGAAGCATCAACGAATGCGTACAGTTTTGCAGTCCGTAGATCGATCTTGACGAACCGTAGCCCGCGGGTGGAATTGTCAATCTGCCATTGAAGTCGTTTATTGAGCGCCTTTATATCCTCTTTTCCCGGTTGTGTAGCTTGCGCTGCGAAGGATAGATCGAACGAGGCTTCGGGTTGTGAGACGGAAGCAATATACGCACCAAGGGCTCGTTGGGCAACGTACTGTTCGTGCGGAGATGCGTTTTTGCGAACCTTGCCACGGGAGCTAACCGTATCCGAAGGGTGATCTTGTACGAGCCAAATGTTCTTACAGGTGCGTTCTTGGGTAAGAGTAATACCCTGGGCATCCTCTGTAATTACCGCACCATTGAATCGTAGCGATTTGCCAGTTATAAGCTGTTCACAGGGCTTACAAAGAATATTTGCACGTTTGATTTGCTCTTCTTCTCGTGCGGCAAAGGCTTCGTCAGCGACAATAAGTATGTCATCTGTTTGCATGCCGATCACACCAAATCCTTGCTCTAGATTACAGCAGTGAAGGAGGTATAGATTGTACATGGAGGTCTCCATACCAAGTTGCTTGGTGTGGTACTTATAGTAGGTGTGAAACTAGTGGTTGCCTGCTTCAGGGATGCCATATAATAACCGTACGACTTTCAAGAATTTGCAGCCGGGGAAAAAGTGACGCAATTCAGGTAGTATTTAAATGTAAAATTCGCGGTTAAGCTTTGTCGTCAACTATATATAGGCCTGCGTGATGTCGCAGATCCAGAACCATACTCCATCTTTGCTTATCCCAATACAGAGAATCAGGCGTTGGCTAGAGCGCTGAATCGTAAGTAACTGCGTTAGTACAAATTCTTTATCCTTGTCGCTATAGGCTTGTACGACGAGCCACGATTTCTCGAACGCTTTGTCGGTGCCTTTATTCTTGACCTCGTTGACGAACCTGAAGCCATAGATGCGGGCATCTAGCAGGATATCCTCTCGATTGACGGCTATGAATATGCCTCTTTCCAATAGTCCGGTAACCTCTTTGCGGCGCGATTTGTCAAACTGGCCGTCGCCAGTGAGCTATACGAGTTGGGTGAAGATATCCGCGATTTCCTTTAAGCATGTGTCGTCAATCTCTTGCAAGTACGTGAGGTCATCTCGATAACGGGATGGTAAACAGTGCTCGCGTTGAGGACGTGACGGTTATACTTTGGCGTTATTAGGCTTGGACGGTGGTGTAGCGACTTAAGGTGTGGGAGTTGGTGCGTTTAACAGTACTATAGGTGGTGCTTCCTCTGGAGCTAGCTGCTCGTCATCTTTATGCTCCAAATCGTCATCTTTGTAGTATGGTTTAACAACAGTTAACCTAAACTTTGTAAGTCCGTTGGGGAGCTCCACGGTGCACATTTCTCCATCAATTGATATAAGCTTGTACAGTCCTTTCCATTTGCCGGGGTATCTAGTCCCACCTTCACGCCATACAAGCACGTCTGAATTGAGAGGAAGACGGTGCACGAGCGTAGACGATAGTCCATTACGAGTATTAAGCGCGTTGTTGACTTGGCGTATGATGTGAAGCCTTCGTACTTCGGTCATTGCTTTCTTGATTGTAGCAGCGCGTTGAACGACCATGGATGCGGGAGGACTGTAGTCCGTCATTTGGGGGTACGCTCCAAAGATGAGAAGTGTAGGAATGTAGCCATCTGGACCTGCGGTATCGTTGACAGCTTTAATGGCCATTTGAAGCGCCATTTCAGGTGCAAGCTCTGGCATCTCAAGCTGTTGTTACTGCTCCGGCTGAGCCGGAGCTCCCAGCTTCTCAACCAATCGTACGCCGTCAATTCCGCTGCAGTGGTTGTGGTGCTGAAGGGCATAAAATAAACCGATGTCCTAGTCGTACTGCTAGTTAATTTTTTGTATGAGAAATATATGCGGATTCGAAAAATGGGATTTGAAATCAATATAGAGAGTTATTTTTCGGGGAGGTGGGCGGGTTGCTTACATGGGCGGGTGGCTTACCGATTACGTTACTACTAACTACTACTACTACTACTACCATTTTGATCAGCTCACCCTGTAGGCTAGTTGGATCAGCCTTGCACCAATCCTTGCTTCGTGTTCTGGGACCGTGCTAAACCAACAGAGGCCAACCATCTGACTACGGCAGTTATGTAAAAACGCCAAAGAGTCACTTCATGTAGCTAGTATTATGACACCCAGGGCTTACCCCCTGGCGGCCTTTGTCCCAATAGGGAATGGGTAGGCAGTGATTAATTACAACCTACGGCCGTTAAACAATGACACACACACAGTCATACGGGTAGTAGCGGTTATTTTTGTTTAATTAATAAAAGCAGAGGAGACCTGTTTGCTGTTTTTAGGCTGCGTTCAATCGCAAGATCGACAATCGAGAGGAGAGGTGCGGAGAGGAATCAGACTTAAAACAGGACATATAATAAACGTAACTTATAATTAATCTATTAATCGAACAAACTTTCAAAAATGCATAATGCGGGGTCGGTTAATTGCTCATTTCCAGACTCTCAGTACTATTCCCCAGATATAGGCTATTTGCGGGAGGGGAATCCCTTAACAGTGCCGAGTCCTGTATGGTGCACGTAAAGTTCGGACTATCCTCACCAGAAATATAATGGTAGATTTGTTTTATGTTACTAGATCTACCAGATCATAATATCCGTCAATCTGCAAACAAAAATATTGATCTAGATATTTTGGCTAAATAGATCATTCTATAGGAGAGATATATTTTCAATTAAAGGCTGTTTGTTTGTTTCGGCTATATAATTAGCGTTGATCACAAAAACCAATATATATACAAGATAAGTTCAGCAGCTTCGTTCTTATGCCTTTCAAGCATAACACTCTTGCTCTTTAACACAATTCCTTTTACAGCATTGTTTCTTGAGGAAATCTTTATTCAGACATTATGATCTCTTTCACCACTGCTTTTGTTGCTGCTACGCTTGCAGTTGGCGTCCTCGCCAGCCCTGCGGCAGCACCCGCCGCGCTTACCAAGCGCAATACACCCAACTCATCAGGCACGAACAACGGCTACTTCTACCAATTCTGTATTTACAATGCCAGCATTAGTTCTTAATCCTCAAAAAGCTTAGTGCTAACCTAACGTTGAGGGGATGATGGCTCCAGTGGCACTACTACCTACACAAATGGGCCTGCTGGCGAATACTCCGTGAACTGGCAGAATGTTGGTGATTTTACCGCAGGTAAGGGCTGGTCACAGGCTGAGCCCAGGAATATCAGCTTCTCTGGTAGCGTCAACTGTGAGGGCAACTTCTACCTTGCTGTATACACTTGGTCAACCCAAGGCGAGAACTATGTAGGTCCTCTCTGCAGACTAACGCAATGATATGTGACTGCAATCTGACCCAGGATAGATTCTCGAGGACTACGGCACCTACAATCCGTGCTCTGGTGGCACGAGTAAGGGCAGTCTTTACAGCGATGGGAGCGAGTACCAAGTCTGCCTGGTCGACCGTGGCAACAACTACCTCCAGAACTGGTCTGTCCGCCAGAACAAGCGTTCCTCCGGCACTGTTACAACGGCAAACCACTACAATTACTACCAGTCTCAGGGTATGACCCACAACCCACTTAGCAGCGCTGTTTATCAGATTGTGTCGACCGAGGGGTACGGCAGCTCCGGCTCCGCTGACATCACCGTGAGTTAGGCTTAGAGGGTTAGGGTTAGGAGGGAGTCAAAAGTGATGGCACTACGCTAGGCATTAGCGCGTAAACTGTATGTATTTCAGTTGTTATAATACAGAGCTAAACCAGAGAGGATCTAGCATTCAGGTAGATAAGCAAATAGGAGAACTCCAAATGGTAGTTAGCTGTAACCAATTATGGTATACATTTCTAGCGCTCTCTAGCGTACATTAGTGTTGTGCCGTCACTTTTGACTCCCATCTCCATACTTCCTCCACTACGGGCACCACGAGCTCCACTCCCCCACTACGACGAGCAGCAGCTCAGGCACTGGCGCTGCTCACTGGAAACAGTGCGGTGGTATCGGCTGGAATGGTCCCACCACTTGTGTTTCGGCTTATACTTGCCAGCAAATAAACCCGTACTACTTTTAATGCTTGTAGATGAATGCCTTTTCATTAGGAGAGAGGATGTAGGTAAGCAGGAAGATGAAAGGTGTAGTAGGAGGTTTGGCAGGAGGAATTATCAATATGACAGAAGCGTTCGGTATTCTCAGATCTTCACTAACAAGGATACTATTGTTAACATATAGAGACTGAAGCTTGAGAAGAGAAAGCAATCCTATCTACGGGGAATGATAGTGTGCATGGATTCCAAGGTCGGAGTCTAAATATGGTGGTAGGTATGACAGGTCAGATAGAGCCGGCATGAGATAGATCAAGTCGGTAGAACAGGAAATTTGACCTGTTTACTTAGTTGATGTGATCTGAAGAAAACAAGGACAAACCCAGAAAGTCACTCTCTTGCTTTGGATTAATCAGAGCTCTTTTAACTGAAATTCCCGCGAGGGTTATCCCCACAATCTTATTTGTCAGGTCAATACCCCCACTAAGACGCTAACCAGCTTTGGCGGGTACTATTCCTAGAATGTGCTCGTCTGATTAGGTTTAGCGTACTGGCTAGTCACTCAGATGTACTCTGGTGTGACGTTGCTCAATCCTTGCTAAACTAGGGTAGCCTGTCGACTGCAATACTAAGCATGAGGAAGGAAGAAGGAAAGACTCCCTCATCTGCTCGCTAGGCCCTTTTTATATGCGCACCAAAGGCTTCGTCGGTGCCTAATTAGGAAACCCAGCGAACAAAGAGGTCCTCCCCGTTACGGTCAAACCCTTAGGGCTTAGGGTTTGGTCGACGCCGTGCGAAATGCGACAATGCGCCTTTGCGATTTCTCTTCCTCAGCGGCTCGCTGACGCTGTTGGTGGGGCCCTGGAGGTGAACTGAATTGAATCGATTTCGACCACGCTTTTCTAGGGGCCTCAAATCGTGACCGGCTAGTGAGGCCAAATTTTGCTTCACACCATCCCAATTCCCTCGCTCGAGCTAAAACGCCTAGACTTACCGCCATGTTCCTCTTACCTTCTCCTCCTTCCACCTCTACGAACTCGACTCTCCGTCTCCTCCCTCCTGAAATCTCATATCACCGTTCGATATGGGTCGTCGAAAGATTCTAGGGACAGTCACACTGCAATCGGGGGGATCATACACAGGCTGGTCAGCCGCTGGCGTCTGTTCCGTGAGTTCTTGCAGCAGAAGTATGATCAAGCTCTGACGGAGACTCGTGCGACAACGCTCTACGCCGACACGACAAAATGCCATATCGAACGGATGGAGAAGTTGTGGACCGGTCTCAGCGCAGGGTTGAAGATGCCGACTTCCCTTGTATAATCAGCCGGATATTGAGTCACAGGGAGTCTGCCAGCACTTGATTTAGCGCCTGATAACACATCCAAGACAGCATTTCCACCGTTTTGACCAGGACATCCGGCCCAAACTATGGCACTGACAGTTGGGGTTTTGCACTACATGTAGAGCGGTATCATCGAATTGGCCTCCTCCGAACTGAACAACGACTACCTAGAGACTTTCCCAGAGCCCCAGGCCTAGTTCCGAGATCAAGTCAAGCTGATTTCCAGTTCCTGCCACGGAGCTCCGGTCCTTCCCTTCTGCTTCCACCGTTGTGTCAATACCTTCGACACAGCTCGGCGATAAGCAGGCCAACCGAGCCCCGTGCTAGCTAAAACAGAATACATAGCAATGGAGAGATGGGTATCTGGGCGGTCAAGAGGCAGAAGGGCGGTGATTCATTTCATTTATTCTATATAAAAGTGAGCTTTTAGCGCTGCTCGGACTTAGTTTCCTGCTTCTGAGAATATTCGGAGAGTCTTTCCTGAGCGAAAGTGTCCAGATGTCTCGTGGCCCCGTTCTATCAGGTGATGATTCAGAAATTCTAATTGAGCACAATGTGTAGAGAGTTTCACGCTGAGTGAAATGTTAGAATGTTATTCTAGGAAAATATTCTAGGAATGATGCATGCATATATAGCGTTAAAGATTCCCCATACAAATCCAGAGCAAAATCTATGCGACCACACTCTGTCAGACCATTCTCGCGCTCTCGAAAAATTGGACTCTTAAGTATTCTACCAGAACAACCAAACAACTAACATCAGAGCACTCAGCAACCAACAGAAAACTAAATTTCCAAGTCTAAGAACCAGCAATCCTTTTTTCGAGTCCTTGTGCTTCATTGACCAATAGCCCGTCATTAGCGACAAAAGGATATTGATGCATAGAATAAAAAAAAGAGACGGAAAAATGCACCACCACCGCGGCGTCTGCATAGCATTAGTCACTAGCCCAAACCCTGAACCCTGTAATAGCCACCATCTAAAAAATATTTCTAATATCACAATGTAGATTGTTGCGAGGGAGATGAGCGGGGTTGAGGAGTAGTAGTTTTGATCTGGAGCGAATGCAGGAGCGTTTGCAGATCGGTTGAGGAGCTGAAGTCCCTCGTATAGTTCATCCTGAATATCATGAAGTCTCACCTCTCCTGGATCAGGAGCACTTATCCGTTCTTTCGGCGAAAAAAGTCGTCAATGTCGATAATATATTAATGTAGACGAAAGGAGCCTCACCTTCATAGACTTGATCGAAAATGGTCTTTAACAGTGCAACAAGAAGCACAACGGCAATAACCTGGCCAAAGCTCCAAATATTATGGGTTTCTCTATCCTCGGCTGGGATATTATAGTAGAGGCTGATTAAGTTGGATAAACCGGATGAAAAAGCTATCACAAGCCAGTAAATCTGATAATAATCAATATTAGCAAGCATACACTAATGTACAAGAACTGGACTGGCATACTTCGAAAAACATGGATGAGCAATGATCTGCAAGAACACGCAGAGCCAAGAACAATGCCAACGCAGGATAATAAATAGACTTGCCCACGATACTCATGAGAAGTCTCTGGTTGCCAGTCCATTCGTACAAGACTGCTAACCATCTCCTGAAAAGCTGACTCAAAAAAGCTCTTGCTTGAACCGCGGCGTTCCTTGAAAGGCTCGGTGATACCCTCACCACGCGAATGATGAACCCAAGACCGATAAGCAACACTGAGAGCGCGATATATGATTTCCCGATTGACTTCGGGTCTGGATTGGAGGTCTTAAAATGACAAACAGTGTAAGTTGAAAGCATCTCGGTTTTTGCAATCAAGTAATTTGCGTCGATCGAGTAATTTGCGTTGATTGGGTAATTTGCGTTGATCCAGTAATTTGTGTCGAACGAGTAATAGTCGACAGTCGGAACGATTGCCGTGATGACCATGACCACCAAATCAAACATGAAAAACAGTCTCCACCAGCGCTCTTTTGGGTGATTTTGAAGATAGCCCCTGAGCAGTGTCAGACATGAGAGGTGTGTAACACAGGAAAACCAAGCTAGGCGTACGATAACCAGCCAATTGAAAAATTGGAGACCGCAGTGAAGCTGTGAGTACCCGCTGATCAATATGGCGAGTCCCGTGGCGATTTGTAAGTCACTCATCAAAAGTATACACTGTAGGATTAATTTGTTCCATTAGAATCCACTCTGTGACTCCAGGCACAGATGTACTTTGGGCAACTCACCTTGATAAGTGGTTTACTGAGGTGGGTTGTCCCAGACCGCACGGTCTCAGATGACTTTGACCTTATTTTCCTGAAAAGTCCTCAGATCGATCCCAAGATTTGCAGGTCTACTGGATTGGGACGAAAAGACGATTCGATGTAGAAGCAGTGCCATCACCCGGTACAAATGGATCAACGTCGGGTCGGTAGGCCAGAAAGAAATGGGGGATGATAATTAGCACGGCTATACCAGCGCTGGCAGCGTAGGCAATGAGAACCTATGCAGAAATTTTGTCAGGGCTCTTTTTTTTAATAGGACTGGACCATAGAGTACCTACCCCAAGCCCCGCGATGTCCGAGTCAGGTTGGAAGTCGGGAGGTTGCTGTTGACAGTCATAACTGTAGTTTCTTGACATTTCGATCCAGGAACGCTATGACTCAGTGTAGGGGAGCAAAGGCAAAGGACGTAAGATAATCGTATGGTTTTCCTTTCTATAATTACTTTGGAAGATTAGCAGATGGGGAGTTCAAGCGTAATGAAGAGATAAATAGAACAGAAATAGAGCACAGTGGCCTTGAGAAGAGCAAAAGCCACGCAGCGACGAGGCTGAGGCTGGGGCTATGCACCATTGCTTTCTTCTCAAAACTCTTGAGACGGCCGATCTACTTGGGCAGTCCAGCAGCAGCGACGTTTTCCCTAGGTAATGAGAGAAGAATTAGTCATCACACCCAGCTCATAACGAAAGGTATTCAGTATATTAATACTGGGAGTCGTAAGAATAAAGAAGATAAAGAAGAAATACCGTTAAAAGACGAGGGCTTCGTTATGGATCTATCTTCCAGAACTAACTATAGTCCAGGCAACACGTTGAATTGCAATGTATTGATTTATACAACGCCTAGTTATGTGGTGTAACCTTTGGTATAGATCCAATGTGATAATAGGTTCGTAGCACAAGCATGTTGTTTTCTATTTCGTTCTCGATTAGTCACTTGAGTAACATCCTAAACTGGATTAGCCTGCCTTGATTACCAGGCTTCAATATAACCCTAAAAGTAATTGATAATGAAGCAATTTGTTGGAAGCCTGGTGTTAGATATCATTAGTGAAATCCGCTGAGAAGCCGAAGGCCTCCAATTTGCCAACTGGCGTACCAATCAGCAAGAAACACGTATTCAAGTGAGGGATTTGGATTCTTCAATATAGAGGACAATCCCCAATGTTAGAAAAGAACAGAGGTTGAATAATACTAAAGCATATACACACAGACAATTTGTTAGCAAGCCTGTGTCACAAGCTCTTACAATATATGTAGAGCGTCCAACACAATTCCCTGTGCCCTTCTCCTTAATTTCTCAATCCAGCATCCATACCCAGTTAACCCTCAGTCTGTCTGACTTGTGGTATCATCACGCCGCATCCTTTGATTGTAGAGAAAATCACAACGATATCCGCCAGGGTGGTGATCCATTTGTTGGCCATGATTATCTCGGCATACCATCTCTCCTGACCAATAGATATAATGACATGTCAAATCCCTAGGACGACGCTTTTCCGTGTCCGCACAGTCTCCGGAAAAGAGGACCTAGAACTTCGGCTTTCTGTGCTATACACTGTTGCACATAGTCGCTTCCAACCTCGCCAGAAGAGCACACAAAGTGATATGTTGGGACTAAACCAACTAGACCTAAAAGCAGAACACATACTAGACAATCTGGTATAAAAAGATATACGTAGCTAACAACGGAAATCACAAGGGAGGCGGAAATTTCAGTAATACGGTCATTTAAGTCCTTACCCTAATATGATGAGCTAGGGTTATTAGGGCTAGTGATTTGTGTGTACGGAAATCTTGATCCAAAACTCAATCTCAGAGGCTCTTCTATCTATCATTGTAAAGCTCCGCAAAAGGGGCATTTGCATTACGCAGTATTATTATCACTTCGCCATCTGGGTCGATGGTATGTGTTATTGACCGGCCCATGATGTATCGCATTAATCCAAAAGCTGCTTAATCGCAAAGTCCAAATACCATTTATAAACAGTTATCGACCTACTTCTAATTATGATCGAAAAATTCTTCAAAGCAGCAAGTTGACATTGGATGCAGAAAAAGACCAGCCTACTCGCAGCAGGTTAGTTTGCTCTAGAATAGAAAAGTTGTGCATTGTTGTTCATGATTAGAAACTAACTCAAACGCCCAGACACATCCGACCAGTCCGACATGGCCGACAAACCCCAAAGTGAAGCCACGGAAAGCGAAGGAATTGTTGGTGTGAGAGCAGACGTGAAAAGTCTTCAGCAGTTGAGTTCATCAGGCAAAGCTGCTCAGAAGAATAGAGATAGAATCAAAAATGAAGAGGCGAAACGCGCATTCGATACGGCAATTGAAGAACTCGTGGGGAATCGAAAGAGCTCCGGTGAAGAATCCAAACATTAGTACACATCATCAGTCAATATTGAATTCGGCTTTGAGTTTGTTGTCGTACGACCTTTTGTCCTCAACTTTTTGCTTTGCTATAGGTAGGACCTGCTGCGTCCAATACCATGGCATAATCTCATGGAATGAATCGTAATCCGGACATGTCTTAGTGAATCTTGGTTGGATCTCCTTATCGAAGATTGCGAATAGTCCGGTAGGGCTCGATAGAGCAAGGCTATACCAGAAAGTGCCATTGTCCCAAGCCGAATTTATTATCTCTGATAGCTTGAAGTCGAAAGGAGAATCGCCTTTACGGTCATCTCGCTTTTCTTCCACGGTCAGAATATCCATGAACTCTAATCGACTCTTATTGTATTCACAAGGCTCGATCCTATCCACAGCCATGCCAGTGAGCCAATAGGGAGGATGAAGCATCTCTATAGGTAGAGAACATGCCCACTCAAGATCTATAAGCGATGTTATATGCCAATTCTCATCAACAAATATATTGCTTTGATGTAGATCCGTCAATGTCAAGACAAATGGTCCTCGGCGAAAATCGCGACGGAAAAACGATGAGAAGATTGCTCGCATTGTTGTCAGAGACGATGTTTGATAAATAAAGTCTCCAGTATCATTTATGGCGTTTGGTTGATGGTAGAGCCGGCTATCATGGTAAGCTAGAGTATCCACGACATATGAATCAACAGTGGAGTAAGTGAAGTTCCACGGCATATCTACCGGGATGCGTTCGTTCTCTAATTCTTGAATCCCAAGTGAAAGAGGGCGGTTCTGAAGGTGTATAAATCCGTTGTTATCAATGGCAAAAGACCCAATTCTCTGAAGAGGCTTCCTGGATAAGCTTAAAAATATCCTACCCAGGTCACGGAAAAAATTGGCCCGCAACTTTGGATTATTGTGCTTCAATTCCCAGGTAGACGACAGCATTGTCCCTTCCCTTGCCTCGATGTACTCGATCAGTAAGTAGCCAACATTGAGCTCCCTAGTCAAGTTGTTTTGGATCTGGTGACGGACATATTTCGAAGGGGTCGTACGGCCGAGAAAAGATAGCATCCGGCGGCGGAAATACTGTATCCAACGAAATAGGATGGAAAAATTCTCAACATGAGTGAACTAGATAGTCAGCCAGCTGTGCGTAAGAATATAGGCCACGGTGCGCACATACAGTTTCCCCAGAAGACATCCCAAACCCATAAAGACGTGGAATTGGTATTTCAGGGCAATTTTCTTGAATCCAGGCGTACGTTCCCGCCTCACATCGAATCTTTTCATCTCCATTTCCAGGTCGAAAATCCTCTCCAACACGGTATGGCAAGGGGAAGCGGATAAGGACACGTTTCTCCAAGTGTTGCTTCTGATGTCTCCATTCAAGAACAGTAACTGGAATGCAAACTGTAAAGATTATAGCCTTCGGGCCGATATTTATCCGTACGGGATAGAACACCTCACTCCTTAGATAGTTCCTAGAGAACAAGAAAGAGAGAGAATAACGAACGTTGAGAACGCTCCATCGAGAATCCAACAATCCCCAAAGGGAGCGTACAACTAATATCTCCACTACTGCTCATAATCCTTGGCAACCAGATCCTCCTCAAGAATCTTAACACAAACATTGTAGCTCCCATGGAGCCAATCCCGTAAAGGAGCTACTTGGCACGCATTCGCTGACCGGAGACCTAGGTGCTGGGCGACAATAGCTTGGATCAATCTATGCTTGCTTTCGAGGAGCGCGAAGAATTGGGCCTTCTGTCTAGGGTAGCTAAGTTCATGGAGAATATTCCGTTAGGGGTGCACACGAATAAGGATTTTGCTTATTCGTATTCGAAATGTAAATGAGATACATTATTCATATTCGATTCGTAATTATTCGTATAATTACCAAAATACCGCTAATCCTATTTAAGTCATAAAATGTCGCGTTGGCTTCAATAGACGCGTGTTTACTGTTCTGCTGTATTTCTTTGAAAATGGTCACTTCAGCTATTTCCTTTTTCGATATTATGAAGGAGTCTTCTGCATCTTTAGGCAAGCGTCCTCAGCGCTCTCAAAGGATTGATTATCATCTTCTTAATGATGGCAGCGATGAGGAAGTACCTCTGGAAGATCGAATTACCAAGAAAACTCATTTAATTCAACTGGATAATAGCATTGACCCTATTACTCCTGACCACTCAGCAAGTCAATTGATCCAAGCCCGGAGTCCGCCAGCAGATATTTCCTAGTAGGAAGCGTCAAGCAACATCAAACTTGAGACATCCAGCATCTCTTGCAACCCTGAGCGCTCACAGAAAAGGCTGCAGAATCAGTCATTATAGGCAGAGTTTGATATCATACCTCTCCCTGGAAGTCATTGGTGGCTAAAGAGAGGAAAGAGGCCACTTGAAGATTGTGAAATACAATGTACTCGATGTGGTTAGAAGATGACCAATTCTGCAAGAACAACCTCAACATCAAATATGCGATCTCATCTGAATAAACATGGCGTCTTTTCGATTGGAGCTGCAAATAGTCAAGAAGATAACAAATCTAGTATAAAATAATCATCTATTATTAGTTCCTTTTAGAGACAAGCGGAGAATCAGGCAGCAAAACACTTAGAATAAAATCTGATGCGTTGGATAGTAACGGAGAATATGGCATTCAATGCTATTGAATTACCAACATTCCAGAATATATTTAGAGATCTAGGGATTGAGCTTCCGTTTACATCCCGTATGACAATTACTCGCCAAATTGATGCAGAATTTGATTCTTATCGAGCATGTTTGATTGATAATCTGGATCAGACATGTCAAACAATTGCACTTTCCTTAGATGCTTAGACTAGCAAGAATTGCAAGGCTATATTCACAGTTATCGGTCATTGGTTGATAGCTGATTTTCAATACCAAGAGAGAGTCCTTGACTTTACAGAGCTCACAGGCATTCATAGTGGAGAGAATATGGCAGAGGTGCTCCAGACGACCTTAGAAGAGCTTAATATTGAACATAAAGTGCTCATGATTTCAGTAGACAATGCTACTAACAACGAGACTTTAATGTCAGAATTATATTTTAATCTCAAAGAGAAGTTTAATAATATAGTATCTCCTGCCAATGTCAAAAGAAAACTCCTGAGATTTCAAGGGCTGGATAGCTATATGCGCTGCATAGCGTATGTACTAAATCTGATTGTCAGTGATATACTCTCTGTGTTAAAAGCCAGCGATCATAAAACAGTAGTGGCAGCTTGTAATCTTATGTAGGAGAATAAAGACATAGGTCCACAGTCTGTTTTATCTAGATTCTAGATCATGGCTCTTTGGATAGCAAGAACACCCTAGTGAAAGCAGTAATGGAAGCTTATCTGTTAAACTCATCATCTAAAGGATAAGTTTATCTAGTATGATGTCGATACACGTTGGAACTCCATCTACTAAATGCTAAGAGACACATTAGATTCAAAACAGCAAATAAAAAAGTGGATTAAGCATCAAACTTATCTTCCACCCTTCACTAAAGAAGAATGGGATCATTTGCGGTAGATTGAAACTGTTCTTTCTAAATTTGAGGAGTTTACTCTTACTATTTCAAAGTGCCAACCACAGGTTAGCCTAGCAATACCTATCTACTATAAGGTGCATAATCTATTGCATAAAGCTGTTTCCAGAGAAGGAGAATTTCAAGATCTTCATGAAGACATTGCTGCAGCTACATCTATAGGTCTGAAAAAATTTCAGAAATACTACAACCTAATGGATGGTCAGGATGCCTATTACATTACACTAGTTCTGGATCCACAATTCAAAACATTGCTATTGGAGAGAGAGTTAGGGGAAACGATAGCTCCAATGATTGTGAAACATATTAAAGAGTTACTATATGAGCAGTACCCTGTGCATATAGAAGAACAATTGCTACCTAGAGAAGATCATTCAGTCACGGGGAAGAGTATAGAGGCTAGAGTTCTGCAGAAACTACAACCATGAAAGCTTCAAATATCTAACATCAACCGGTACTTCGAAGATAGGATTGTGATAGTTGATGAATTAGTAACAAAAAAGAAGCACTGGCTACTCTCTTAGTGGAGGACACATGGTAATGAATACCCACGAATGGCGGCAGCGGCAAGAGACTATTTACCTATACCAGCTTCTGGGGTATCAGTGGTGTCGGTTTATCTACGTCTAGGTCGCTAGCACTAGTCACGTAGAACAGCTATTCCGACGAGCTGACGAGCCTGATCAATATGGTATGGAATTCCTGATATTGATGACTGCCCCCCAAGAGTAAGGGGGATGTGTGTGTGTGTGTGTGTGTGTGTGTATATTTAACGGCCGTGGTTCGTGACTTGCACACTTCCCACCGATCCCTACTGGGACATAGGCCGCCGAGAGGTAAGCCTCGGGCTTCAGGTCCTATCAGATTTATATACAAATAAGAGACTCTTTGGCGCATTTCCATAGCTGCCGTGGTCTTAAAGGGAGATCCACTTCCTAGTAGGTTTTGGGTATTTGCCAGCTGCAATGGTCCATCTACGCTCTATGACCCATCATTCTACCACCATCATACTTAAGCAGTGAGTTTGAAAAGAAAAAGGGAAGAAGGAAAGAAAAAAAGAAAGAAAGAAAAAGAACAAAGGAAAAGAGAGATATAAGGGAAAAGTAGGGCTGACTTAGCTAAGTGCTAAGGAGAGGTTAGCGAGGACAGATATCCTCAAAGAAACGGGTCTCTGCTAGCCATGAGGCTAGTTTTCATGTTCCTTTCACAGTGCCTAAAAGAAAAGAGATAACTTCAGAAGAGGGTCCGGGTGGACGAGGGGCTCATCTCTTTAGCAAGGCATATGAGGACTTGTATAGAGAGGGGGGGATAGAGATAGCTCCTTCCTTGGCAGCAAGATCAGCTGCTTCATTCTTAGGGATTTTAGTGTGTCCAGGGACCCATTGGATTTAGATTGATCCACTTTTGGTGTGTGGAAGCCTTTCGCGTAGTGGCCAGGCGGCTGCAAGGGTGTGAAAGGATTCAAAGACCTCTTGAGAGGATCCTGTAGAGGGGGATAGGAGGCGCGTGGCAACTTCCAGGTTATCGAGACAGATCCATAGGTTAGTAGCAAATTAAGCTGTTGGGTATGCTATTGCTACTTGAGCACTAGCAAGGGCAGCTTCTGCTTCTATGTCAAAGACCTCTTTCCTATGTCCGTATAAGAGTGAGGAGCGGAGGAACTGATGGTATGCTTGAAATCCAATATAGCTACCCCCTGCACGTCTGTCTATCAGCCTAGATCCATCTGAAAAGATTACAATATCCGAGCTAGGGATGGTGCGTTGAAAAGCTGTGAAGTCAGCCGCTGCCTGTTCCTTAGTGCGTCCCATGGGAGCTCCTATTCAGGCTAGAGCACTCTTGCGTGACTCACGAGGGTACCAGGGAGCATGTTGTAGAGGGTTTATTTGTTCAGAGTTAGGGAGCGCTAGCACTCGGCGGGCAAATCGACTGGTTTGTCGGCCATCTCTGGCTATCTGTTCTGCGCGTCTTCGGAGTGGGTGGTATGGATTAAGACGCCATAGGCGGACCAATATTTAGAGGGCTATTTAATCTAGTTCAATTTCTAGTGGAGAGAATCCAGACTCTCGGTATAGAATAGATATTAGGGTTGTGTGGAAAACTGAAAGAACTGCTCTTGCGCCTACTAGTATTACTTTGGTTAGTTTCTCAAGATGTTCTCCAACTCAATTTGAAATTTAGGAAGGCCCAGGGTGAGTACGTCCTGGCTACCAGGTTTCTGCGTCATAGTATGCTTTATGGAGTACACAGGCTAATACAGCCTGCTATAGTAAATGAGGTTTGACTCCACAGATAGTATTCCCTAGAAAGCAAAGGGTATTGGCCATAGTGAGGGCTTTAGCTGCTGTTTCACCAACGTGCTATTTAAACGTTAGCTTTTTGTCAAAGAGGATTCCTAGCCAATGTAGATATAGCCGTTTAGTATTTTCTGAGATTATGATAGATCCAGCTTTTACTGAAGGTGTGCAGGTTGGGTCCTGGTCTGCTTTATGTCGGGAGAAGTCGGATCTGGACTGATCGCCCAGTAGCAAAGGAGGCAATCCAGAGAACAAGATTGGTGGGCCAGCCCTGCTCACGTAATCTACGGATGAGTCTGCCGGGAAGCACGGCATCAAAAGCGAGCTCTGGATCTTTCCCTGTAACTCAACCATACCGGAATTCTCGGTCAACTTCGGCCATTCATGCGGGGCAGTAATGATTCCTCCCTCCTATCTCAACTTTGGAGCAACGGATTATAACACATTACAATGTTATGGAAGCTTGCAGAGTAATGCGGGCTTGAATCTGTCTATTTACGGGATCACCTTTTTGAAATCGGTTTTTGTGGTGTTCGATGACGAGAATAAGCGGATCGGTATTGCGCCAAAGTATCTGGTCCTCTAGTCAAATACGCTCTGTTATGTAAGAATATACCAGGTATAGGGCTGTTAACATGCCTATTGGGCCTATCATAGATATTGAAGGTCGCAAATGGGATCATATACATCGAGGAATGAGTCCATAGGAGTCCATGATGTTCTCTGTACTGTGTGTGACGGTCAGTAATGAGGTTATTCGCAGAGTTCGGTTTACGTAGTCACATGCTAGGGTTACGTAGGGGGGTTCGTGATTCTGTCACGTGATCACGACAATACATCTTGTTTGCAGATAGCCTCACATTCCTAGCTTTTTCTTTCTTTCTCCATGTTTGGTATTCTTGTACTTAGCTTCCAATATGACTATTGAATGAGCCCTTACATTATACCAAACATCCTCTTTATTCATTAATACCTTGACAGCTGTACAGCAACGTTGTTATCATCAACAACACCGCCTCAAGCAACAAGGTCCCTTTATCCCAATTCTCAAGATTTCAAAAACCGAACAGAACTGAACCAACAGAACAGAACTCGCGATGCCTCGTGTCAGCCAGCTGCCTGAAGAGGTACTCGCCAACTTGCGAGAGGACCGTCTCCTTTCGTACATGGAAGAATTCGACAAGGCAGATCCAGAAGCCATTTTCGAGAAAACTTACTGTTGGTTTAACTACGGTCCGTATCACGAAGCATAGACGGTAGTAAGGCGCGAACACGAAGCGGCCTAATGAGCCTGACAATATGAAGATATCTTGATTCCTAATATTGTGACTTGTCCCCAAGAACGAGTGTGTGTGTGTGTGTGTGTATATATTTAACGGCCGTGGTTCGTGACTTGCACGCTTCCCACCGATCCCTACTGGGACATAGGCCGCCGAGGGTTAAGCCTCGGGCTTCAGGTCCTATCAGATTTATATACAAATAAGAGACTCTTTGGCGCATTTCCATAGCTGCCGTGGTCTTAAAGGGAGATCCACTTCCTAGTGGGTTTTGGGTATTTGCCAGCTGCAATGGTCCACCTACGCTCCATGACCCATCATTCTACCACCATCATACTTAAGCAGTGAGTTTGAAAAGAAAAAGGGAAGAAGGAAAGAAGGAAAGAAAGAAAGAAAGAACAAAGGAAAAGAGAGATATAAGGGGGAAGTAGGGCTGACTTAGCTAGGTGCTAAGGAGAGGTTGGCAAGGACAGATATCCTCAAAGAAACGGGTCTCTGCTAGCCATGAGGCTAGTTTTCGTGTTCCTTTCGCAGTACCTAAAAGAAAAGAGATAACTTTAGAAGGCGGTCCAGGTGGATGAGGAGCTCATCTCTTAGCTATATAGCAGAAGAAGAAATGTAGAGGTGCTTTTTGTGCTCCACATCGACAGAGAAGATAAGCATCATCATGATTAAAGCGCTTGTGGTAATCCGTAAAGTCTCCATGACCAATATAGGCTGCTATGATATAGCCAAGGTTAAGTCGGTTAAGTTGAAGCTCTCCAGGGCGTTTAGGAGATGTAGTTATTTCTAGATCTTGGTATGTCTATGGTGCTACAGTCTGCCACCGTGTCTGAGCAGCGGAAAGAGATTGAGTCTTGGCGTATCTCTTTAGCGAGGCATATGAGGACTTGTATGGAGAGGGGGGGATAGAAACAGCTCCTTCCTTGGCAGCGAGATCAGCTGCTTCATTCTCAGGGATTTTAGTATGTCCAGGGACCCATCAGATTTGGATTGATCCACTTTTGGTGTGTGGAAGCCTTTCGCGTAGTGGCCAGGCGGCTGCAAGGGTGTGAAAGGATTCAAAGACCTCTTGAGAGGATCCTGTAGAGGGGGATAGGAGGCGCGTGGCAACTTCCAGGTTGTCAAGACAGATCCATAGGTTAGTAGCAAATTGAGCTGTTGGGTATGCTATTGCTGCTTGAGCACCAGCTAGGGCAGCTTCTACTTCTATGTCAAAGACCTCTTTCCCATGTCTGTATAAGAGTGAGGAGCGGAGAAACTAATGATGTGCTTAAATTCTAATATAGCTACCCCCTGCACATCCATCTATTAGCCTAGATCCATCTGAAAAGATTACAATATCCGAGCTAGGGATGGTGCGTTGAAAAGCCGTGAAATTAGCCGCTGCCTGTTCCTTAGTGCGTCCCATGGGAGCTCCTATTCAGGCTAGGGCACTCTTGCGTGACTCACGAGGGTACCAGGGAGCATGTTGTAGAGGGTTTATTTGTTCAGAGTTAGGGAGCGCTAGCACTCGGCGGGCAAATCGACTGGTTTGTCGGCCATCTCTGGCTATCTGTTCTGCGCGTCTTCGGAGTGGGTGGTATGGATTAAGACGCCATAGGCGGACCAATATTTAGAGGGCTATTTAATCTAGTTCAATTTCTAGTGGAGAGAATCCAGACTCTCGGTATAGAACAGATATTGGGGTTGTGCAGAAAACTGGAAGGACTGCTCTTGCGCCTGCTAGTATTACTTTGGTTAGTTTCTCAAGATGTTCTCTAACTCAATTTGAAATTTGAGAAGGCCCAGGGCGAGTACGTCCTAGCCACCAGGTTTCTGCGTCATAGTATACTTTATGGAGTACATAGGCTGATACAGCCTACTGTAATAAATAAGGTTTGACTCCATGGATAGTATTCCCTAGAGAGCGTAGGGCATTAGCCACAGTAAGGGCTTTAGATGCTGTTTCACCAACATGCTATTTAAATGTTAGCTTTTTGTCAAAAAGGATTCCTAGCTAGCGTAGATATAGCCATTTAGTATTTTCTGAGATTATAATAGATCCAGCTTTTACTGAAGGTGTGTAGGTTGGGTCCTGGTCTGCTTTATGTTGGGAGAAGTGAAGAAGCTCGTATTTATCTAGTGCAAATGTAATGCCCTCTGCAGCGCCCCAGTTTAGAGCTTCTTGTAGTGAGTCTGATAATGCTTCGCAGTTAGTAGCAAGAGATGTTGAGATTGCCAGGTTAGCTGCGTCATCTGTGTAACCAAATCTGTTCCTTGGGTTTCCTAGACAGAATAGGAGCGCTATGTAGAGCATAAAAAGAATGCCAGATACTGGGGATCCTTGTGGAAGACCGCAGGCAATGTCTGTTGAGGGGCCAATCTCTCCATCGAGTTAGATCTGGACTGATCGCCCAGTAGCAAAGGAGGCAATCCAGAGAACAAGATTAGTGGGCCAGCCCTGCTCACGTAATCTGCGGATGAGTCTGCCGGGAAGCACGGCATCAAAAGCGCCCTTGACATCTAGGGTAAGGAGTGAGGCAGTCATGCCTTAATTTAGTGCTTGTTCAACATCATGTGTTAGGCATATGGTTAGATCATTTGTAGATCTTAGTGGGAGAGCCCCAAACTGTTGCCTTGCTAATACTTTGTAGTGTATAGAGATCCATGCCATATTCCGTGCCACCAAGCGCTCAAGTCCTTTGCCAAGAACTGATAGGAGAGCGATCGGTCTGTATAATCTAGGTGAGGACTAATCAGTCTTTTTTGGTTTCTGGATAATTGCTAAGATTGCATGTCGAAAGCATTTTGGGTGATAACCAATCTTTAGGCACCCTTGATATAACATTAGTACCTTGTCCTTGATCAGAGGCCATGCTACTTTGAGTATGCAGGTTGGGATTTCGTCTGAGCCAGGGGCTGTGTTTCCTGCCTGAAGTACTGACTCCTCCACCTGTGCCATTGTTATATCTGGGAAGTAGAGACTAGTGGTAGGGACTGCTGGGGAGTCCAGAGGTATGTCTCCTGCCTCAGCCGAGTTTTGGAGAAGATTACGGACTAGTACGTCTCGTTTCTCATGTATAGTAACTGCTGGGAAGCTGTTGGGTCTCAGTGGATCCTTCAGTGGAGGGCTTCGGAAGGGGCCTATAGACTTATGCCATTTACTCATATTGAAGACATCCTTCATTTATGTTGCCGTAGAGAGCTTATCTCGCCAAAATTGTCGTTAAGACCATCTAGTTATCCTGCGGAAGTCTGTCTTTGAGCAGAGGCCTAAGCAGTAATTGTGTAAAGCTTTCTTGCAGTCTTCATTCCACCATGGTTGTCCTATGCCTTGTGTCATGGTTCTCTTAGCAGAGCCTCTATATGCTCCTTGAGTTGCAGATGTCAGTTTTTCAGCAAGGGCATCAAGATCTTCTTCTGCTGCGGCTGAGCTCTTGGTGCCAGCGAGATTAGAGGCGAGGAGTGAGAGGAAGGAGGTGTGGTCTAGTGTGTCAAATCTCAGTTTCTGGGCTGTTTCCTTGTATCTCTGATCCCATGGAACAGTGGTGATTAGTGGTTGATGATCTGAGGTTGCATCTAAGTGGCTCGCTATGCTAGCTTTGGCTCCTGCGAGTGCCAGAGGGCTTGAGGCGAAACTGAGGTCTAACACGTTACCCCTTTCATGTGTGGGACAGTCTATGTCGGAAATGAGTACTAGACCCTGGAGATCCAGCCAGTTGATAAACGGCTCTGCAAAAGTTGTAGGGCTGCGTTGTAGCGAGGGTTGCCATCTGTTGTGTAGTAGGTTGAGATTGCCTGCAAGTATTGTTGTTTGAGGGAAATACACCTCTGGCAGGGTTGTGAGAGCTTTCGCGGCTTCACCTGCTCTGCTGCAGCCTGCTGGGGCATTATAGATGTTAACTATCAGAGTGGACTTTCCTGTGGGCGAAAAAATCTGAAGGAATAGGAGATCCGAGGCTTCTTTAGTGTCAGTTGTAAAGGGGCGTAGCTGGGAGGTCCGAATGCCTTTCTTCTTTCAGATATAGGTGAGGACTTGTGGTCGGCTACTTATTGCCCAGCTATTAGTTGGGGAGAAGCATTCATATGATAGATGTTTTTTAGTGATCTATCGGCTGAGGTCTTTGAATATATATAGTTCTTGGATTAGGATAATATCGATGTTGCTAGTGTATGCCAATATGAGGGCTATTTTATGTGCCTCTGGCGCGTGCCCTACATTTAACTGTAGGATTTTGAGAGGCGCCTTTTGAGTTGGATAGTGATAGATTATAGCTCCTGTTCAAGAAGAGAGGCAAACTAGTTTTGTGGTTAAGGGGTTATAAAATGGACTGCACGAGCTGTAATGGGAGGATCTTCAGTTAGGGCGCGAGGTAGGGGGGTTACTGAACGGAAAGGAGAGATAATCTCATAGATTAAAGGCTGTGATGGCATCTCATCTAATACCATAGGTGTTTCTTGTGTGCCTATGGAGAGCTAAGAGCTACATCCTCCTTCAGTTCGAGCTTTTGCGAGGTTTATGGCGTAGGATTTACAGATCTCTGTTTGTTAAGCTTTAGTATATTTAGTATTGCCTTTAGGGCGTAGAAGGCATTCTGTAAAATCAGCTGGATGTAATCTATGGCAGTGTATACATCTAGGAGGGCATTGATGAGGCTCTAGGGCTATGCAGCAGTTGATATGGCCCTCTTCAGTATGCTCTAAGGAGCCGCATAGTTGGCATTGGGAGGGGCGTGCACAGGATTATACATTATGCCATTTCCAGCATCGTGTGCATTGAATAACTATTGTTTTCTTAGAGAGGTGACAAGCATTGGTGATAGTGCTAAAAAGACGTAGCTGGATAGGCAGTGGTGATTTCGTGCCTTCTGGGAAGTTGACAAACCAGCTTGAGGAGAGAGTATCAGGGTTGGCAGCGCTTGTAGTGGTCTTGCTAATAGATATAGGCTTGAGCCCTGTTGTTTCGCTAATTTCTAATGATAGTAGTGTAGGATTGACAGGGATTAGAGAGTATTGACCATCCAAGATTTGGCCAATTTTCCTTGGCACGTTGGTGACTTAGTACGAGACCCATCGGGAGCTGCGTTCTATCTGGCAGTTAACAAAGAATGCAGAGATAGTCTCTTTTTAGGCCTCAAGGGCTAGGAGGGCTTCTGGAGATGAGGGACATAGTGCAAAGCCAGTCTTTGTAGCTTGGACTTCTTTTAGTGCTGCACTATTTAAGTTTAGTTGAGATTGTAGGCTAGAGTAGATAGCGTAGGCTTCCATTTTTCTGGCTGCGTGGTCAGCTGGGAGGCGTACGAAGAGCCGGATGTCAGGAAGGGGTTGTTTCACCAGAGGCATAGGCTTTTTAATGGAGGCTTTAGGGTGAGTGGTGGGAGTTGATTTGACCGGGGTATATTGGGTAATAGTCGCATAAGTTGACTGGTTAAGACCTGAGGGGGGACGTGAGGGAGGGGGTGAAGAGGGTAAGGGATTTGGGGTGGGGGAAGAGGAAAGGGAAGGAGACAGGGCAGGTAGAATGAAGGTCGTCGAGATACCGCTGATATAAGCGTTGAAATGTTGTTGAGCTACCGAGGCGAGGTCATCGCTTAGAGCGGTGAGTGCTCTCAGTAGGTGAGGAGCAAGGCCGGTGGTTTGGCTGCGGTGTTTATCAAGGAATACAGCTATGGGGCTGAAGATCTTCTGTCCTTCAGAAGCTCTTGTTGTGGCTGCAGACGTGGATTCCAGAAGGGCTGTCTGTAGAGGGCCGTCTGTACCAGGGCCTTTACGCGCCATGGTGTTGCCGGGCGCGTTGAGACGCGTCAAAGGCTGCACTCCTGGGAGCTAGGTGGTAGAGAGGGTTGAGGATTTTGAGCCTCCGACTGTTTGATATAAATAATTATAAGGAAGTCCCCCCAAGAACGAGGGGGACGGGGATAGCTAGCTAGATATACACGGCACGCACGTGCCGCGTCAGACTAACTATATCCGGTGCCAAAACGTGTAGGGTTTGATATTCACGTTCCGACACTTACACAGAAGAAGAATTCGTCAAAGAGGCAGAGGAGAATCCTTACTATCTCTTTGCCAAGGTCCTCCGTCGACAACAGCACTTGCTCCAACTGTATGAGGAAGCTGCTGCCGCTCACAATGAGACTCCAGGTGGAGTGGATACCAATCAGAATCAGAATCAGAAAGAAGAACTTACCCGACTTAAGAAAGAACTAAAAGAGGCTCGTCGCGAGGCCAAGCAAAATACCGACGATATTGTTAAACTGTAAGGAGAACGTGACCAGTATATGTAAGCTTTTGCTAAGTTACACCTTCAAACTGGTGGTAGCGAGGGAGGTACACCAAGACCAACCTTCATGTTAAAATCCACTAAGTTGCCTAAGGGAGCGAAGCTCTCAGACAGTGTCGATCCAACCTTTAAATCTTGGTTGATTGACGTGGAAGGGACCCTAGAGAGCAATGCGGATCACTACCCAAATGCAAAGGATCGAATTCTTTTTGTGAAGAAAATGTGTGAGGGTCAGGTAGCCAAGCATTTAATGCCCCGTCTTCGCAAGAACTCTCCTCATCCCTTCATGGATGCTAACGACATATTTGACCACTTAAAGACCATTTTTGAAGATATTAATTGAGTCACTAATACAAAAGCTAGATACTATGCTCTTCAGATGACAAGCAAGATGAAATTCCAGGATTTCCTAACTGAATTCACTCACGAAGCTCAAGAATCCAAGACCGACATTCAATCTTGGAAGGAAGACCTTTACAGCAAGCTGAGCTTTGAGCTGCAGCATAAGTTGACTGATGAAGCAGATGACCCGGACCTTGACTGGACTGGTTTTGTAAGAAAAGTTATAAAGACAGCAAATCACCTTAAAGCAATTTCTGCTGTTAAGAGCAAAGTACGCCGTCACAGTATAAACACGAATTCAAGTGCTAGTTCCAACGCCAGTAAATCTATTTGCTTAACCCCTGCGAACCATTCCTCCCCTGCTCCCTCTGCTGCCGGTAGCAGTTCGTCAAACAAGGATGGTAAGAAAGGTGAATGGGTGGATAACACAGCTCATGCTCTGCTTATAAAAGAGGGCAAATGCTTCAAATGTCGCCAAACTGGTCACATTGGTCGAGATTATCCCAATAATGATAAGCTAGCTGCAAAGAAGAGTTTGGACCTTAAGAAGCTGGAAAAGATAGATGAAGCGAGCTCAGCTAACTCTAATTTGGAATCGGAAAACGAGTAAGCCCAGGGAAAGTCTCCTTCTTAGGCTCAATAGAAGTCAGCATGTGTGATATAGATCTCAGTCAATTGATTGGACGTGAAAAGGATAGTTTCACAATACTAATTCAAATAGCGAAGAATACACATTCAATTACTGTATGGGCACTTGCTAATACTGGAGCAAATGGACTAGCATTTATAGATACCAATTTCGCCATATTGTTGAGCAGATTCCTCAAGGTGAGGACTCATCAGTTAGAAAATGAATATGCCATAAGAGGATACGATGGCAAGACTGCGACCCTAATTACTCATACTATCATATTCACGCTCATTATGAATAGACGTTGCCAGCTAGACGTGCCATTCCTCATCGTCGATTTAGGCAAGCATAATATAATTCTAGGCAGGATATGATTTACAAAGCATAACATTCTCGTGGACTGTACAAAGAAGCGACTGTTATGGCCAGAGGAAGTCTCTTTAAAGGATGAGATTGTTACCAAGGGATATGTGCGATTGCCTCAGCAGATTCTAAAGCAACAGAATAAAATCAATCCTGATCATCAAAAAGATGTTGACTGACAAGACTAGGCTTTCAAGAAGCAATAGCTAAGACCTGTTCCTATGGAATATGGCTGATCATACAAGAAGAGCTATGAGGCTACACTCCTAAGGATGAACCGATTTATCAAGGAATCAATGAAGGATCAGGAGGATCTGCCTCTATTTCCAATTTGAAGAAATCCTGAAGCTTATAAGTTAGTAGAACTTAACATTGCTATGATTGGGGGAAACAGTTTCCATTGCTTAGTGCAGTAGAAGAAGAGTCAAATCTTCTTTACCAGCTTGTATGAGATTGATAAGATCATTAAGGATAAAAAGACCCCAGAGGAAAAACTAGAAGAAGAGGAAATCAGGAAAAAGCTACCAGCTTACCTGAAAGACTTTGTGGATATCTTCTCCAAGCATGAATCGGACAAGTTGCCTCCACACCAGCCTTATAATTATAAAATCGAGTTGGAAAAGCCGAACAAGTTGAGTTACAACCCTCTCTATAAGATGTCGAGAGATGAACTGGAAGCAGCGCGAGAGTACATTATCGACAACCTGAATAAAGGATTCCTTGAGCCTAGTAGCTCACCATTTGCAGCACCAATTATCATGGCATCGAAGCTGGGAGGAGGATTGCGTTTCTGTGTTGACTACCGCAAGCTCAACCAATTGACTAAGAAGGACTGGTATCCTTTACCACTGATCGATAAGGTTTTTGAGCGTCTGAATCGAGCACGCATCTTCATGAAGCTTGACATTAGACAAGGTTTCCATAGGATTCGTATGGATCCAGACTCTGAGGAATACACTACTTTTTGGTGTCGATATGGTACCTATAAGTATAAAGTCATGCCCTTCGGATTGACCAATGGTCCTGCGACTTTCCAGCGATTCGTGAATAACGTCTTTATGGATTGCCTTGATAGATTTCTGATTGCTTTCGTGGACAATCTACTCATCTATAGTGAGAACATGGTAGAGCATCAGATTCATATGAAAATAGTGTTGGAACGACTCCAAGCTGCTGGATTATAAGCAGCAATTCACAAGTGCAAATTTAGTGTGGAACGAACAAAGTTCCTAGGTTTCATCGTAACTAAGGATGGCATTAAGGTTGATTAGGAAAAGATCAAGGCCATCACTGAGTGGAAGGCTCCCACCACTGTTTTTGGCATTCAGTCTTTCTTAGGATTCTATGGTTTTTATTGGAAGTTCATACAAGGGTATAGTCGAATAGCAAAGCCATTGAATTACCTAACATGGCAGGATGTACTATTTAAATGGACAACTGAGTGTCAAGAAGCTTTTAACAAACTAAAAAGATGCCTTGCCAGTGCACCTGTGTTATGTCACTATCAGCCCGAGTTGCCTTCTCAATTGGAAACTGATGCTTCAGATGGAGTTGTCACTGTAGTATTCTCTTAATTACAAGAGGATGGTCACTGGCATCTAGTTGCATACTTCTTAAAGACAATGACCGACACAGAATTCAATTATAACATTCACGATAAGGAGCTCCTAGCAATTGTGTCAGCCCTAAAAGAATAGAGAGCTGAGCTGATAGGCTTGCAGAGAGACGAACAATTCAAGATTCTTTCTAATTACATGGCTCTGCGGTACTTCATGACGACGAAGCGCCTTACCGCTAGACAAGCTAGGTGATGCAAATTAGTAAATCAATATCACTTTATTATTAAGCACCGTCCAGGAAAGGAGAACACGCTGGCGGATGCATTAACTTGGAGGGAAAGCACTCCAGTTAACCGCAAGAAGGGGCGTATGCAGCTCATATTGCCAAAGAAGTGCCTAGGGCCTTCGCCAGTAAAAGATTCATTAAGTGTGGTCGAAGAGGAAGAAGGCGGGGAAGATAATAATGAGCCTCCTAATTAGGGGAGTGTCGAGCTATCACCAATAGACACTATCATAGATGTTATTTCTAGAGTCATCGCTGTAAACACAAGGAGCCCTGAATGTGAGCAATTCTGAGAGCTCGCGAGAACAGGAGATGAGAACTGGACATTGCACGAAGATGTCTTGTTATTCAAAGATCAGGTGTTTGTTCCAGATGAGGGGGATCTTCAAGCTCGGTTACTAGATAAAATCCATTATCAACCATTAATAGCTCACCCAGGCAAGAACAAGATGAAGCAATTAGTTCAAGCACGTTACTATTGGATTACCTGGAACAAAGATGTGGAGCGATATGTCGACAACTGTATGACATGCAAGCGCACAAACACAAGGAGAGACTTACCGCCAGGACTATTGAATCCATTGCCAATCTCTAGCAGACCGTGGCAGCATATCTCCATGGATTTTATGACCTATCCTCCTGACAAGATAGGCTGTGACACGGTGTTCGTGGTGGTTGATCAGTTTGGCAAGACTCCAATATCTATACCGTGCAGTAAGAATGTTGATGCAAGAGAGTTGGCTAGACTCTAGATAAAGTACGTGTACGCTCATACAGGATTACCGGACTCTATTGTGTCGGATCGTGGTCCCCAGTTCGTGTCGGAATTCTAGAACAAGGTATGCTATATATTAGGAATCAAGATTTCATTATCTACAGCGGATTATGCTTAGACCGATGGGCAGACGGAGATCGCAAATCAGTATTTGTCCCAACGCCTGAGACCATATGTTAACCACTTTTAAGATGATTGGTCGGAGTGGTTGCCAATTATTGATTTTGCGGCTGCTTCATTGCCTTAAGATTCCACAGGGTTGTCACCATTTATAATCGAAAAGGGGTTTTAACTAAGGATGTCGTTTGACTGGAGGAAACCAGATCCACCAAGGAAGTTCACTGTCAACGAGAAGAATGCGCGCGTGTGGGTAAAGCAATTTCAAGAGATTTGGGACTTTGCTCGTGGTAATCTAGAGATAGCGCAACAGTGTCAAAAGAAGCAAGCTAACAAGCACCGACGAGAGGTTGACTTTGACGTGGGAGATGAAGTTATGGTATTGATGAAAGGATGAAGAATGGATTGTCCAAGTCAGAAGCTCGCAGACCAAGCTGCAGGTCCCTACAAGATAATCGAAAAAGTTGGCCAGGCCTATCGATTGAAGCTAGATGAAGGAATGTAAATTCACGACGTCTTTGCACTAGAAAAATTGCGGCGTGTGTCATCGACCGAGCCATTGAGGGGTCAGATTTTGGAAAGAGCAAAGCTGGTGGAGATTAATGGTTAGCAGGAGTGGGAGGTGGAGAAAATCCTTGATTCGAAGATGAGATAGAATAAGCTTCATTATCAGGTGAAGTGGCTAGGCTATGATCCCGATCCAAGGTGGTATTTGGCGGCGAATTTTAAGAACGCACCGCGTCAATTGAAGTCATTCCATAATCGATATCTAGAGAAGCCGGACCCTGGTGAACTTACAATAATGGATTGAGGCAGCAGAGAGGAACGAATTTGTTAATAATGACAAAAACGATAACACGATAGAGGAGTTGGAACTGAGCGCTTGGGGGCAAGCATCTTACAGAGGGGGGAGTAATGTGACGGTCAGTAATGAGGTTATTCGTAGAGTTCGGTTTACGTAGTCACATGCTAGGGTTATGTAGAGGGGTTCGTGATTCTGTTACGTGATCACGACAATACATCTTGTTTACAGATAGCCTCATATTCCTAGCTTTTTCTTTCTTTCTCCATGTTTGGTATTCTTGTACTTAGCTTCCAATATGACTATTGAATGAGCCCTTACACTGTGACTCTTTTAATTCGAGTAGTATATAAATTGTATTTAAAGTCACCGGCAGCAACTATACTTGGTATCAGAGCATCTCTTTTCGTTAGACGCCTCGGGAGGGGTTGCCCCAGCACAATGGTCTGTCCAGTAAAGCCGTAATTTATATCCAGGTAATCTCAATTACTTCGCCGCCCGTACCGTGCCGCATTCTAGGCACTGCGTTACATACACGCCACCCCCTGCACTACGACTACGCCGTATGCTAGGCTAGGCGCTTTATTCTAGCGTGCTCATGTACTACTACATTGCATGCACTGTGCTGCCTATACTATGCCATTTAGCTGCGAGCTGCAGTAGTTAGTATTTCTAGGAGCTGCAGCGGGAAGCCACGACCATGATTCCGTGTTCAGTCTGGATGCATACTAGAAGTTGTGTTATAATTATTGTTGTGGTTTAGTGATAGTAGGGTCCGGAAGTGTTGCCGCCTCCATAGCCATTAACCTACGGAGGTACGAGCAACCCCTCCCGAGCTGCACCGTCATCACCATCGACTGCGCTGCATAAGTCAATGGCTGCTGGATAACTAAATTGCGAATATGGTACACATTACACGAATAATCCCTGCTCTACTCTGCAGCTGCGTAAATTCAGCTTTCGGGAGGGGAAAGGCGGGGGGTGGCTTGATGAAGATTCTGGCTTATGCTATTGGAATATCTACTTTGGATGCTCTGGGGGGACTTTGGCTGGAGTTGGAATGTAGAATTATTTGTTCGCAATGTGGCCTGTTGGCTAGAAAATCCAAACTTCCAGCTTCAGTGGTACACTCGAACTATGCCAAAACAAAGTGGCCAGGACGGTGGGCATCGAAAGAGCCAATCTGAAACGCTGCACAAGACAGCCTGTGATCGGTGCAGAGGCCAGAAGCTTCGATGCGTGTGGGAACCCAGATCACGACAGTGCCAGAGATGTGAGCGAGCAAAGGCTGTATGCTCGATATCACCTCCACGGCCCATGGGTCGTCCAATGGCCGTTTCGTCGCACAACAGGAATGCACAGCGTGAGATGGGTCATGAGGTACACCGTTTCGAATCGCCATGCCCTCCAGAAGCATGTGTCCCAACGAACGATGCGAGCTTCTCGGTGGACGACACCACCCAAGCGGACATCTCCTGGGACGCTTCGTTTTCGTCTCTAATGAATGACGGCTGTCCCTCGAATGCCTACATTCAACCAGAGTCCTTTGAAGTGTTCAGTCCGTGAGTCCCCATTACGTTCCTCTGCTGGGTGATTTTGTTGCGGGGGACTTGCGAGCTGATGACAGAGCCCAGTCCTCCTGTGCCGGGGTTCTTTGACGCGCAAATAAACATTGGCAACTCCCCAGGAGTGCAGCCCTCTGGGCAGCCGGCTGGAAACTACCATGATAAAGCTGGCGAGATCGCAGAAGACACCAGCGATGACATCCAGCTATGCAACCTCACCATAGCGTTGAGCAGACATCCCTTACACCCCGCAGCCATGTCTGCAGCACCTCCGTTACTCCGTCGTAAAATCGTGCGTGTGGCAGATTTGGAAATCGGAAGATTGCTTTCAATGACTGCTCAACTGGCCCGCATTGTGCCCGTCAACGACAACGCATCCTATCCCAGGCAAGCGCAATCCACAATCCTCCTAATCCTGAGCTGCTACTCCCGTCTTGAAGCGATGTTTTCGAGTGCCGTTGATGCACTCCGGGAACTGCAAAAGAGCGAGAAGCCGCTCGACGATTCCCATCCCCTCATGACGGGGCTCGTTGTGGATGGTTTCTCTCTGGGGACTAGCCAAGAGCTCCAAATGCGCTTCATCATTCAACTTTGTGAACAGACCCGTGAAACAATCCTCCAAGCCACTGTGGGACTTATGGAGCCGGATTTGATTACATTGCATGGCATTGGAGTGGCTATTGGAAAACTGCTGTCCGCTTGAATAATGGCATCAATAAGGCGTGTTGAATGCATTCTACAGCAATGTCCCTCTTGAAGTATCGGTTATCTACGTGATAATAAACCATCATCTTAGTTTCGGTCAATTAGTAGCCAAAGTTCGGTGAGACGTTGACTAAAGTATGCGAATAAATACGAGGCCAGCCCTAACCCTAAACGCACTTAGCAAAAAGACCGTGTATTAAGCGGTAGAAGCAGCTCAAAGCATGTGTACGCTCTAGCTAGCGATTAATACACACTCTGTCAATCCCAAGCGCTTCATCTAAGAATTTAAACACACGGTGCTGCAATAACGGCCATGCCCCGGACTTGGCCTGGGCCCCCCCCTCTGCATACGAATTGGCAACCCATATCGTCTTTTGGCTCTCGCTCACGTTCACCAGGTTTTTAACGATGGTATTGATGCTAATCTCCGGGAGGAACGACGTTGAATCTGTGGTCCCTGCTGTCACGAGCACCGGACATTGCACTCTTGCCAGGTAGTCTGGCTTCTTCGTCCCATGACTGCCCTGCAACTTGAAAGTATACTGCTTCATCATGCGAAGAGTGGATCCGGCATTCGGTGTGCCGAACATTTGCTGTGCAAGCGCGAACTGGTACTTGGTCGCCAGGTCTTGCGCTCCATGTGCCTTGACGGCCCAGTCGATGATCCAGTCTCCAATCCAGCCCTTCTCCCACGGCGCTACCATCCACGAAGGCATGCGCGCCATTGCCAGATCCCACATGTCGTAGAACGGGTCGATCGCGGCGCATGCCTTGATGCGATGTTCCGCCGCACCGCGCAAAGCCAGATACCCGCCGAGCGACTGGCCCGTCACGGTGAGCGCGTTGAGGTCTAGCTCTGCTTGTGGATGGTTGTGAGCATACAACTCGATAAAGTTGATCACCGCATCAAGCACCGCCTCTCCGGCGGGCTGCATGGGCACACCGTCCCTCCTGAGAACAAGGCCCTGCCCGGGTCCATCAAACGTCAGAACCGCGTAGCCCAAACCGGGTCCCTCGGAGACGGACAGAAAGTACAGCTCCTCTTGCGTAGAATCTGCGCCGCCACAACAGATGAGCACCGGCACCTTGCGGCGGCCCGGTAGGCATTGAGAGGGACTGGGCTGATGCAGCCACCCTGGCAGATGGATCGTTCGGCCATCTGGCGCGGCGGAATAAGGGATCTGGACTCTGGACACGTTGTGCGGTACCAGTGCCATCGCTCGCTCAAAGCAAGAGATACTGCGCTCATACACCTGCAGCAGGTACCGCTGCTCTGGTTCCGGCATGACAGGAAACATGTATTGAGCACACCGAAAGTAGTTACTCGCTCGCAGAAACGCGTTGCACGCTAGATTCAGCTGTCCCGACTTTCCAATTTCCTCTGCAAGAGCCTCTGTCTTTTCCGCTCTTGCAAACCAGCAATGCTGCCAGGATGCGGCATCATTGGGTTCAATCTCAGAGACCGTCTCCAGGAATTCCGCGGCATCGCAGCCGCCGGACGGCGTTGATCCCAGCAGCCGCAAAAGTTCCAGATTGTACCATGCATACTGGAAGTAGTGGTTGCGCGCAGAGTAGGAGAAGAATTCATGCATATTGTTTCCAAGGGTGATTTGTTGTAAGAGAGTATTATCTATATGGGAAGCTACACTGATGTCCCTCGAGGGAGCTCTCCTCGTAATAACCCTAGCCCTAATCACCGAAACAACCACGCCTTCGGTCATCAAAAGGGGCCGAAATCACCAGCTGGCCGAAGTACGACCGAATTTGTCGATATCGATGCATGAAATCGGTGTTTAGTTATTAATGGAGCGGTTACTCTGATTTAACAGGATCATTATAACCAGGTTTGACATTCCGCCGAGTGCAGTGTACTAGTCAGATGCATGTAGCTAAACAGTAGATGAGCCGTATCCGACTCAACATCCTACTTCGCAACCGAGACAACTAGTTTGACGCCACTTATTTTCCCCTCCTGCATTGTTTGCAGCCCCTGCTGGACCGCAGAAACCCAACTCCCTGCGTCGTCATCGAGAACTTGGACTGGATGGGCTCGAAGTTGTCCGGATTCCACGAGTTCTTCCACCAGGGCGTACCATTTCCTCCCGAAATCCCTGGCAGCCGGATCGGGCTCAAAGCTGTACTCGCCCATGTCGATGCGCCGGCCAAACATCAGCGGGCCCATTGCCCAGCTGGAACGCACAGTTGGGCGAGACGATGTTGCAGCTGCAGGCAGTTTCTCGAGCGACACGTATCGGCCGCCAGCCCGGCCAATGGCTTCGTAGCAGAGGGCCATGGATGTCACTGTGCCGATGCAGTCCAGGACGAGCGACAGGGAATTTCTCGTGTAGGCCTTGACCTGTTGGGCGCATTGCGGAGAGTGATAGTCGAAGCACGCAACCGCTCCATAGCTCTTTGCCAGGGAGTTGTTGTGTGGTGAACACACTGCGATGGGCGTGTATCCTGCGCTGGAAAGAAAGAAAGAAAGAAAATTCAGCGGGGAGGACGAAGAACACGACTAGGATTGCACCACGCCCTTACGCTTTCAGCACTTGCAAGGCCATTGTTCCGCAGGCCGAACTGCCACCGTACACTAGGACGACTTTCTTCGGATCATTTGCGCTGCTATTGCTGCCACCAGTGACTGAGAGCGAGAGACCCATTTGGCAGAACAACGCCAGACCAACTGCACCCACACAGCTGCCTCCCACGGCCGCAGCATCGTGCCAGTTCCAGCCCGTTGGAATTCGGAGCAACACGGCAGGATCGGCTTCGACGAACTGCGCAAAGGCGCCCCAGGCTGGGTGTCTGCTGTTGCTTCCATGCACTGCGCCGCAGACACGATCTCCGACCACCCAGGGAGCGCGCCCCGGTCGCTCAATGCGGTTTGCCTCGCATCCAATCTCGACTATCTCGCCGGCAAAGTCGCATCCAACGATGAGTCCGGGCTTGTTCACCAGGCGCGCCATTTTGTAGTCACTCGGATTTAGGGCCACGCTGTATACCTTGACGAGGAGCGCATCGGGGGAGCAGGACGGCACGGGAATGTTGTGGGATGCCACAAATGAGCCATCGATGCCAGTACGGACTGCTGTTTGCGACTGCGCCATATCGAGTTCTCTCAAGCACTTGAGTGCTACAAGGGGAAGGGGTGGATAGGTGTAAATGAAGGTAGTGGTCCTGTGGATGGTAATTTTATATTGATTCGGTGATTAGCCAACCGATAATAAGAGTCCGAATTCGAACCTGGTAAAGAAAAAAGTTACATTCGGTATGAAATACAATTATAGTTACTTTGTCCCCTCTAATTAACGACTTTTTAACTCTGTTGGAATGGCCAAAGAGGCATGTTTCCCTGTCCTATATTCCATACAACCTTCAGAATATGTGAGAGGCAAGTTATGCTGGCGAGCGAACTGCGTCGGCCTCGACACCTGGCAATTCCATTCCAAAGGCAGCTGGGTCTTTCTTGTCCTCTATGCCAAACTCGGTCTGGAGATCTTGACGCAGCGTCACTTCTTTCTCAAAGAGCGTGATGATCAATCCTGGCAGGGAAAACGCCAGACAGACATACCAAACGGTCTGCATTGATCTGGCAAAAACTCGGATGACTTCGGCCTTCACTGCTGGATCGCTGATGGTGTTGAGGAACTCCTGCGTGGCAGACTCGTAGGCTTTCCCGCCAGACAGCTTCTGTGCAACGGCAGCATCGCTCACCATGACAGCGTATTTGGAAGCTTCATTATTAAACACCGCCGCTGGTATCGTGACTCCCCAGATGGCCCCAAACCCACGGACGAAGCTCCACAGGCCGGTCGCGGTCGCCACGTCGCTCTCGTCCAGTGGCGCCTGGACGGCGGGCAGCAGGATACCTGCGAGCATCCCAGCACCAACAGAACATAGCAGCTGGTAGCAGACCCAGGCGGCGTCACTGGAGTTCTCGTCCAGCGTACTGAATAGACCAAAGCCGATGCTCATCGGAATAAACCCAACAAAGTGCAACGGCTTATACCGGCCAGTCTTGGACAGCAGCACGCCGCCCATAATCGCAAAAGGGATAATTCCGGCAAAGGTGGGCAAAGTGTCGACTCCCGAGGCCAAGGGCGATCGGTTTTTGACGGCCTGGAAGTAGATGGGGAGGAAATAGAAGCTCCAGTAGGTGATTGTCGAGTGTAGGAAGGTCAAAATGAGAGCAGCGGACGAAGTGCGATTCGAGACAATCTTGCGTGGGAACGACGGTTCTGGGGCGAACTTGGGCGTCCACTCAAATCCAGTCCAGATAAACAGACCGATGAATCCCAAGATCAGAGCTACCAGGATCCGGTAGCTGCTCCAGCTGTAAACTGTACCCCCCCACGTCAAGGCCAAGATCATGGCGGCCATGGCCGCAATAAATATCATGTTGCCTACAAAGTCGATGCGGCTCACACGCTGCTTCCAGGTCTGGTCGCGACGGTAATTCAGACGCAGAAAGAAGTAGAGCGCAACAAGTGCCGCTGGGGATGAATTAGCTTTGGACCGATGCGCAGTAGCAGCTGCTTGGAACGAACATACCTCCTCCCACTGGAACATTGATATAGAAGACCCAACGCCAGGTAGTCTTGCTTGCAATCAGGCCGCCCAACAGCGGGCCCAGCGCCGCTCCGAGAGTGCTAAACATGAGCACCACCGACATGTACTTGCCTCGTTCGCGGAGTGGGACCAGGTCCTGGACAACTGTCTCAATGAGCAGACTGATGCCGCCACCCCCGAGGCCCTGTATGGTACGTGAGGCAATCAACATGGCCATGGAGCTCGAGCCGCCCGACAAGCCGCTGCCCAAGACGAAGATTGCCACCGAGGCCAGTAACATCGAGCGACGGCCAAAAATGTTGCTCATCTGGGCATAGAGAGGAAGGGTCGCAACGGAGGCGAGGAAATAGGCATCGGCAATCCAGAGGGACGAGCTGCCACCCCCGAGTGCGGCGGTGATGGTTGGCAGGGCATTGGTGATGATTGTGCCTTCGATCGTGGTGAGCAGACCGGTGACAGACAGCGTGGTTAAGATGGCGTAGAAACGCCAGGACTTGGGAAAGTTGGGCTTCTTGTTGCCTGCTGGTGTTTGATCGGCTGGAAATACCGCGTCTCCAGGCTGCTCCTTTTGCTTGCCCTGGTCTGACCGGCTGTTCGTGGATGGCATGGTTGTAAAATTCAAGAAGAGATCAAATCGCTTGGTTGATGACCATGAAGCTCAGGAATGGAAGGAATGGATGCAGGAGTCGATGTTTAAAAGGGTTGGAAAATAGGAGATGCAGTTGACAGGTTCAATGTTGATTTCTAATGCTGGACAGGGATTATGTCAACCCTGCAGGCTCATTCTTTGTTCACCCGGACGATTTCGTCCGTTGGGCATGCTCTTTCTTTTCCGCAACTTGCAGGCCAATTAGATGGAAACACTTCCAAGGTTGTAATTGCCACTGATTCGACGAATGATTCTAGACTCAGACATCCATGGATATTGATGGGTGACTCAGGGTTAGGGTTCGGATTAGGGCTATGAATATGGATCAAAAGGGGCTCTTTTCGATCGAGTGATTCGGCATATAAATGACAGACCCCTGCCGAAATCAATCACAGACCTTGCCGATATTCGGGATTGACTTTCGGCGTTGGTGTTGATAGAACAAGCGTCAAGAGAGCAAAGACAATGCGCTGGAAGATGAACTACTTGGAAGCCCTCAGGCAGACACACAATCCGCGTTTCAAAACAGATCCTCTGGTTCAGCCTTAAGATTGTTGCCATGAGCGTCCCTCTTCTAGATGCGTCCCAGCTCGGAGCCGGAGACGAGGCTCGTAAGCGTTTTCTCGACCATCTCCTCCAGAGCTTTCACGACTACGGATTCGTCAGGTTGATCAACCATGGCGTCCCATCAGACCGCGTGCAGGAGATGTTTGGCTGGGTACGCTTTGTTTTCAAATATTCTCTCCAACGAACTCAACCCACTAACAACTGGCCAGGCAAAGAGGATTTTCGAACTCAACAAAGAGCGCAAGCTGGCATGCGAGAACATTGCTGATGGGAGCCCCCAGCGAGGTTACAGTGCGATAGGTGCGGAAAAGACGGCCGCATTGTTCGGCCACTTGGTAGGCCATGATGTCGACGCAAACTTGTACGATGCGAGAGTAAGTCCGCTGCTTCGTCTTTTACAGTTGGTAGACCGGGGCTCATACAACGTTGCAGGAGCACTTTGACTGCGGGTCTCCCAATGATGCAGAATACGCCAACCGATGGCCAGAGGACCTCCCCGGATTTCAACCGGCGATGGAATCATTTTACGCACTCATGGCAGATTGCACGCGAACCCTGATCGCGGCGCTGGAAGAAGCTCTCCATGTCCCACAGGGTACACTGAACGGGAATATCTCATCAAAGACGCATAGTGCCAGTGAGCTGAGGCTGAACCACTACCCCCCAATTGCGATGAACACGCTTCGAACCGGCCAGGTGTCGCGAATCTGGCTGCACTTCGACCTGGGCGTGATTACATTGCTGTTCGCGAGCTCGGTGGGAGGGCTGGAGGTGGAAGATCGCAACGCGCCGGCCCAGCAGACCTTTATCGCTGTAAACCCGGAAAGCGAGGCCGAGCTTGTTGTAAATATCAGTGAGACGTTGCAACGCTGGACCAACGACGAGTTACGCGCTGGCTTGCATCGAGTGAGCTTCCCTACCCAACTCGATCAGAACGGAGGCGATGTCGAGATCCCTGCTCGGTATAGCATCGCCTATTTCTGCAAGGCAGATAGACAGGCATCGCTGGGTTCACTCCCAGCTTTCACCAGGGGAACCAAGCCGCTGTATCCCGATATTACGGCTCTGGAATACCACCGCTCTCGGCTGCAGACGGCCTACTAAATCGGCTGCGAGAAACCGTCATTGTCTCTCCAATCGTTTGTTCTTAGGTTTTTATACAGTGCAAATTGAAGCTCTCTCTACTGTCATTAATGTGGTTCAAAATATTCAGTCTTGTTGATTGGTATTATTATAACTATTTACATGCGATGGGTAGTAGCTGTCTCCTTGAGAGCACGAATGATCTTTCCCCGAACAGCCCCTTCTTCCAGCACCTCCAAGCCCCTCGCAGTAGAGCCGCCTGGGGTGGTGACACGTGTGCGGATAGTAGCTGGATGAGCCTCAGATAATGCCAACTGCGCTGCACCAGCCATGGTCTGAGCAGCAATCTGTACAGCCTGGTCATGCCCGAGTCCCAACGCAACGCCACCGTCAATTGCCGCTGCAAGCATTAGTGCAAAGAATGCCGTCGCCGATGCACCTAATGCCGTTGCTGCTGGGATTTGAGAGGCGTTGACGTGAACCACGCTTCCGATTGTCTTCAGGAGTGCCACGGCGGAGGCGAGAGTTTCACCCGGCATCGGCGTGGAGCATTCGCCAATGATGGTGACAGAGGCGTCGACGGCGGCAGCTACGTTGGTCGTTGCTCGTATGATGTGGCATCGCCCTTCTGGCCCTCGATCTTTGCTGCTTCCGTAAAGAGTCCGCTCGATATCGTCCAATGAGACACCACCCAGCATGCTGATCAACAGCTTTCCGGTCAAAGACGCGGCCATTCCATGAGTCCCAAGAACCACAGATGCCTGGGAGGGCGGACAGGTTAGAATAATCACATCCGCTTGTCTCACGCCCTCTACATGGTTGTCAATCACATATTGCACATGGTGGCGGTTCTTATTGGGAAGCATTGTAGCAACGCGCGTTTGCTGAGATGCTGTCTGGACGCAGATCAAAATGCGGTTCACCAGAGTCTCCGACTGCTGTGACGCCAGTAATCCAGCCACAATTGCAGAACCTAGATTGCCTATCTATAGTTTGTGTGACGTCTCAATAAGCCTATTCTAATGATAATCCTAAGCTTGGGAGAAGAGGAAGGGAAGGCCTAAGTTACAAACAAGTTGGTTGATAGGATCTTACAATTCTGCCTTTTTAGACCGCTTTCCCCATAAGGCCTCCATCCCATGACAGAGTGTATTTGGAGAGCCTCAAGGCTCAGCGCCAGTTTTCCCCTTTCTTCTTCTTCTTCACACTTAGTTTTCTTCGTCGATACTGCTACGCTTAGAAAGGAAGTTGTTTCTGGGCCTTGAGCGTCCATCACAGTTTGTACTCAGCCATGGCGTAGCTCAGGGTTACGGCTAGAAAAAGTTTCGGGAGCTAAGATAAATATGGCTAGCTTCATTCATGGATCAGGGGAAATCAATTTTAAAAGTCTTTTTTATTTGTATCTCAGTCATAGTTATTTTTGAGTAAATATTTTCACTCTAACATATTCCTCTTATCCTCAATTATATCTCATTCTTCTGATAACTCAATATCTCTGGAGTTAGGAGAGCAATTGCACTTTTTCCCCTTCTATCTTCGTATCCTTACAAACTGGCGGGTAATTCTTTGCACTGATCATGGATCATGCTATACTCGCCATAATCTTCCCCAACATCTTCTTCAAAAACATCATATTAAACAACCACAACGACGGGAAATCGAACAGTATCCAGACTATCAATTGATTGCAAATAACTTAGATGAAGTGATATATCCTACAGATGGAATTACCAAGATCAATGATCTTCCGACCATACGAGGTTTTCTCTGTCATATAGAAACCTATTCCTATCGATCTCGCAATATTGATCGTATACGACAGCATTATAACTAGGCACATGGATGGCGCAAAAGTCAAGGAATAATGCCTTGGAATCATGCACATCTTCAAACATTATTTCAGGAAAAGGAACAAATTCGTTACTTTACCGTAGTACCAGCTAATCTATTCTCCTTACCACGTGTCTCTCCATTTATCACATCTACTCTTACTACAAATGATCTACCTTCTTTGGATACTCTTCTCCAGGAATACCACACATTTCAAACTTAGAACTCTGTGTCATATACTGTGAATGACAGTCAGCATATCTCTGAAATTACTCCATGGTTACGAACCACTGGTATTCATGTTCACCTTACTGGATTAGATCTAGAAATGGTGGGAGATCTTTATCGACTTCCCAATCATGATGAGATAAGATTAGATCTCATCTGCGCCAGCGTGGACCGAATCTGGAGATAGACAGAACAGCTACTACATCACAACCCTGTTAGTGACATCCCACGGCTAAGTCGCTACAATGCTCGACTTCTCAATACCTTTGCGCGAGGAGAGATCTCGCAGAATCCTATCCAGCCTCTCCAGAATCCTCAGAGTCGCTCTCGGTACATTCAGACCTGGCAGAGGTTGATCTGTTATTGGAGTCGAGTAATGGATGACCAGCTCCTTCCTAATCCTTTATTTCTGCCAACAGAGGGTCAGAAGTCTACCTGGGATGACGTGATCACTACTGCTAAGAATCTAAGTCACCAACAAGAATTAGAGCAGAATAATGATGAGGCTCTCCATCAACTCCAGCAGGAGATGGATAAACAAACCCTTGCATTTTGCCTTGAGATTATCCAACAGTCAGTCTCTTTGCGAGCCTTTAACTCTATCCTGGTCTCCTTTGCAGCACTTTTATTCTAGATACCAGATAAGAAACAGTGGATGACAGTTAGCAACTACACCTCCTTTCTCTCACAACTAATCTATAACTGTCAGATCTGGATCCTAGCCCTTTCTATCCTAGAACAACAGAACCATCCTACTCAGGATCTTGGAGATATTATTATTAGACACCGCGATCGATGGCTACTCAATGATACCAAGGGACCCGTGGCGGAGCTACTGGAGAATCGACTGTATGCATTCCGGATTGCAATGAGTGAGGTCCCCCCTGCTCAAGTACGATGGGATCGAGAGGGCCAAGTCATTACATTCCAAGATGTAAGTCTGTCCTTGTTGGAACTCTCTCGACTGATCCGCGAGGGCATCTCTACCGCGCAGGCCATCTTCGAGCAAGAGTTGTGTTTATCCGGCCCAGCACGGCCGGCTACTGAGATCCCTCAATTTGATCTTAGTAATCTGATGGATAACTGGGATGCTACACAAGCTGGTGCATCCTTTCTCACAGATTCTCGCAATCATGCCTACGTAGTACCCTATCAGGACTGGCTCTTCCATCGAGTCAGTCAGGATGCAGTTCTGTTTCCAATCTTTTGGGAGTTGGGTGTTGATCAGACCTGGCGGATCTCACCCAAGATGGTAGAACAGTACGAAGCAACTATCCAGCGATTCCTAGAGGCTTTACTCGTCCCCTTCTTTATTGGATCTGGCCAGCAAGCGCGACGCACTGAGTTCCTAGGAATTCGATGGCGCAACACCCTCCTGCATACTCGCGATCTCTTCCTCCATGATGGTCAAATGCTCTTTATTCTGGATTATCATAAGAGTCGTCATCGTACTAATGCCTCTCGATGGCCCGCCCGGTTTCTTCTCCCAGAAGTAGGACACTTAGTTACGCAGTTTCTCATCTTAATTATGCCCTTCCGACAGTGGTTACAGCACCAGGTGCAAACTATGCATTCTTCCACATCCACTCCACTCTGTGACTACCTGTGGGCCTCTACGACAAAGCCTTGGTCTGATAATCATCTTACGCGGACCGTGATCCGGACTGGAGAGCAGATCCTTGGTAAGAAGATTCATATTCGAGCCTGGCGCCAGATCACTGTTGGGATTGCCATTAAGAAGTTTAGAACTCTTGCGTCACAGTTTATTGAGGATTCTCTTGATAATGAAGATGACCTTATAGAGGATCACAATGGCAGTATGGCTGCGGTATTCCATTATCAGGCTGCACATACACCTCATACTGGGAATCAGATCTATGGAGGGACCATCAATTTTCGAGCCGGTCTCACCGATGCTGGTCTTCAAGAATTCCGCCAAGCTAGCGAGATCTGGCATCAATTAATCAAACAGCCCTCGCAGTACTCTACACCTAGCTTATTAAAAAGACGACTGCCTGCTGTATTCACTCAGTCCTTGCAACCAGCCAACGTCAATATAGAGTGGGAATGGGATGAGAGTCCTTCCAAGCGAGTGCGGAGTGAGGCAACTGAGTCCACACTAGTTCAACGATTTCATCGTTGCCACGAACCACGACAGAGTCAACAGCGCTGGACTATGGAGCAGGCGCAGACCATTCTAAAGCGCATGTATGGACCAGAAGCGCAGTATCGAACCAGTAATCAGCAACAAGCCTTGCAGTATATCATCCAGGGTTTTAGTCAAGTGGTTGCAGTTCTTCGAACAAATGAGGGCAAGAGCCTACTCTATCTTCTGCCCTGCCAGCTTCCTGGTGCACGAACAACCGTGGTAGTGCTCCCTTTATTGGTCCTCAAGCAGGACATGCTCCTTCGATGTCAGAATGCTGGAATTAAGGTGACCATCTGGAATCAGCAGGATGAATCCAGGCACCTTGGATCGAGTCCACTGATCCTAGTAAGCGCTGAGCAGGCAGTACATATCAACTTCCGAACCTTTCTTCTTCGGCTACAGCTTGCCAATCAACTTGATCGTGTTGTATTTGATGAGTGTCATCTGACTCTGACCGCCTCTTCTTACCGCAAGGGACTGGCCTTGCTTCCTACGTTACGCGATATTCAGTGTCAGATGGTCTTCCTCACTGGCACGCTACCACCAGTCATGATGGCAGAATTTGAGCAAACCATGCTACTCTCTCAGGCACGATTGATCCGTAGCCTCACCACTCGCCGTGATCTATCCTATCAGGTCGTTTCCTGCCCTATGGATCAGGACTTCTTCAAGTTTGCAATTCCTTGGATCCAGCAAGAGCGTACCCAACTAGACTCTCAAGAGCGTGCAATTCTCTACTGCCAAACCCAAGCGATTACAGAGAAAGTGGCTACGATTCTTGCATGTCCCTTCTACCATGCTGATTCTGGGACTCGTGAAGAGAAGGCGCAAACCCTCGAGACGTGGCGTAATGGAAATCCAAATTGGATTGTTGCCACTTCTGCCTTTGGAATGGGAATTGATCATCCACGAGTCCGCCTTGTTATCCATCTTGGAGCTCCATCCAGTCTCATTGAGTTTACGCAGGAGGTAGGCCGCCTAGGACGTGACCAACAGGGCGGTCGTTCTATTACCTTACTCCCTCCCTCATGGAGTATTACCAAGTCGAGCCGACCAGGCCATATGATCTCGTCTGATGTACAGGCTATGCATGCTGTTTTAGATCAGCCGAACTGTCGAGTCGCTGCGATGAGCTCCTTCCTCGATGGGGCTGCAGTGGCCTGCAGCGCGCCTGATCCTCTCTGTGATCAATGTCGCTTCCGTCAAGAGAATCCTGAATCTTCTTCGACTGATCCTACTACGACCTGCTCGCCTAATCCAGAGGAGAACGTCGACTGCGATCTGACTATTGGGTCTCAGATGCGAATCCAGCAGATCCAGCAGGAGAGCCAGCAATTACAGCAGTATGAGGATTCCCTAACCAAAATAGCCGATTGTCTTTGGACCAAATACAATCAGGGTTCGGGTTAGGGTTATGTTTTTACTAACAAGGTCGGACCCCGGATACAATCAGCTTTGGACCCCAATTACAATCAACCTTTGACCTCTAAATCGCACCAAACTTGAGACCATGTATTATTGCACCATGGCTTTCCATAATCCCGTAATCTGAACATGATTGACCGTGTCGATATCCCGTACAAGGATAGCAAAGTGGACGGGTAGTTTTGTGACTTTTCTTGTTAGGGTATACCAGGAGTAGTCAAAATAAGATGTGGTCCGTGCCCAGTGAAATAGGGGCACGTTTCTGACCACAATAAATTAACTCCTAAATCCATTCCTGTACCTTTGATCTATTTAATTTTGACACACAGTCTTCATATTCTATCTTTATTACATATCTCATCATGGCCAACCCTATTGCCTTCCAGAATCTATATTTTGAGCGACTAACCGATTTTCCAACAACGGTAGTATGTCGCGAATGCCGTTACAGTGTATGGCCGAGCCAGATTGAGAGTCATTTACAGCATGCCCACCGTTATCTATCATCTACGCTCCGGAAACAGCTTGCTGAGGAGGTTCGCAGCTGGCCAGATATTGCCATTAATCCAATTGAATTGGATATTCCACCAACCCGAATTCGGGCTATTCCCCAGCTCATTGGTCCATTGAATGGTTGGCAGTGCCAGTTATCACCTGAATTATGTTGGTATGTATGTCCAAGTATAGCTACAATGCGTCAACATTGGTTAAAACAGCATGGCTGGAGTCGCACTTTCCAAAGAGGTCAACCAACAAGATCTACTATGCGCGTTATCCAAGAGCAGCAGAAACTAGCATGTCGACCAGTACAATGCCAGCGACTATTCCTATAGAAGACTGGATCCCAGTATTTTGCAATTATTGATCACCATGATGTTGAGGATGAGCGGGATAGGATGGATGAGGCCAATTCTATCTCATTACCCAATGCTGCGATATTCTGGGAGCAAGCTAACGCTAAATTTGCTGAGTTTGAGAAGAAGCTGGTGGAGAAGATCGCCCAAGGACACGTGGATGAGGCCAATCCATGGCTCCGTCGAACTGGATGGTTGCCATATTTAAAACCGTTCACATTCCATGCGCTGCAGGCATTCATCGAGGCGCCTGAGCCACCCAGTGAGGATGAGAACCAAAGCACCGCCATCCCCGATACCAAAACAGCAGAGAAATGTGCCGCGTGGGCAGTATGGAGCGCCATGGGGGAAGTGGGACGACTCAGCCAGCTATCCGTGTTACACATGGGTGTATTTGTCCGCATGGAAGCTATTTGTTCTGAGAGGAATCAGACGCGGTATCAGCCACTGGAGGCATATCAGGATGCCAACGCTGTGACGGATCGAGTATGTCCGTGGCAGCAGATCTTGATGTTTTTTTAGCGAACGCAGCAGCAGTCTGAGTCCCAAGAGCGTCAACCCCAATATCGCTTTACACGATGGCAGAAAGAGGCATGGAAACGATTGGTGCAGATTGCATAACCTCGAGTCTATCCGCCCAATATGGGACAATCGATTGTAGTTCGACCAGGAGAACGTCGTCCATGGGAGTCCCGTTCCATTCCCAGTTTGCCGCCGTCATCCGGGGAATCCAGGGTTGAGACCATGGCACCACAACGTGTCAGACCCCGTGGTGAGGAAGAGATGTCAGATCGGAGCAGGGACCGGTTGGAGGGTGATGCAGACCCAGAGGAGGTTGATCCCAGAGAGGATGACGACGAGGAGTACGACGAGGAGAACAAGGAGGAGGAGGAGGTGCCCCCATTAACACCGATCCAGCAGGCATGTTTGGACTTTTGCATCGAGCTATTGAACCAGCGGATTGTCCGTCGCGAGTACGACAGCGCGTTGATCTGTGCCACTGCGATCTTGGGAGCTTGAGAGGATGGTTGGCGCACCTCCAATGACTACCCACCCATTTTATCCAAGCTGATCAAGCTGGCCCGTTTCATGGTAGTCCGGAAGGCTATTGAATTAAGTGCTGTGCCTAAAGGCGATGAACTATAGAGTTCTATGAATGATGCAGACTGGGACAGTACAGATAGAGGATTACTGTCCCATTCCCATTCCTACACTAACCAGAAAGGCTGTTTGCAGTGGGTGACATAGATGGTTGACACATTTATGATCCGCGGTTCACAGAGTCTGATGCAGTGGATGTTGGATCTCCGTATATACGGATTGAAGATCCATTACAACACCACGACAGAGGGCCACGTGGGCTGGCAGAACCACGACGAGCTATTATATAAAGACTTGCAGTTTACCATGAGCGAGTTTCGAGGCATGGTGGATCGGACGACCCGCGAGGCATGGCGGATCTTGATGGAGGATTTGCTGCAATGTTCACCCGAGGATGCGCCAGCAATTCCATGGGATTGGCTATATGACAATCCAGTCAATGAGGATTTCCGCTAGAGCTTTTTACAGGATTCGCGCACCACGTGGCCCGTGGATGGGACGAGCTGGTTATAGCAGCATATTCAGCGTCATCCCGCACTCCGTCGCAAATTCATGCACGCGGACGAACAGAGTATCTAGCGGGTTCAATGGCAGGCATTTCATTGACGGATTACAGCGTTTTTGGAGAAGCTTATTGCTTGTACGCAGTTCACATGGGGCCAACCCGCTCGTGCTCCCGAGCTGTTGAGTATCTGTCATGAGAATAGCCAGGCCGGTGGGATCCGCAACGTATTTATCGAGGATGGGCTCGTGGTGCTGGTGACCAAGTACCACAAGGGTTACCAGATGAGTGGCGATATCAAAATCATCCAATGATACGTGCCCCGTGAGGTGGGGGAGCTATTGGTGTGGTATTTATGGCTAGTGTTGCCGTTTTAACGGCGGATAGATACTATCTTGTATGGACGCGAGGAGATCCATTCCCATTTATGGGCATCCCAGCCCGGCCAACCCATATGGTCATCAGAACGATTGCGACAGATTTTGAAGCGGGAGAGTGCCATTGGGTTGGGTGGACGCACGTTGACCATGGCATCGTATCAAGAGGTGGCCATCGCCATCAGCCATCGATTCATGCGGAACAGCCGTGCGTTTACGCGCAGTGCCGCGGACGAGGCCAAGGCGGACGAGGAGGAGGACGAGATCATGGGCCACGTTGCGGACGAGCAGGCCACCCACAGTCCCAACACCGCCAGCAATATATATGCGCGGGAGTGGACGGAACGAGTGGGAGAAGTGGCAGAACGACGATTACAATTCTGGCAAAGCAGTCAGGAGTGGCATCAGTTTTTAGGATTCCAGTCCACCATGCGGAAGCTGCGCGAGGATCAGACTACTCCATTTCAAGACAGTGCCGAGAACCGTTGGGTGGAATGGTGGAAAGCCATCCGAGTAGCTGATCCCATCCAGGCGTTACAGGAGATGATGGGTAAGCAGGTCATATTCCGTGGCAATTAGCAGGCGGTAATCTAGGCGATTGTGCAGTAACAGAGTCCCATCATTGTGATTATGCCCACGGGAGCCGGTAAGAGTTTGTTATTCATGCTACCCGCATAGATCGGTCGCGGAGGCACCATGATTGTCGTGATTCCACTGGTGGTATTGCGAGAGGATATCCAGCAATGTTGCCAGCGGCTAGGGATCTCGTGCGTGGAGTGGAACTCCCGACGTCCTGTTGATGGTGCATCCATTGTCTTAGTCACCCCCGAGTCCACCGTGACCGAGACATTCCAGACATTTATCAACCGCAAGCAGTGGACCAAGGAGCTTGATTGGATTGTGATTGATGAGTGCCACATGATATTGCAGGAGGGATACCAGTTCCAAAAAGAGATGGCGCAGTTAGGGAAGTTGGTCCAGGCGTAGACGCAGATGGTATTGTTAACAGCAATGTTACCCCATGAGAGCGAAGCCACATTGTGTGAGCAGATGTATTTTAAGCCTAGCACCACCTAATGGTTCTATAGTCGGACTAGCCACATCAATATGATTTACGTGGTCCAGATTATTGGCAAGAAGGAGATGAAGCGGGAGATGATTGAGCGGTTGATGATGGAGTGGATTGAAGAACAAGCGGAGAAGTTCCGGTGACGAGAGGATCCATGTAAGATGGTCATCTACAGTCACTCACGAGGGTCAACAGTCGAGATTGCCCACCAGCTGCAGTGTCCAGCGTACCACAGTAAAACTGTGGATCGCCGCGGGGTGTTAGCATCATTCTGCCAGCAGAAGCAAGGGGTGATGGTGGCCACCAGCGCATTGGGAATGGGGATCGACATCCCCGATATCCAGATGGTCGTCCACGTTGGACCAACCCGGACGCTGTTGGATTATGGACAAGAGAGTGGGCGCGCTGGACGAGATGGACGGCCTAGTCTGGCGGTCATGTTGATCGATGGCAGTGGACAGGGTGTGGGATATCCCGAAGTCGTGGATGAGCGAGTGCGTCAGTACATCGACGGTAGATGTCGGCGACGGACATTGGATCGATACTTGGACGGGATGGTGGATGGGTATGAATGGGAGCAGTGTGAGGAAGGGGAGGCCCCATGCGATCAGTGTCGTGGCGCCACACCGGTGTCAAAGGTCGACGTTGATGGCGAGGAAGAGGATCCTAGTGATCTGGAGGGGATGGAGGAGGCAGATGATAATCACAAGGATAATAAGAGGCAGCACCGGCCACCACAAGGACACAAGCGCGTGAGATCCCATCCCGTCATGGAGTTGGCGGCCAAACAACACGCCAGCTCCACGTTTCCATCCATTTCATATTACCAGGCTCCCGTTCAACGGCAGATGCAGCAAGTGGAAGACAATGGATGGGAGATTGAGTCAATTTGGGACCAGTTTGACTAGTGGGCGGGACAATGCCGGATCTGTGAGTTGGAACACCAGCCCAACAATCATTCCATTGATGAGTGTTCCCATCCCCACGCCCACAAGGCACAGCAGTGGGCGCAGGTGATCACTGCACGAATTACCAGCCAGTCACGGGGAAAGGGACGCAGTGGGTACGAGCCATACGCAGCATGTTTCCACTGTCATTCCCCCCAGTGGATTTGCCAGCGCTGGGAGAGTAATGGATCTGGAGGTTATCAGAGTACGCAGAAGCCATGTCAGTATGAATTCATTGCCGTCCAGGTGATGGCCCAGCTGCTGCATGGACGATTCCAATCCGTGATCCAAGCCGCGTGGGGTCGACGTTTGGCCCAGTTATCACCCCCCATCGAGATGCAGGATATGGCGCGGTTGGTTGGATATTTCCAGCGGCGGTTTGGTGATCGAGGCGAGGAGCGAAGTGGATTGGTGGTGGAGATGAATTGGATGTGTGAATTTGTGGAGCAAGAATTGCAGAGAGATGATGATCGATGTAGCGAGTAGAAACTCACAGCGTTATTGTAGAGTGATTGGAAAGAACGATATAGATGAGAAGAAACATTATAGGATTAGTAACATAGAAGAGAGAGCAAAGCGTGGCCAGAATCGAGCGAGTTGATAAGAGAGAGAGAGAGAGAGAGTTATCTCATTTGATTATCACGTATGAAGTAGGGTTTTGAAGGTCACGTGTTCGAGAGCCAGTAGTGGATTCCACTAGTTTCGCTGGTTCCGCTGGTGTGGCTGGTTTTATAAGCAAGTTGCCAGTCGCCGGCAGAGCAAGTTGACAGTTGGTGGTTTAGAAAAGTCAACAATTAACGATTGGGCACGTTGACAGTTGGTGGTTTAATCATTTGACAGTTGGTTGGGCAAGTTGACAGTTGGTGGTCAAGAAAGTTGACAGTTGACGATTGAGCAAGTTGACAGTTGGTGGTTTAGCAAGGTACCAGATGGTTCAGGAAGTAATCCAGCAAGCCAGTTGGCAGTTCAGCAAATTGACAGTTGGCGGGATGGCCGGTCAGCCAGGAAGCCCGTTGATGATTGAGCGCGTTAGCCAGTTAATAGTGGAACGAGGGAGCCACTTGACAGTTGGCGGTTAACCAAGTTGGCAGTTGGTAGTTGAGCCAGTTGACAGTTGGTGGTTGAGCCAGTGGACAGTTGGCGGTTCACCGAGTTGCCAGATGGCGGTTGAGCCGTTTGACAGTTGACAGTTGACAGTTGACAGTTGGCGGTTGACCGTTGACCGTTGACAGTTGACGATTGAGCAAATGGGCCATTGACAGTTGGCGGTTGAGCAAGTGGGCCGTTGACAGTTTGACAGTTGGTAGTTGAGCCAGTTGACAGTTGGCGGTTAACCAAGTTGGCAGTTGGTAGTTGAGCCAGTTAACAGTTGGCAGTTGGTAGTTGAGCCAGTTAACAGTTGGCAGTTGGTAGTTGAGCCAGTTAACAGTTGACAATTGAGTAGGTTCACAGTTGGTGGTTGAGCAAGTTGCCAGTTGTCGGCAGAGCCAGTGGACAGTTGGCGGTTCACCAAGTTGCCAGATGGCGGTTGATCCAATTGCCAGTTGCTAGTTACCAGTTGACAGTTGGCGGTTGAGCAAGTGGGCCGTTGACGGTTAGTCAAGTTGACAGTTGGCGGTTTTGAGCACGTTTCCAGTTGAGCAAGTTGACAGTTGGTGGTTGAGGAAGTTGACAGCTGTCGGCAGAGCCAGTGGACAGTTGGCGGTTCACCAAGTTGCCAGATGTCGGTTGAGCCGTTTGACAGTTGACAGTTGACAGTTGACAGTTGGCGGTTGAGCAAGTGGGCCGTTGGTGGTTGAGCCAGTCGGCAGCTGGTAGTTAAGCAAGTTGATAATTGGTAGTTGAGAAAGTCGACAGTTGGTCGAGAAAGTTGCCGGATAGCGGTGAAGCCCGTTGACAGTTGCCAGATAGCGGTTAAGCCAGTTGACAGTTGGTGGT